ATATTATGATTCATGACTGATGGTCCCCTCCGGGTGTGTATGTTAATAAGATTCGTTTTATAGTAGATATTGCTGGCGCATTGCAAAATATATCATGCATACATGTGACCCACAAAAGTGACGAGAACAAAAACATAGACAATGTTGGACGCCTACAGAACGTTCACCTCTAGATCAAAACTGCATTATAATCGGCAAAGTTTTAAAAAGAAACATCAGGAGAAAAAACGTCAAGAACACAAAACAAGTCCGATCTCATAATGCTGGACCCGCTGCAGAAATGCGCCACCAAGCTCATGCCCTATTACAATTTACAAAGTCAAGCAACGGACGCAATCACAGCAGAAGCGACACCCTCTTCCTCCGCCCGGACGGTGATCTTCGTCGTGACACCCGTCTTGCTGGAGTACGCCATCTTGATCAGAGACGCAACCCGGCCCCCGGTTACTGTCTTGCCGAACAATTTGAGGGTGTGCGTGCTATTGCTCAGGGCCACGTCGGTGCCCTCGAGCGGTTGCAGAGACAGAGTAGAGATCAGCTGTTCAGTAGCGTCTGTAGGAAGATTAGCATCCTGTCTGTACAAACCTGGTCTTCGTGTCTTACCTGTGATGCCCTTCATGTTGCTAAGCTGTAGCGTTTCGCTAATCTCCTCGCCATTGGCACCAGTCTGCTCCCAGACGTGGTCGAAGCTGCCAGCGAACGTAGGAATGACATAGTCGCTGCCAGTAAGCTCCAAGTCCTCGACCTGGTACTCATCATCGTATCCGGATTCCTCGGGCTCGCCTGTCGTAGGGTCGATTTCCTTGCTGGTGAACTTGAGGACGTTGGTGAATGACGTGACGGGGACGCTGTGCTCGCCACCAAGCTTCTTGAACGTAACATATACAATGCCCGGCTCGTTCGTAGCCAGCTTCGGCGCAGGGACAATGAACTCCTCCTCCAGGACGTCCTCTTCGGATGGCGTAGCAGCCACCGTGACATCCTCGAGTACAGTGTCGGGAAGGGTGTTCTTGATATCGTACTGCAGCACAACGTGTTCCTTGAAGATATGCTTGACAGCCGTGACGACGTATTCCGTCTCGCTCTCGGAAAGCTCCACAGGAACAGAGGACTTGAGGAGAGTACCGTACTCCTTGAGCTCTGGGATCTGCATAAGCTGTTCGGCGTACTTCTGAGTTGCGGCAGCAGTGGCAGCCTCGGCGACTCCGTTGGCCTTGCTCTTGGTAGGACCGGCCGTGGGCGCCTTGAGGGTCGGGGTGGCAGAGGTAAGCTTCTTCGTCCGCTCCTCAGCCAACGCCTGTTCCTGACTGACCACGGGGATCGTGGAAACATCGAAGGCAGCGGCAAACGTCTGCTTGTCGTTCGAGGTCACATACATGACCAATTGGTGCTCGAATGTCGAGAGAGAGTACATAGAATCTAAATCCCATGATGAGCCGTGGCACTATCACATGACAAACGCACAAAAACTTACCGTTCTTGATGAACGAGGAGGCCATCTCGTCTTCCTCGGCCATCAACCGAAGGTTGAGCGCAGCACGGTCACGCACCTCATCATCGGTGTCGTCAAGACACCGAGTGAGAAGAACGGAGACACTCGACTTGACCTCGGGATCCTTCTGTCCAACGCCAAACTTCGCGAGAGCCGTCACAGCAGCAGCACGAACGATGGCATTCTCCAGAACAACGCGGTTGTAGATGTAACGAATGTACTTGGTCGGGTGAGAGGTCTTGGGACCTTCCACACCGAGAAGATGCAAGATTCTGACAGACAGCTTGGTGAATTCGCAGTCCTCAATGAACTCACAGAGATGTGCGAGAGCTGAGGACAGTTAGCAAACGGCACTTGATAGATTACGAAAGAAAATAACATACCGTCTTCCTTGCTCTCCGGAACGAACTTGATCAGATCGAACATGCTCTCCACAACGCTCCGCTTGAAGTCGTATCCACCCTCGTCCCGCAGGATACCACTCAGGAACGCCAGCATGCCGGCCTGCTTGCTGGGGAACTTCAGGCAGAGTGTGCGGATAGCCTCAACGATAGTAATCTTGAACTCATCCGTGATATCGGCCATGAAACCAGAGATCTGTTTCATCAAACGGTCGACGCTAGCCTCGTTACCGGTCTTGAGAAGCGTGGTGATCGCGAAGGTAGCGATGGAGCGGTTGGAGTTGGAGATGAGCGACTCGATATCAGGGTTGCACACGTTCACAACATGAGGCTTGAATGTGGCGAAGTTGTGGAGGATGCGGATGGCTGCGAACTTGGTGATCGCCCGAGGAGACGAGAGGAAGAGCTGCAAAACGTGAACGGCCTGGGAGGCCTCGGCGTCGGTGACGTCGCGCATATCGCAAATGGCCTTTGCGGCTTCAAAGTTCACCATCTCATGCTTGTGTCGGAGCCAGCCATCAAGCATCTGCATCATGGGCTTGCGCAGACCGGGGTCTTCGTCGGCCAGCTTGGCCGCTAACCGCACCAAGAGCACCAGCGCAGCAGGGCTCTTGATCACACCAGCGGCACCGTACTGTTGAACCATCTTCACCAGGGCCATCCGATCATGCGAACGCATCTGGTAGAGGAGACCAATGGCGTGATATTGGGTCATGAAATTCGACTGCGAGATGGCATGCGCCTGCGAACTGCCGCCGAAACCAAGGAAACCGGTCGATTGCTTCGAGGCCGAGGCGGCTTCCTGGGTCTCGCTTTGCCATCTTCGGACAACGTCACGAGCAATGGGGAGAAGGTGGTACGAGGAAACGATGGCACCGGAGGAAACCCAAGGAGTCTTAGTCGACGATAGCATTCTTGATCAAGCGCTCGCTACCTTGAACGGTGGTGGCCTTTCCGCAAACCATTGTTAGCCAATGCACTCAACTTGGTGTACAACGAACTCTTCGAGGGAACCCGCTTACATCGATAATGCGGCAAAGCGCTCGGATGGCATTAGCCCGGTAGACGACATCGCTACCGACCGCGGTATCCTTCATGATAATGCTCGTCGACATGATCACGTCCTCCGCGGTGTTGGCCAGCTCCTTCAGGATGAGGTACACCATTTGCCGTAGCGACGGATCCTTATTCTGGAACAACTTGGAGATACCGAAGAACAGCGTGGTGGCCTCGTTCGTGGGGAATTGCTCCCCCGTGAAGAGGAGGACGGCAATTTTGGTCAGGAGCGTGCGGCATTGTCGAGGGGAGATGGGAGAGGTATTGAATAGGCGTGCTAGAGGCCGAAAAAGAAACGGAAGACACTGTCAGCAATAACATCCCAAAATCTGACGCGATTGCCCGGAGAATTGGTAAGGGGTAGGGTGGGATGTCCTCACCATCTTGAAATACGGAGGTCCGATCGAGCTTGATCATAGTCTGATCGGCGTCCTCATCTTTCTTCATGTAACTCATGGCGACGGGCTGCCTAAATTGCAGCAGCTGGAACACGCTCTATAGCAATGGTCGGGGAGAAACACTGGTCGCTGAAGTGACGTCGAGGGAGAAATCACAGGGGAATCGAGTAAGGGCGGGATAAGCGATTCTCCTTGTGCAGGCGGTGTATGTTGACGACTACCGCGCCTTGACTACCCGCCGGTCGGGAAGCGATCGAAGAGAAGACGACGGCGAGAAAGGAGTGTCGGAGAAAAGGCGAGGGTGGAGGAGAATGCCTGACGTGAACCTGGCGCAGGCGGATGGATGTTTTGGCGGTTGTAGAGTAGTTGAGCTCAATCTCCAGGTGGCCTCAGCCCGTCCCGTCCACGCAAACAGTGCAAACAGGCGGGAGTGCCTCGACGCATTAACCTTGCCGGCCATCTATAATTATTCTGGTTACCTATTTCCATTCCACTCATTCTCTTTTGGTCCATTGCCTGCTAAGGATCTATTCTGTTTGTTATACATATCGCACAATGCAGGTCGAAGTAAACCCCAACGAAGACACCGAATGGTCCGTCTCTCCGCCAACTCCTCCATCCTCATACTGACCCCCGCCACAGGAATGACATTCTCCGCAAACACGGCGTCATCCCCGAAAAGCCCCAAGACCCAGAACCGCTCATTCAAGAAGCGCTCGTCGAGGCGGAGCGGAAAGCCTACGAGAACCGACTAGAGGACAAAGACCTAGACGAGCTCGACGAGCTGGAAGATGAAGAAGACGAGGAGTTTCTAGAACAATACCGGTGCGTGCGCATATAATGAAAGCGCAACAACATGACCGAACCATGAGCTGACGGAAGGATTGCGACTCAGCAAGAAGCGACTGGCGGAGCTCTCCACCATCCAGCAAACGAGTCTTTACAACCAAGTGTACCCGCTCCAAAAGGTCGACTATGCGCGAGAAGTGACGGAGGCATCTAACAAGGCCTTTGTATTGGTCCATCTGACCTCCTCGTCCAGTGCCAATGTTGAGTCGCGTATTCTGACGGAACTCTGGCGGCAACTGGCCGCCAAATATGGAGATATCAAGTTCTGCGAGATCCGCGGTGATATGTGCATCGAAGGCTACCCGGACCGCAATACCCCGACGATCTTGGTTTACAAGGACGGGGAAATTCGGCAACAGCTGATCACATTGAAAGAGCTTCGTGGTCCCAGAACGAAGATCGAAGGTAGCTCCTCAATTCCTGTAGCGGGTTAAACGTGGCCGGGGGTTCCAGATTCATACTGACGCTGGACAGATTTGGAGCGAATGCTCCTGGACCTTGGTGCTCTCAAAGAAAGCGACGTCCGTCTGAAGAAGCGGTCGGACTCGTCTGACGACGAACGTCCGTCGACGATTAAGAAGACACAGGTCGATGATGACGATGATGACTGGGATTAAGACGAAAACCATAATACAAAATATTAACACACCGGAAGGTGCACCGGAACGTGATGAACATGGCTCTTGTTTCTTGCTTATGATGAAACAGATTCTGGAAATCCTTGATTGAACATGTGGTCCTGGAGACCGACGACCGGATTAGATGTATGTACAAAACCTTTGGTTCGTTCAATTAGCACCGATACGGAGAAGCAGTCACTCCCGAATGAGTAGAATTGCGAGTAAATAAGCAGCATGCAACGTCAACCCATCGCATATTAGAGGAAGACGGTATATGTCCATGACTCCAAGGCGATTTTCATATGACAGCCCTATCGTGTGGTTCCGAAACACAAGCACACAAAAAGAAGTCCCAAAGTCACATCCATCGCCACAATATACACCCAGTAACACGCCAGAAAGACACCCGATTATCCAACCAAGAAAACCAAATACCAAATATATACGTCACATCGTAGTCCGAGCGCAAGAGACCAAGAACAATCAAATCAATTCGTCACGCGTGGCAGCAGCACTCTCTTCGATAATCTTGCGCACCTGGTTCTCCGGGAACGCAGGCCCCTGGCCATCGCACCGCGCCAGACCCTTGAGGCGTTCCGACACATCACCGATATCCACGAGTCCCTGCTTGAACAGCTCGTGCGCCTGAATGAGATCCCAGGTCGCACCCGCATCAAGCAGCTTCTCCCCTGTTTTCTCGCAGATGGTCACCCGATGACGAGGAGCAGGCTCGCCATCCGGCACGAGTGTGGAGGTGAAGTCCGTCGGGGAGTACTTCAACGGGCCCGTCGTGGTGGGTTCGGCGTCTGCGCCGTGCTGTGAATGATGGATGGACTGGGATGTCGCGCGGAGAATTTCATTCTCGGTGGTGAACTTCGCCAGCTGCTGCTTCAGTCGTTCGTTGTCCGCCATGAGTGTGCTGGACTCCTGCTGCAAGTTGTTGACCTTCTCCTCCAGCTCGCGCACATGCCGCTCCTTTCGCTCGCGGAAAGCTCGTTGGCTACCGTGCAATGTTCCGGTCAGCCTCCGTTACGATCGCACTATTTGGTACCAGTTGCCGCATTGACAACGGCAGAAAGAGAAGGACCACACTTACGCCGCCCTGTTCTGAGCCTTTCGCTTGGACTGGGCCGGAGTCATGTTACTGCCCTCTTTCTCCTCGCTGCTGCTCCGACCCATGCCATGGTCGCCGACTTGATCCTCACCATCGGCCGATGCGCGTTCATGGTGAGGGAGGACTTCGTTGCTGGAGATGGAGTGCTTCGAGAAGGACTCGGGCGGCGAGTGCGGCGGGACAAAGGAAGCGGGAGCGGCGGGATTTTGGAAACGCAAGTTGGTAGGATCAAAAGATTGATAGTTCTATATTCCCCGGTGGACGGTTAGTAATTGCGCAAGGCTGGCCGCATGAAGTAGAGGGATGGGAATCAGACCAAAGAGACCAAGGGGTCCTGTAGATCCTCAGGCTGCGAGGTATGGGTTGTCTGTTCGGGGGTGGGAAGGTTATGAAGGCCATAAAGCGGAAAAGGTTGAGACTGAGAGGTATAGTAAGAATAATCCATCTCTGGAGGACTCCTCCTTTGAAAGAGGAACACTGTAGATTGTGAGAGAGGAGGTATAAAGACGATGTTAGAACACTGGGAAAGGCAGATGAACGATGATGACCGTAACGATTTCCATCATGTTCTTGGGGCGTGGAGAGTCTAGAAATCCCATTAGTCAGGCGGGCACGTTTACGATTGGCTGGCCGCAACATCGCCGAACCGGCCTTGCATGACCGGTCGTTTTAGAATATACTTAGGACAAGGCAAGACCTTACAATCCACAACAAAGTGCATCATAATAACAGCTGAGATTAGATAGATGGTGAAAGACGAGACTATATCCTGTACGGTCCTCCACGGACTTGATGGCATTCGAGAATGCCAGGGCAGCTCGAGATACCTTCCAAGACCCGGGCCTTACGCGAACCAGCCTGTCATCACATGGAGTTGAGAAGAATAAAAACAATGGGAGACAATTAAGCGAAATAACACGATTGACGCAGACACCACCCCGGAAGCGACCCTAGCCAGATTCCGTCGCCAATCACCTCTCCGAGACGCGTATTCTCTCGTTGTCCAGATCCACCGCACGTTGTCCCATTCTTCCGTATATTTGCCCAGCCATACGGCATCGGTTCGAGGACATCGGCGGCTTCCAGACTCAAGACATCTGAGAAGAACCGCTCCCCAATACATGCACCTCCGCTGTCCCTTCACATTCATCGACCCCTCAATGATGCGTCATATGACAATCTTGGATAACAAAAACAAAACAGCAAAGCATGTGCGAAAAGGAAAACAAGCAGCATAACAAGCAAGGGATAGTGCAGGGAAATTGAAACAACACAGTTTTCCGACATGAGGTTTACGAGTGATCGTAAACCCGCTGCGGATAGAGACTGAGAAGTTTCACGTTGCATCGTTGTCAGTCTGATCCTTCAGTCATTTCCCACGAAGATGTTGAACGCGGGGAGGAAAGTTAGACATGACATAGCCACAGTCAGAGCGTTTTGAAGCTGCCATCGAGAGCCTTTTGCACCGAGCGAATCACGTAGGCTGAAGAAAATTGAAAAACGCCACGAGATCGATGCAGTGGATGGACGAATTGGCCACCCACATGGGGCAAAAAGGCGAAGATGAATCGAAGGCAGGCGAACATGTCGGAACAAAACGCAACGGATCGAAACGGGCGGTACCGGAGGACGATCGAAAACGGGATAATGGGCTAACAGATGCAAGGAAAGAAAATAAGAAAAATAGCACGAAGGGAGACCCAAGGTGAGATCAACGTCGGAAAAAGATATGCCACCAAGTGCGGAGAATGACCGGTATCACGATATCCCTGGGCTCGTCGAGACAACCTCGTGCCAACATGCAGAGCAGCCGAACGAAAAGCTCCAAGAAGTCTCCCGTTCTAACCACCCCCTCATGCTACACAATTAGTACCACTGAGCACCATACCCATCGTCCCGCTTCGAGCGACCACCAGCAGGTCCATATGCACCTGAAGCAGCAACCTTGGAAGCCGAACGCAGCCTAACGCCGAAGACTATGAGATTAGTCAGATTCTAGGACTCAAACGACCTCTACGAGGGGGTTCAGGGGAAAGCACCGAACGCAGAGGAAAGGGGTTCCCTACACGGAACCTAGGTTTCAGATACTCACATCCTATCGCTTCCTCCCACAGCACGGTTAGTGTCCGGGGTGTTGTCCATGGCTCCACGGTCGATGACCTTGCGACGCTGGCTGGAGATGGCACCGGGCTTGGCGGCAGCACCAGGAGTGCCCATGGGAGCGGCACCGACGCCCTGACGGCGCTGCTGCTCCTCAGCCTCCTTGTCCTTCTTGCTGTTGGCATCGACGATCATGGCCGCGTTCTTCTGGTACTTGTAGACTGTCCAGTCGAACACGTAGTCGTACTGGAACGACTCACGGACAAAGAGGTCCCGGAAGATCTTGCGGAGGTAGGAGTAGTCGGGCTTGTCATCGAACCGCAGAGAACGGGTGTAGTTCAGGTAAATGGAGAATTCGTTGGGGAAGCCACGGCAGAGAACCTCGGTGGGAGTCGTCATCTTCTTCTCCATGATGCGGTCGTACTTCTGCTTCTTGGTCGCGGCCTTCAGACCCTGCCAAGGGAGAGTGCCACGGCAGAAGTAGAGCATCACGTAACCCAGAGATTCCATGTCGTCACGACGAGACTGCTCGACACCCAAGTGAGTGTTGATGCTGGCGTACCGAGCGGTTCCGGTAAGATTCTTGTTCTCGCGGTAAGGGATGTGGAAGTGCGTCTTGGGGTCCCGGTACTTCTTGGCCAGACCGAAATCAATGACGTTGACCTGGTTGCCGCGCTTGCCGATGCCCATCAGGAAGTTATCAGGCTTGATATCACGGTGAATGAAGGATTTGGCGTGGATGTATTCGATGCGGGAGATGAGCTGGTCGGCCAAGAGGAGAACGGTCTTCAGGGAGAATTTGCGGTTGCAGAAGTTGAACAGATCCTCCAGACTGGGACCCAACAGATCGATGACCATGGCATTGTAGTCGCATTCAGTACCGAACCAACGAACGAAGGGGATGCCAACACCACCAGCCAGAGACTTGTAGACACGGGCTTCGTATTCCAGTTGGGGGTGCTTAGCCTTGACACTCTCGAGCTTGATAGCGATCTCCTCGCCGGAGATGATGTTGGTGCCTAGAATCTGTTAGCCATATACGTGATAAGATTTTGGGTTTACTCTTGCAGGTCACGCACCGAGATAGATGTCACCGAAACTACCGCTGCCGATCTTACGGCCGATGCGGTATTTGTTACCGACACGCAAATCCTGGGGAATCTAGTCAGACGGATGTCACCGAAGGATGGGTGGAGATGAGATGATGCTTACCATGGTCGTCATCTTGGTAGAGTGTGCAACAGCGAACTGCTGTGACTAGCCGATGACACTGAGAGACAGTCAGAATATGAAGCCGGAGATACAATGCAGAAGCCGAAGGACAGAATCAGACGAGGTACAGGAGGGGAAAGAAGGAGGAGAACAGAGTGAGAGGAGAGGGGAAAGCCACCACCCAGCAATGGACAACGGTCAGCTGCAGGCGCGTAGAGCGGCTTGGCGGAAGGAATCTGGCCGGTGACAAAAGGCCACAGAAGAGCCAGACACTCGGAGATAGAAAGAAAGAGGGAGTGAGGGAGTACGATGGGAATAGATCACAGAGAACGGACAGTGAATACTCACATTTGACGGAGTGAAAGGCGGGAAGGAGGAGGGAAGTGAGATGGCGGTGATGTCGACCAGACCGACCGACCGACCGAAGGGAAAAGGCGGAGAACAGAAAGGAGATTTCCAGCTGACCGACCTCGAAAACGGCAGGCAAATCGCAGGAAAATACCGCACCCGCGAGATGGAAGAGAGAGAAGGAACGCGAACGCAAGCAAATGCAACAGAAGATGATGGATAGTAGAGGAGAAATCAAGGGCAAAGCCTTGATATGGCAGGAGGAGGGCTTAAACGGAGGAGGATAGGGAAGAAGAGGAAGAGGAAGAAGGAGGAAGAGAAATAATGAATAATGAGGGAGAGAGAGAAAGAGGAGGGGGCGGGTAAGAAAACACCAGTGGTTGTATTGGTATGGTAATTCCGCCGTCACAATTTCTCTAGCAGGAAAGAGCCTGATTCTACCTAGGACGGACCGCAGGTACCGCTACCTATCTTCACTATGGCCAAGTCAAGGTTCTACCAGGTACTTCTACAAAGACTAATGCTTCCAGAAATCATCTTTCAATAATCCTCTGGTCGTGAAGATCCTTTCACAGGTACCTACCTAAACAAATGAAGTCACTAGAATACGTTCCCCTATTCTGGAAACCTTTATATCCCGCATAGTTTAGTTAGGTACTAAGGTAGGTGTAACTTTGATAGAATCCTTGTTTCAATCATGTCTGCAGACCTTCTGAGCAATCTTAAATTCGATCTTTCTTCGCTAAGAGACATTCTTCGGGATCTTCTGGATCTATCCAAAATCACACAGGATAGCCTCCAATTTACCGTCCCCTACCTCGGTACCTCAGAAGGGCCAGGATACCCAGCCACCCTCTCTAAACGAAGTCGTATGGACGGAGTAACGTTGGGCGGCAAAAAAGAAGTACGGAGTAAGAAAAAATCAAAAATAGCCTCGCCCGGCCCATACCGCATCGCCTCCCAAGCCATAAAAGTAAACGATCGTTCTCCCGATGGCCACATGGATGACGGACACTTGGTGGAATTTGGTATGTGGCCATATACTCTTAGATAAGTTCATCCACCCAGTCCGTGAGGATCATCTGAGCCCTGCCGATGTTGCTGGATAAATCACAATCACCGCTGGTGTGAGAAAAAGAAAAGATAAAATAAGAATAAATAATAATAACAACGAGGATAATAATAATAAAGGAATACTACCTCAAATCAACCTGGACTGACAGCGGGCGAATTTGGGCAGAAGTGGGTATTCTGGCCTCTTATCCTTATCAGACCCAGATCTGGCAAGAGATTTATATTACCAGAGGCTCCACGTACTCCATAAGCAACAGTACCTCCGTTGTCACCCCACGCCCTTTGAGAATGTACAGGTACTCCGTATGAGTCTTTACAAATTGGCAAGGGCTGAATTATTGTAATCTTAGGCTTTCTCCTACAGACAAATAAAGATTGGTATCGGTGTCTCACCGCTGGCCGATGATCGCCTTTCCTACCCAAACTAGACACCAGGTCCACTTCCCAACGGTCTGTTCTCTGTAACATCCAATAATCCAAGTATGAAGAAATTTAAAACCCCTGGGGGATACTGTAGTTAGTTACGGAGTATAAAGCCAATTTCTTGTGCAAATCCCCATCAAGTTGGAAGTTGTTCGAGCTGCGTTTGCCCACCGTTATACAAACACGTATTCTCTCTCAACTGCCATGTACACACCTTACTGAGCCCCTTGCCAGAGAAAAATAAACACAGTTCGCCTCGTCGTCAGAACCCCAATCCCCCACGACCACCCCCTTGCCGCAAGCCTTCGATCACTCCGACAACAGCCAGTCTATTCGTTAACTGGGCAGGGCTCGTTGGCGCCCATCCCACAAGGAGAACCCGCGCAAACCGTCTTCCCTGGATGGTTTGCAGCACTGACTGTACCACAGACCCAGGCGTCACTACAAAGGAGGAAAAGAGATTCACCAACTCTTATTGGAAGTCAATTGATGGGCGATAACAACCCCACAGAAAAGAAGAAAACAGTAGTAATAGTACAGTCCAGGTCAAAGAGTCGAAATATGAAGGGGTATAAGAAGAAAACAAGAAGTCACGAAGAGAAACTGCATCAAAGATCCAGGTCGGAAAATGAGGCTCAGCATGAAGAATGAAAAATGACATAATGAATAAAAAAGACAATGAAGCAACGTAAGTAATAACGACATGCCCAACGTCACCTGCCCAGGAACAAGGTTGGGTCAAATAGTCGAGCACGAAACAGATACCTAACATTGCGTGGAAAGCCAAATCCGTCGGAACATTTCAACAAGTAGAATCGTAACGCCTTGTTGGTTTTTAACAGACCCCCGGCAACATAAACCTGTTACGGAGGTCAAAAGATCCCTAGGCTGACTCCGGGCCAAGGCATCAACTTCCAACGGAATACAAACAAATCATACGCTGGAAGCACTTCATATCATGTTCGTTGCTGCAGGCCCTTCGCCGGCGTTGCGAGGCTTACTCTTCTCGGGGGAGCTAGACCTAGTCTCGTCCTCATCTAAGCGCCGCCGCCATTCGGCAAGGCTGTCGCTCAGGCCGGTCTCCTTCGTAGGGGTTCGGTCAAAGTCGGACTGTGTGCTCAGGCGGTAGTTTCGATTCGTACTCTCCCAGTGGGTCCGCAGGGCCTCAAGTTCGTTGGCGAGGGAGTCAAGAGCCATGGATCCCCGGTTGTCCGGAAACGGTTCATCCTGAGACACAGCACTGTTGGCTCTGGACCGATTGCCGGCTCCAATCGTATTGCTGGACGCGTTGCTGTGTGTACGAGTGATGCCATTGAGGCCTTGAACAGGTTGCGACTGCCGACGATAATGGCCAACCGACGCTTCGACTTGGTCGAGGAGCATGGTGACCTTCTGCTCCGCATCTGATGCGCGGGTTTCCAGGAGACTATTCTCATGCTTGAGCTGTTCTAGTTCCGAGCGGCTCTTCTCAGCTGCTGCTAGCAATTCCTTCTTGATGCTCTCGTATTCGGCGCGAGACTTGGTCTTGTCTGCCTCCGCAGCAGACAGGTCTTCCCTCAACTTCGCGACCTGGTTCTCAAGAGTGGCGATGGATGCTGAGGTTTCTTGTTGCAGATCATAGATCGATTTCTGCAGCTGGGAACGCTCAACTTCCCATTCCGCTGATGCTTCAGATGACCCAGTGGATTCAGCCGCGCCCTTCTGCGCCGCTTCCAAGTCTGACTGCATCTTCGCGTTCTGCGCCTTGTATCGGGACAGCTCATCCTTCATTCGCTTTAACATCTTCTCGGTTCCCTTGACATAGTGAACAGCAGACTGGTAGTCATTCTCCAGCTGTTCAAGCTTCTCCCTGTAAGCACGGTCGGCTTCTTGCTCGCGAGTTTCGAAGGACATCTTCAAGTCCTCGTGAGCCTTAAGGCTGGCGGAGAGTTGTTGTTCAAGCTCCCGAAGGCGGCCCTGTTCAGGCGTTCCAAATCGAGATCCAGGAGAGTCGACCCGAGGCGAGCGCCGGTCTCCGTAGTTCACACCACGATCACCCAAAAGATCCTTCAGAGCAGCGTGCTGGATAGCCAATGCACCGGCTTCACGCTGCTGGTTCTCCAGTTGAGCTTTCAGCTCCCTATTCTCTGCTGCATGTGACTGGCCCTCTTTCATGGCCGCTTGAAGCTGTCTGCGAAGCTGTAGGCCTTCTCGACTCGCCTGCTCTTGGTAGGCCTCCAGCCCTGCGATCCTTTCCTCCGCACGCCGGAGCTTGTCTGCAGCATCGTCCGCCGCTGCCTGACTAGCCTTCGCAAGCTTGTTGGCCCTTTCAATCTGCTCTTCCAAGACCGCTACTCGCTGATCAGCCAGAGAGCGCATGGACGCTTCTGAGTCAAATGAGGAGGCGCGCTCAAGCCCCAGAAGGAACGCGTTCTTGTGAGTTTCGGCTTCCCTCGCACTTGTCTCCGCGAGTTCCTCCGCATCCCGTAAGCGGCGGGTGGTGTTCTCAAGCTCGGTGGTTCGCTCCTCATGTTCAGACCGCAGCTGTAGAAGTTTCCTTTCCAATCCTTCACGTCGCTCACGCTCTTCCTCGAGCTGCTTCTCAATCAGCGCGGCCTTCTCCGACGAAGCCGTGACGGCCTCGCGTAGACCGCCCAAGTTCGTGCCGAGGTCTCTCAGACGGCTCGATGAATCCTCGACCTTCCTTGACAATTCTTCCTTATCCAGGGTCAACCGTTTCAAGTTAGACTCGGCGTCCGCTCGCAGCATCGATTCCTCCCGGAGGGCAGCTTCTGCTCGGTGGAGCTCTGCACGCAGACTTTCGAGTTCAAGAGCGTTGCTCTGCATATCAAGTTCGGCCAGTCGTCTCCTCGTAGCTTCGCATGTCTCTTCGGCGAGTTCCCGTCCGCGCTTCTCTTGGTCGAGTTCAGACGTCAGGACCTCCAGTTTAGACTTGAGTTCGTTTTGAGCGGCGAGGGCGAGGGCTAATCTTCGGCTAAGATCGGTGGTATGATCGGTGATCGTCTCATCGAGATCCTGATAGCCACCATCGGGCTGAGGCGTGCCGTGCTGGCTACCACCATGGGCGGCCAGCTTGGCGCGCGCATAAGCTGCCTCATTGACAGCTGCGTCTCTTTGATGCTCGACCTCGGCGACCCGTTTCGATGCAATTGCGGCTTGTCGATCCACCGTGGCTTGCATCTTCGCCAACTCCGCCCTCATCGACAGGAAAGCTTCGATTAGAGGGCGATCTTCGTCAGCAAACACATCTGCGGCCCGTTCATCCAAGCCAGGCGCAGACGACGTATTCGGAGTATAGCCTGCTTTCTTGGCCAATGCCAACTCTGACGCATACCATGCATTGCGGCTTTTCATGGCCTCGAGCTCTTTGATCAAGGCTTCTTGGTGAGCGGTCAACCTGGGGGATCGAGGTTCGTCCCCGAGCGTCCGTGAGTTCCTATACGCCCGAGATTCTACAGAACCATCAATGCTGGAATGCCGCCCCAACACAGATTCATCGGCGCTGTCCATGGAGCTGCGATGCCTATGTTGGCGCAAGGAGCGTTGTCGGGATGGCCCACTGACAAGAGGTGCGGCCTCACCGGCTTCCATGGCTCTAGCCGACATTCTCGATGGTGGCTTTGCAGGGACACCGGAATCCTGGGCAAATCTTGGGTCCTTCGGAGATTCCCTCGCCACAGGAGACTCCCGATCTCGGTCACTCCCCAAAGCTCTTACAGTGTCGATTGGGGGCCCGCCGTACGAACGGTCCGGTTTGGTGGGAGTCTTGCTCCGAGGGTTCATTGCGTGTTGTGGTGCGGCTCCACGAGCCCCGGGGGTCGGCGCCTGACCTGGCGGGGGAGGCCCGGACGGTGCCTGTGCGATCGAGGCCCTTGGTAGCCGGGAGCCTGGTCCAGGACTTGGGCCATAGTCCGTTGGCCTGCCCGTCGGACTCATAACGCTGTCCCGGGACGACCCGGGCCGCCGGGGATCGATGGGTGTGTTTTGTGCCTCCCGAGATGTACGGCCAGATTGCTGGCCTGGCTTATCTGCGCTGCCCTTCCTCAAGCCCGACTGTGGCACCCTTTCCCCATTTTGCGTCTCGGCTGGGTACCGTATCTTTGCGGTATCTAGGATATACGTCATGCTCAGCTCCGTGGCATCTCTCGGCGCAGAGCTCGGTTCACCTGCCATGACAATAATCTGTTTACCAAACGCTGTCATGCTGTGTCCAGATCTTGGCGATGGAGCAGGTCCCATATTCTGGAAGGAATACCACCGTCGGGTGGAAATGCGGAAGGCGGCCAGATCACCTAGATCCATACCCTCATCAGTGCGACCACCGAAAATATACATCACATCGTTCACCAAAGCGGCAGCATGCCCCTCCCGTGGGGTAGGGATGAATCCCACACAGTCTAACTGGGCCCACTGATTGGCACGGGGGTCGTAAGACCATACGTCGTTAAACCACTGGACACCATTTGTACCTCCGAACCTAACGGACCGTGAGCAAATCGAGTTGATAATGGAGGCAGTGAAGAACGGAACAGGAGCAAAACGTACAAGTAGAGTTTGTCATTGAAACTCACAATGGTGTGGTTGGTTCTGGCAGGAGGTATTTGACCAGCAGGCGGCCCGCCTTCATGGCTGTTCCGTATCAGGAACTCCCACTTATTCCCCGGATTTTGGAGCTGATTCAGGTCAAAAGCCACCAGATCATTGAAAAAGTAGCCTTCAACCTGTCCACCAAAGACGTAGATCTTGGAGCCGAGAATATTCAGAGTGTGGCCATAACGCCCAGCTGGGCGCGGACCGGGAGGGATAGACCGCGACCATTGACGGGAAGCTTCCAAGATCAGTTACCGAGCTCTTCCGGTGGTAAGAAGCGGCTGGTTACTCACAGGTATTCAGAAGGTAGAGCGTGTCGTCTAACGTGTCATTTTCGTCGACCTTGGTATCGCCGCCGAACACAATAAATGCGTTGCCGACGAGCAAGCTGGCATGGCCTACTCGAGGGCCTGGTCCTTCCGACACGGTAGCAATGGGGAAACACGACAAAGTGCCCCCACTGCTCTCGATCATCCAGAGATCCCCCTTTACGGTTGAACCATCGATCAAACCTCCCATCATGTAGATATCGCCTTCTTTGGAAGCCACTGCATTCACGGCGGCACCGTATCGTGGAAAGGGGTTTCCTTGCGGCGAAGAGAAATTGAGACGACGTTGACACCATGGGTAAAGAGATGCACCGGGGCTCGTTTGGGGACTGGTACTCGCTGCTTGCTGCCGTTGAATCTAGAGGAAAGAGAAATTAGTCGTGATGCTCGAATATAGCTAGGGAGAGCGAATAAAAAGACCACTCAAGGAAGGATTGTGGTCAGAGGGGCCATGACGGGACAACCAACCTGCGACTCGGACTCGGCTCTTTGTCGCATGCGCTGATTATCCGGACTACTTGTGCTGGTGACCGAGTTCAACGAGTTATTGTAACTGCTGCTTGGAGTCGGCGATTGGGTACTCCCTTCCCGTTCCTTTATGGAATTGGGTCCGAACGACGAGGCAGAGGTCGGGGCCCCTTCCGAGGTATGCAGGTTTCTAGTCGCCGGAGGTAGGCCGGTGGCCTGTTGGTTCTTTTTCGATTTGAAGAGAAACGCCATCGTGAGAGTTGAATCGTAAAAAGTCGTTCAGAAAGAGCGGAAAATCGAAGACTCGTGTCGAATGCGAACGCTGGCTCTTCCACCACACAAGGACCAGGTGTTCAATGGACAAAGGGCGATAGCGAACGAATGAGCGCGTCAAGAACAGAAGGAAAGATATATTAAAATGAAAGAACAGACGCCAAACGCGCTCCAGGCTCTATGATGTCCAGCGAACGAGCGACGATAGGGCCCAATCGAGGCCGGACAAAACGACGCGGAGTTGGGGCCGTCGGCGAAGAAGACAAGCAAATTTGTCCAGAACGCTTTCCTTTCCACAAAGACTCGCGTCACGGAGTTCCCAGGGAAAGATGATCCCTTCTACTTCCAAAGGAACTTCGCGACACCTTGGCTGCGGTTTTCAGGGAGCATGAGCGAGTTATGGAGGAAGACGACAGGGGTGGCCGGGAACCAAACTGGATGGAAAGAGACAAGAGAGAAAAGAGAAGAAAAGAAGAAAAGCCCCCAGGAGGAAGAAAGGAAGGGGCGGAGAAAAGAAGAGTGTCGGAGAATAAGAGGAATTAGGATGGAGTCGTGAAGATGGAGACGGTCGAGGAGGAGAAGTGTGCAGAGAGAGAGGAGAGGGAGACCAGAATGGATAATAATGAATAATAATGCGAGGCTCCGGCGTTTCAAAGTTTCCTGGCCAGCATGAATTAGATAATTAATCCTTTTTTTTTTTATTATTTATTTAATTTTTGGAAAAAGGGTAGAAAATGGGGGGAGGTGGTTTGAGTAGTTTGGTTGGTTGGTTTTTTAGTCTCTAAAGGGGGGAGAAAATCAAGAATTTCCTTGACCTTACCGGGTCTTCACGATGGGAAAAATATGGTCCAAATGATAATATCACTAGGATTTCTTCACGATAGAAGAATCAATAAAAATGGAATCAGAAATCGAAAGCATACGGGAGAGCAAACTCCAGGCTAGCTGGGTAATCGGCCTGACGAGGAAAAGACGGTGGCCCACGAGGGTAGGTAAAAAGGAATTGCGTTTTCCACCGCCATGGGCCAAGTCGATATACCCCTGGTAGGCTTCTTCGCCGTCAGGCATGTATGCACCAACTAACTACATAGTTACATGCTTGGGAAGGGTTTATTTTAGTGTATTTCCTTTCTATGTTTATCGGAATTTCAACCTCCTCCCTTTACTATCTCATTATATTGGGGGAGTTAGAGAGATCGCGGACGACACAAAATGAGATGTCGGTAAAAGGACCTGGATTAACTCCAGTTTTAATGTACTTTGACGTGGAGTACCCGCCCAGCGATGCATTCGGATGCATATGAACTGCCTAGGTATTCTCCGTACTGGTCGGTCCCTGACCGTCCTCGCGTATCGATCTGCATACAGTATCTAAGAACAGACTGATTCCACACAATCACCAGCCATTGAATATTTGTGGGGGAATTTAACCCTTCCCCTTAGGCGTCAACGGTTTGCTTCAAAAGCCTGAACGTTAACAATAGACGTATCTATCTTGGAGCAATGGACTTCTTCTCTTCTTCGCCCGAATCCTAATAAGAACAAAGTCCTCAGTGGATGGGTCAAATCTCGACACATCCTTGCAGGACAGAGGCGGACTGGAAGAGACATGCACCGAAACAGGAGCAGCTCATGCCTGAGTACTCCCTAATAATCGAAATAATATTAAGGGAGCCATCATACATACGTCCGAGAGAACATTGATGTTTATGTCCGTCTCTATAAAGGGACTCACTCCTTCGACTGTCCGGTGAAGATGCTGGGATTCATTTAATGATGCGTTACTATAATTATAATTTTTCATCTGCCACCCTCGGATTCCCAGTGCTGAGTGGGGGAGGATCAACAGTGCGCCGTTGGAACAAATGGCAATGACTGGTTGGTGGCACACGGGATTCCTCGACTTAACGCTTAGTTTGGTGGTCTAACTCCAGACACTCTTAGCCAGGGACAGTCCCGAAGAAAGGGCGGATCCAGGGGTAAGGGGGGGCGGTTCGGCTGGTGGTGGGAGTGGTTGAACCATGCCAGCCGACCAGCGAACGCGCCAAGTAAAAGTGTCGAACGGGTGGTTGGGTGGAGGGTCTTGTACTCCGTAGGTACCTAATCGCCCAGCCACAAGGAGCCCATCAGCGCTGGGCCATTGCCTGTAGGGATGGAACTCTCCCTGCTTTCCGCCATGACACAGGATGTCATCGATGTTCTGCCTTCTTATTTACTTCTCGTTTCTGTTACTCCTCCCTATCTTAACACGAGCAAGTGGATATACCGAGGAATCTCCTCGCCGGTTTGAGACTAAGACTAACCATTGTGATCACCTGAAGAATAGAACTGATTAATCAAATGCAATTGAGTTAATGTACGGAGTACAGCATATGTTACCTGCGCAAGAATAAGAGAACTAGTAATCTGTTTGCACCTATTAAGAAGCAATCTTAAAATACCATAAGCTGTCCAGTCTCTTTTCTTTCTCACAGTTATTTGGATATACCTAATTTGTTGGTCACGGTGAGAAACTTATCACTATCTGTATAAAGAGCGAGAGACAAGAAGATATCCTTACTTCCCAGTAACTAGACAGCCTCTATCCATGTCTGAGACATTCCTTAATGAATGTAAAAAGTAGAACTTCTTCCATTACTGGTTTCCTCAGGTAGAAATATACACCACCCGCCCACTAACAGGATGATTTCTAGCGCAAAATGACGTGATAAAAAGTGGAGGAGATTAGGTTTAGAGACTAGGCGCTCTTATCCACCCCTGTTAACATGGAATCAGAAGAATAATTAGGTATGGACGGCATAAGAGTGCAGTCCCTAATTAGGCAGAGTGAATGCCGTCACAGGCGGGTGCGGGCCTACAGATTATCCGGTCCACTGAATGCCAAGACATCACGCCCGAAGCTCATGACGACCTCAGCATTCAACCCCGACATTCACTCCGAGACCCTGGAGCTGTGAATTTGGAGAAAGGTGCTCGTTACCTTATTGTCAGGTGAAGGAGAGATCTCTCCCTGACTCTTGGCTCTTTTGGAAACAAGCACTCGCCCCCCTTGTGCGGCTGCCTTGGTTCTCTTGCTGCAGAACCTCCAGATTGGGTATGATAGTCAGCTCTCAGCGTGCGCAGTGAGATGATACTTGACCAGGTGAGCGCATTTCACATATTAATTTGCGCTGCAGAGATATGATGGTCCCTCTAACCATGATGGATTACATCCGCTTCTCGCGATAGATCTCTTACCCTTTCTAATCCAGGTGCTCGGAAGTGGCGCTTATTTGACCCGGAAGAACATCATGAGCGACGCGCAATGAAGAATCCTAATTCGACCATGGATCCAAATAATACATCCAAGCCTCAAGCGTCAAGTCTGACGGCTGAACCTCGAAAGAACCCCACCAAAACCGTCCGGGTTGCCTTTGGCCCCGACCTGGAAACTTATATCCCTCCGCGCGACAAGTCCCCCGCACCGACTCCCGGACACCACCGGTCGTTCACTACCGTCGAACGAACACAACCTCCCGTCACGACCCCAGAGAGACCGACCAGCTCAGCTGGGGAGAATCCAACTGTCGCAGAATCTCGAGTCACTTCGGATAGAGCGTCGGACAGTGCTCGGCCCACTGCCGCCTTGAAACGGGCCAAGAGCGACTATGGACCAAGAGTGGGATTCGACAAGTCGGCTGCTGGCGAAGAAGATGAGGATATCGCAATGAGACATGGATGGCAAGAGGAGTATACCTCGAGCGAATACCTGAAGATCCTACATTCGGTAAGCAGTGGCCCACGTCCCCTGGAGGCCTCATCATTTTTCTTGGTCTCATTCGCCTAGAATTTCTATATGTATTTCACCGAGAAACGACATGAAACCAACGGTATCCCCCGAGATCCTATTGGAAGCTGGCCAAGTCAAGACTGGCGGATGAGGGACCGGTTGAAAACGGTCTCGGCAGCCCTTGCGATCTGCTTGAACATCGGCGTTGACCCCCCGGATGTCGTCAAGACAAACCCCACTGCGAAGCTCGAATGTTGGGTTGACCCCACGTCAACCACTGGTGGCGGACAGACCAAGATAATGGAGCAGATCGGGAAGAAACTACAAGAGCAGTACGAGACCCTTAGCTTAAGGACGAGGTACAAGCAATATCTGGATCCGTCGGTGGACGAAACGAAGAAGTTCTGCATATCCCTGCGACGTAACGCCAAAGACGAAAGAGTGCTCTTCCATTACAACGGTCACGGTGTCCCTCTCCCGACTCAGTCTGGTGAAATCTGGGTGTTCAACAAGAATTACACCCAGTATATTCCCGTGTCGCTTTATGACCTTCAGTCCTGGCTCGCCGGGCCGAGTCTTTTCGTCTTCGATGTTTCCAATGCAGGGAACATCGTCCAAAACTTCCACACCTTTGTTGAGAAGCACGAGAAAGAGAACATGGAAGCTCAAAAACGAGACCCCAATGCTATTGTCCAAAATTATGGCGATTGTATAATACTCGCAGCTTGCCAGAAGACTGAGGCGCTTCCGACCAACCCTGACCTCCCTGCGGATCTCTTCACCTGCTGTCTGACTACTCCGATCGAGATTGCGCTCCGCTTTTTCATCCTCCAGAACCCTCTTCAAAGCACAGTGTCCATCGATGATTTCCGGGTTCCAGGACGCTTACAGGACCGCCGAAGCCCGCTCGGAGAGCTGAACTGGATCTTCACTGCCATCACAGATACAATCGCATGGAATACTCTACCGCGGGCATTATTCAAGAAACTTTTCCGCCAGGATCTGATGGTTGCGGCTCTATTCAGAAATTTCTTGCTCAGCGAACGGATAATGCGCACATATAAGTGCCACCCGATCTCGTCCCCGGCGTTACCAGAAACGCATCATCATCCGTTGTGGAAAAGCTGGGATTTGGCTGTCGAGATGGTCCTCGCCCAACTCCCTGCGCTTATCGACCATGAGGAGGGTCGCAGGCAATATGAGTACCAACACTCCACATTTTTCGCCGAACAACTCACGGCGTTCGAAGTCTACCTCTCGTCCGGTCCCACGGAAAAGAACCCCCCCGATCAACTACCAATTGTTCTCCAGGTTCTTCTAAGCCAAGCCCATCGATTGCGAGCTCTGATTTTGCTCAGTAAATTCCTGGACCTAGGACCTTGGGCTGTGCACTTAGCTCTCAGCATTGGAATCTTTCCTTATGTTGTCAAACTTCTTCAGTCTGCAGCCCAGGAATTGAAGCCTGTGATGGTATTCATTTGGGCACGGATTATGGCCGTTGATCATACTGTTCAGAACGACCTTTTGAAAGACAACGGCATTCACTACTTCATTTCGATCCTCAATCCTTCTTCGCCAATTCCAGTGGGCAATGCTAGTGAACATCGGGCTATGTGTGCCTTCATTGTCTCGATTTTCTGCAAGAACTACCCCCAAGGTCAAAATGTGTGCCTCTCTGGGGAGCTTGTCGAGTCATGCCTGGTGCATTTAACGGACGTTGAGAATCCCTTGTTACGTCAGTGGTCGTGTCTCTGTATCAGCATGCTTTGGCGCGATTTCCCCGAAGCAAAATGGATGGCAATTCGTTGCGCTGCACCTGCACGCCTCTGCGAGCTCAACTTTGATCCTGTTCCAGAAGTTCGAGCTGCAATGCTGCATGCAGTGACCACATTCCTGGGGATCCCTGATTTGACGGATCAGGTGGCCCAAATCGAAGAGTCGTTGGCCATGGCTGTGCTGCCGATGTCTGCAGATGGCAGTGTACTTGTGAGAAAGGAGCTGTTGGTCTTCTTCTCGGTTTTCGTGAAGCGCTACCAGAATAAATTCCTTGTTGCGGCGTTCGATGAGTTCCAGGAGGAGAAGCGAAACCTCCTTGTCAGGGCGGAGCAAGGAGGTTCTCGAGGCCTCACACTGGAAGATATGCCAAATGGCTCGGCTAATGGCCACCAGAAGCCACGGGCGTTGTCCCGCAACACTACTTTTGGTGCTATTTGGAAGCAGCTACTCATTTTCTCTGTTGATCCCCACCCTGATATTGCCCAGGATGCCTGCACGATTGTCGACTACATCCATCTGGCCCTGCTGCAATCCCCTATGGCCTCGCTGACTGAAAAGATTCGAAGTGAAATCATAGAGCTCACAAATCGGGTATCACCCAAGCTGCAGGTCCGAGAAAGACCGGAATCTCGAAAGACTACAGCACCTCCTACGCCTCCATCACTTCCTCCTCCCAAACAGGAAGGCTACCTGTCTTTAAGCCTGAAACGAACCGCAAGCGTTGCTGCCTCCCTCAAGAACCTTGCTTTTGGCGGCCCGTCTCCTGCAGAGTCACAGCAACCCTCACCACCGGCGACATCGCCGAAACAGCGCGTGCCCATGACCCCACGAGGCCGAGCCCCCCCCGAATGGACCCGTCCCCCGGAAGTCAACGACCAGGTCGCACCGGCGACAGCGTACCATCAGGCCCCAACACCCACATCCCGTGGGTTCGTGCCTAGGGACCCATCCACACCCCCGTCCCTTCCCCTGACCAGTCGGTTCCTCGATTGGTCCACAGAGGTAATCCCAGAATTTCTCCATCTGATCTGCCAGGAGTTCAACGACAAGTATGGACGTTTTCTTACGCATCTTCAGTATTTCCGTGAACCCCAGATGAAGCCCAATGAGCCCGACGAACCCGGTAGCGCCGACTATAACGAGCGCCTTTGGAGACGAAGCCGTAACGAAAAGATCATTGCTGAGACCCAACCCCTGAAGGGGAAAGCCGGAAGCAACCGATGGGATCATTCCATGACGCTCCTTTCTAACAATAGTCAACCACTGAGGATGTGTTTCCACCAGTTCGAGGATCACATTGCTGTGGCTGATGATAAGGACACCATTGCGTAAGTATTGGTAGGTAGTGGCGAGTTTATTCCTTGCTGACACCGGAGTAGGATCTGGGACTGGCAAAGCCACAAGTGCCTCAATCGCTTTTCGAACCGGAACCCCCCGGGTTCTAAGATAAATGAAGTCCGGTACATTAATGAAGACGATCAAGCGCTTTTGATGACAGGTTCTTCCGACGGCATCCTGAAGGTGTTCCGGAACTACGAGTCTGCAAAGGATGTCGAAATTGTGACCGCCTTCAGGGCTCTCCCAGAGCTCATTCCCAGCAATCGGAATGCCGGTCTCATCCTTGACTGGCAACAGGGCCAAGGCAAGGCGCTTGTTGCAGGCGATGTGAAGGTTATCCGTGTGTGGAACGCCGCCACAGAGGTCTGCACGAATGTAGGTCTTCTCTTCCGTTATACCCGTCGAACAATCTCTTAACACTGTGTTTTTTAGGATATCCCCGCTCGGTCAGGTTCGTGTATCACATCTTTGACCTCTGACCAAGTGGCTGGAAACATCTTCGTTGCTGGATTTGGGGACGGAGCTGTCCGTGTGTTCGATCAGCGTCTCAAGCCCACCACAGCCATGGTCAAAGTTTGGCGCGAGCATAAGCAGTGGATCACCAACGTCCACATGCAGCGAGGAGGGTTGAGGGAGCTGGTGTCTGGAAGTCGAAACGGGGAGATCAAACTATGGGATCTCCGATTGTCCGATCCAATTTCGACTATCTACGCCACCAAAGACACCCTCCGCACCCTGAGCGTGCATGAACATGCCCCTGTCTTCATGGTGTAAGTCTGGAACTCGTCGAGGAGTTTCCGCCGATGCAACTGACCCTCCTTCTCTAGTGGCACCAACCGGCATGAAGTCAAGACCTTCAATGTGGACGGGACCTACCTGTCGACATTTGAGCCGTACTCGAGCTTCTTGCACCATAACCGGTCTTCGCCCATCGCGAGCACCGCTTTCCACCCGCACCGCACACTATTTGCCTGCGCAGCTCTTAACGATAATCACATCAACCTAGTGTCTTGCTAATCAGCGTGGCCGCCATCAGTAATAAAGGTTTGTCTGTCCTAGACTACTCTTCCTGGGTGAAGTGATTCTTCCACAGAATGTTGTATCAACATACACGGCGCTGGGAGTTTCTTGGATTTGAGGGTGTTTTCCTTTACGACGCATCGACTTCCGGCGTAGGATGGCCAGCTGCAGTGGTTGGAACCTGGCGCTGCGGCTTTCTGTTGATCATGCTTTGCTTTGTTTGCCTTTCTCTTCTTGTGTTTATTTGGACTGTGATTGATGGCTTGTATATGGATGGACATACACTGGGTCGTCAGCCCTATAATACAGATGCTTCCACTATCTCCGAGTCACCGTCAAGACATAGATAACCGCAACCTCCGCTCCACAACGGCAACAATATCCACCCACTCCATCATCGCCCCTCCCCCAACATCCCCACAAGCCAGGTTCTTCTCAATCGGCCTCAGCACCTCAAACCACCCCCCCGTCCCCTCATCCTTCACGCCCCACTCCTCCTCCAGCACGCGAATCTGCTGCCCCGTAACAGGATGCACCCACATGGCCGTATTCATCGCCGGCGCAACCACAATCCTGGCATCCTTCTTCCCATCAATGAGGCCCGTCGTGTCCCACGCGCGCACCACACTCGTCAACAGGTTATCCGCGAACCCGTGCACGATTTTGGCGAGCGAGTTGGCGCTCAACGGCGCAATGAGGAGCAGATGCGCCCACCGCCGCAGCGCAATATGCAGGATCTCGCTGCCGCGCGTCCACGGCTCGGCCCATTCGTCTTCGTCGACGTAGATCCCCTCCACGCCTGGGAGGGAGCGGATGTAGTCTGCTGCTGAGGGCGTTGCGGTGGCGGTGTTCGTCGATTGGGAGCCGGGTGGGTGTTCCGGGGGAGGGAGGAAGCGGGCGGCGCTTTTCGTTAGGATGACGCGGATGGAGAGATTGGCGTGTTTAGAGAGCGAGGTGATTATGTGTGGGAGCTTGATTGTGGCTACGGAGCCGGTGGCCGCGAGGAGGAGGTGCGTTTTGCCGTCATGGAGGCTTGCGGCCACTTCGGCGGCCGGGGATTGCGGGGGGGTAGGATGGGTATCGTCACGGTTTGTGGCCATGTCGCGGGTGGGGATGTGGTGTGAGTAGAAGAGGAGGTTGTGTAGAGGGACAGGTGACAGGCGGTTACGTGGCGGAAGGAAATTCCATACTAGTTGAGTCAGGAGCGTGTTGAGTAGTATCTGCTGCAATATTTCTCGTGCTCGTTATCGAAAGCGATAAGACAATCGAACGTCATCGGGAGAAAGTTCGTCCCTTCCGAACTATACCCTCCATCTCAGGAGATTCAGTCATTTGATGAAGGATACTCGAACAGGCTTTCATTGTGAGAGTTATCTAAAGCTATTATCTGGTAGAAAACTAATCATACATGAGGTCGGTTTCCACATCATCCTGTATGGAAGGGTGTCGTGGAATTAGAAGACGATCCTCTTCAGCCACGTCGAATGTCTCCAAGTCCTCACACATTCGGTACACCTTTCGACATCATCGAATAACTTCATGCTGTCCCGCCTTCCTGAAAACCTCCAATTGAAACTGGGCGGTCTTCACTGGAAAGCATTCGCTCGGGAGAAAGTCTCAACTGATTGGTGGATGGGTCTTGATCGAAATAGCTACGTCGTCCACCCAGGTTAGGCTCGCAATAGCGGGACTTCACGCGGCCGAAATTTGCGAAGCATCCATCTTGCTTCGTGAAGTCATGAGAGTCCGGAGAGCAGTAGGAATGCAAGTTGATAACGACGTTGCCTAGAAGGAGGGACATTTGCTTAGCAGTAGCACTATCGGGAAAAGCGCCATTCCCATTGAATCTATCAATCCTCTGGGCATAGTTCTCGGCAATATCTGCGACTTGCTGACGAAGCTGTTGGTTGCCTCTGTTGTCGTTCGAAAACCAGGACGTTGCATCATCAATCCTCTCCTGCACTTGAATGGGGTTTCGTCCAAGGTAGGAGGGTCCCATGGGTGTATTCTGTACCACAGGGTCAGGGATTCCTGGAGGAGGCCTCACAGTTTTGCTCAGCTTAGACTCATGCGCCTTCTTTGCCATCTTCTCTTTGATCGCTTCATACAGATAGCCATGTTGGGAGAATGAGACACGGGCTTCTTTCGAGGCGGTGGCAGGCGTGTGGTCTTCGGTTTCTAGATTGTCCCAGGAAGCACCAGAAGAGCTGTGCTTGACTTCGTTGTCGGTGCCGGCATATTTTCCCCGAGAAGCCATTTCCTCCGTAATGCTCTCTGCAGAGCTGTACTCTGACAGAGAGGTTTTCGTTTGCTGGGATAAGCTCTGTGCTTCCATTTGGCTTGCGTTAGGATGGGAGTTCTGAACGATAGCCCTGAGGTAAGCAGTAACTTCGTCTTTAACGCTTCTCCTTCTAATCTCTTCAGGGCTTGGACTCTCAGTGTGCTCGGCACGTCGTGCACTATGTTTGCCATGGGGGTACTTCTGGTCTGAAATCGTAACAGGGGATGAACCAGGTGTAGAAGGCTGGTCACCAGCGTGCATAATATCTAGATCAGAGGAATGCTCGTGAAGGACATCATAGTGCGATGACAAGTACGTCATTCTCGTCATCTTGCGTTCAACGTGCGGTTCAGCCGACAAGGTTTGCATGTTGGCAGCGACATCACGAATATCGGGATGATTGTGGCTAGAACGCTGAGCGTAGAGTGATTCGTAAGGAGATTGGTTTTCTGGACGATCAAAGGACTCTCTGTAAATGCTGAACGACGATTCTGCCAAAATATTGTTCAAACGAGAGTTTGCGGGCGACGCGGACAGTAATCTTTGGTAGGACCTGGCTGCAGGCCAAGTCCCAAATTCGTTGTGAGAATTCGTATTTTTGACGAATGGACTGCTTGAAACTGCATCATATGGACCAGAAGCTGAATAAGTGAAGGGCGAGTCGTAGCCGCAGGAATAGCTCAAGGGGTTTCTATGTGGATGAATATCTCCACGATTGTACCATGTGTCCGAATCTTGTTCGTTGGAAGGCTCGAAAGCTTCGCTCTGCGTTTCTGAGTAGAAGCGGGAAGGCATCAGAACGTCTTCTTTATATCTGTCCAACCTGCACTCCTTACTATTTGCGTGATGAATCTTGGAGAGCCGAGAGAGAGATTTGGTTTCGCTCGCGTCGCGTGAATCCGTAATGCTGGATGTACCCTTTGTATCATCGTCATCGTGGCTCTCAATATGCGACCGCTTCGAGGACTTTTCAGTTCGTAGGCGTGAACTTGCTCTGGCACAGAGCTGACTAAGGGAGATGGGTTGGGAAGACGCGAGATGTTCGAAGCTGTCTAGCTCGTGGGACTCGTCCTGGACGGCGAATCTGGATGTCCTAGTCGGAGTAGAAGGAGAGTTCAACGATAGTCTTTGAGTAGCCATTGTGGATAGACTTCGACGCGCTTTGATGGGGACGTTGGGCGAGAAGAGATGGTTAGAGCGTGTCTTGCTTCCTTCTTGAAACGACCCAGTATAGCTAACAGATCGGTGGGAGCTTGAAAGAGTTCTTGCAGGAATAGGAGATTGTAAGAGGGGAGATGAGTCGAAAGTGTCTAGTTCAGCGAGATTAGAGATGGTGGAAAGAGAACGAATGCTGGGGTCTCGTTTAGATGGCGTAGAAATGGGTGACTGAAGCTGGGGTGGACTGGAGGACTAAAGCACACCAGAGTGAGCAAAATGTTTCAGTGAAGCAAACCACGAGGGAGGGATCCAACCGGTGGCATGTTCTGTTCCTCGGAGCTTTCCTCGGGCCATGCTCCTGGTAGTGTTGGTTTCCTGGATTCGACATGATGGAGCAAGCTTTCGACCCCCATAGGAGCTCGACCCGGGATCATGCTCTCGATTGTCGCCGCCGCTTTTTTCTTACGCGATCGCTGTCCTGGAATTGGGTCATTTAGCAGGAGACCTAGGCTTGAGAATATCCCAATTAGTCAACAGAAGAAGACTCACGACGACGGTGCTTTTTGGGCTTCACTTCGTCTAACATAATCGAAGACATGTCGGCAGCTTCTGGTACCTGGTGACGATCGGTTGACGAGAGTTGGGTCATTTTTCATCAATTGGAGATGGACATGTAGGGGGAAGATGAGGGTTGAGTGTCGGCTGGTAGGCTTTTGATGCAAAACAAGTACCTGCCTTCTACAGGCTTTCAACTCGGGAAAGCGCCAAACAGCTGACGAAAGGGACTCAATATGCAAACATTTCACCAAAAAGGGATAAGATTATTGAAATATGAGCGAGCATAACATTTCAATGAGACACAAAGAGAGACAAAAGCTGGTATGTGAACCTTTCTTAGCCAGCAATCTGGAAGCTCCGCAGTATACACTAACTTTTTCCCTCCAAAAAAGGAAGATCCCACCTCTTTCAGATGGAAAAGCCCACGGCCGTTCACCACTGGTTTCGCTGGGAATATCCGGTCTCCGACTCCATGCGCGAACCGCCCATCTTGTTTGCAGAGTCATATCCGTAGGATCCCCCAGTCTGCTGACCAGTTCCACGGCCACTGTAGCTGCTACCGCCTGTAGCATTGCCGCCTCCAAAGCTCTGAGAGCCATAAGAATCAGTACCCGAGCCATATTCATTGGATCTCGATCCATAGCCACCGGTGGTGCTCGAGCCATAGTTGCCAGAACCCGACTGGGTCCCATAACCACTGGTAGATCCACTCCCATAGCCCCCAGTTGTGCTCGAGCCGTAGTTGCCAGATCCAGGTTTAGATCCATACTCGTTCGACCCGTAGCCAGTGGTAGAGGTTCCTCCATAGTTACCAGTGGTGCCCGAGCCATAGTTATCAGCGCTAGTCCGGCCATGACTACCCGAGTCATAGCCGCCAGAGGTCCGCGAGCCGTAGGAGTCGGAGCCATAGGTTCCGGAGCTAGATTTGCCGTAGTCGCTCGATCCATATCCGCTAGAGCCCTTGGATCCGTAGGTGCTAGAACCGTAGTTGCCCGATCTAGGTTTGTTGTAGTCGCTCGATCCGTAGCCACCAGACGTCTGAGAAGGGTAGTTGTCCGAGCTTGATCTACCGTAGTCGCCCGATGACTTAGACCCGTGTTTGCCAGAGCTGTGTCCGGTAGAAGTCTTGGAGCCGTAACTATCGGATCCGTAGCTACCGGAGGTCTTCGAACCGTAGTTGTCAGAGTCGTATGTGCCCGCAGTCTTGCCATACTCGCTCGAGCCGTAGTCCGACGAAGACCTTGTTCCATACGAATCAGAGCCATGCTTGTTGGAGCTGGATCCGTAGCTGTCCGAGCCTGGGATGTGTTACTATTGAAGGGTATATGGTCTAGTAGAGGGCAGAGCATACCGGAATGCTTTGAATCCGAGTGATGGCCAGTCACGGCATCCTTGACCTTATTGATAATGTTAGGCATGATTGAGTCTGATCCTAATAGTATGTGACGACAGAAAGTACTCAATTGACTTGCAGGTATGTTCTAGAAACACGGAACGACAGTACAGGAGACACATCTTTTATAAGGATACCTCCCAGGAAGCAACCTACCTCTCCGGGTTCTCTTACGCCATCAAACAGGATCCCCGAAGAGGCCTGAGGGGAAGAAGGGTGAAGGGCTGGTTCACTCAAGGTTCCATGACGTTTCCGGAGGATAAGTCGATTGATGGAGGCATCTCATAAGGAGAGATAGATCCGGATCACGTCACGAGTCCGAACGGGGTAAGCTTGATACCGGAGCCATGGATGACGGTGGAGAGGAGCTCCAGATGCACCAGCCACAGCGGCGACCGCCACAGAAACCCCGCCGTGAGATCAATGGAGGCAGAACTGGTCAGCCATAGACGATTGGTGACTGGTGTCAAACGATGGGCTCGCATGGAGCTCCATGTCCGGAGAAGGTAGAGTCCGATCTGACCAGGAAGAACGGGCGTTGTGACGAGTCCATCGTCACTTGGCTGAGAACCCACAGGAAGCATCAGTTCGGCATTTCCTTCCAACTAGTGATTCTGTTCTATCAAGTCTTTGGTGAATGCTCATAAGTGAACCCAGTGGACTATTGAAACCTGCAGAAATCGGTCATAACTAGGGAAAACACAAGTACGCGCGTGGTCGGAATTGGCTCTCCATCCTACATATGCATGCCGAATGCATTGCACTGGGTCCAAAGTAAGGTACTTGGATACATGACCGGACGCAGGACCAGACGAAGAATGGATATTCAGGGAGGGTGTCTATCTATGGTGAGAAGACGTCGATCTGCGCGAGTTTTTCGGCTTCGTTCAAACAGAGGCAAACAGAAGAACGGGATGTGGAGATGCGATGACAACATGATCTGCGGGGACGGGTTCACGTCGGATAGAGGGAGGCATGTACGGAGTATGTGGTTCGGAAAATAATGACAATGAATCGCGAGAAAATGGACGAGGTTAGATCTCAAGTAGACGTGCCTGTAGATAGTGTGGACTACATACCTAGGTATAATATTTGATCGGACTATTATTAGTCTAGTAGTATTTAGGCAGACGTTTAACTCGATGTAGGGAGGTCAATTGGGTTAGTGGGCAATCCCGTGACTCCGAGGCTGTGCGTCTTGCGTGTTGCGTGGACAAGAACAACCGAACGACATCATCCTCCCTCCCTCCATCCATCCTTCCACCTCTCCGGCTGTCACTCACTCCCCCTGATTCTCCCTTCGTCGCGTCCGGGTGTCAATCTCCCTCCATAATCCTTTTAATTCTCTCCCCAGTTCTTGTTCGTGTTTGGGTTCCCCTCTGTGGTTGGCGTTGAGGATTCTCCATGACTGTCCACCCTGTGGTTGTCGTCTGATGACCCTTTGATTGGTCCTCTCAATCAGTCATCAACAACCTACCAAGAAACTCGTCCATCTTCCCTTCGTCATTCCCCCCCAAGTTCCCCCCTCTCTCCAACTGTTATTGTCGTCTTATTGTCGCCCTGGGTTTGCACAGTGGCCAAAAGTAAAAGATGCGACCGCCGCGTTTGCTTCTCCTTGTCTTCTGCTTCATCTTCTTTCCTATCTTCCTCACCTTCTTTTCCGCTCTGACATCATCTCCGCGTGTGACTACCCCCAGTACGTTCGCTGGTCGAGCCACGGGTTTTCATGCGCTGTTCTCCTTTAATATCCCTTCGTCTCTATTCCCTCCCTCCGCGGTCATCAGTCTCACCGATGATAATTCCACCTTCTTTCTAGCCAGACCTGCCGCGTTTGGCCCCCTCCTGCCGGATAACGGTCTCAGTGGCCAACTATGGGTCGGGAGTGGTTTCGGCGATCGAACCGCCGCGGGAGCTGAAGGGGAGCTAGGCTGTTCAGATATTCCGGGCTGGGGCGAAGGTGATTCTCATCGACAGGTCGATAAGACAAGTCCCGCGGATAACGCCGGGGGAAGATCGGGGACCGGGGTCGGGATCGAGTCGACTGGATCGCAACCCCACCGGGACTCTCCACTAGATTCTGGACTTCACCACAGTACTACAGATGCTACATCCCCGTGGTCCAACGATGGCACCGATGATCACCTGCACCATCCTCTCCCAGAATCGGAAGTGGCCGACCCAAGTGCTGCGGAGCAGCATACCGAACCTTTCCTGAACAAGCAAACCGCCCATGCAGATATACAGTCCCTCCAGGAAAGCGCCGAGATTAATGGAAAAGTCGTCTTGTTGAGTCGCGGTGGCTGTGGCTTCCTCGAGAAGGTCAAATGGGCTCAGCGGCGTGGAGGTATTGCTCTGATTGTTGGTGATGATACCCGGGGTGGAAGTCTGGTCACAATGTATGCCCGAGGCGACACCTCTAATGTCACTATCCCCGCGTTATTTACGTCACATACTACGGCGCAACTGCTATCATCCCTTGTTCCTGCACAGGACGAGGATATCATTGCGGATGAAAGCCCTGCGGCAAAGCTATCCACCCATGGCGCCAAACAACGAGTCGAGTCGACGACCACTACAACGGCTGTCTCGTCTCCAACATCGACCCGCTCCGCCGCCACAGGCACCCCCTCTGCCTCTGCGCAACACAAGGAGGGTTTATTCCGCGGCGTCTTGTCATTGCTTGGCGTGAACAGTCACCGCACAGGACACATCTCACAGGACAGCCAGCGTCCACCTACCAGTGGAAATATCGACTGGATCCTCATGGATCCCTGGGATGACCCCGAGGCGTCCAGCAAAGGCCGAGCGAAAGACAGTGCTACAGACGTTCGGCAGACTGGGGATGGGGATGGGTTCGTTATCGGAGTGCAAGACTGGCGGGATCCAGACCTAGTGGCCCCGATGAGCAGCTCCATCGCAGCACCGACCAGTGTCTCCCAGACGGACGGGTCACACTCTACACACGGTCCACTGAAAGGTGGCAGTATCACTCCCGGAAGTGGCGAATACCGTACTATTGAAAAGCCCAGTGCCAACAAGGAAGCCAATGTCAAGACAGTGGCTAGTCAAGACGCCGAAGCGGATAAGAAAGAATCTGTGCAGAGTGGCAGCTGGTTTGCCAAACACTTCGGATGGGTAAAGGAAAGTGAACCAGAGCCCAGTCTTTCCTCGCGCGACTATTCGGAAGCGAGGAAATTGCAGAATGACTCGGCGCAAAAGCGTCAAGGGGCGAAGGTATTGGAGCATGAAGGGTTATGGGTTACGTTGACCCCAACGAGCATGTCCACGAGCCCCTTTTTCGACACGCTTCTCGTCCTTGTGGTCAGCCCGTTGTTAACCTTGACCGTTGTTTATGTGCTTCTGTTGCTTCGGTCTCGTATCCGCCGCCGGCGGTGGCGAGCTCCTAAATCCCTTGTTGACCGTCTCCCGGTCAGAACATACCACACGATCAGCACGCCCTCATCGTCGAGCTCCATCCGATCAGTCAGCCCTGGTCCGGTTTCCCCGACATCTCCGCTATTGGGCTACTCGGCACTCCCTGGCTATCGGTCGCGATCTCAGAAAGAATCTACCATTGATAGCCCAAAGAGCCCGTCCAAAAAGGAAAAGTCGGGCTCGTCTACGCTGTGGCGGCGCAAGTACACCGGGCGGCAGGTGGAATGTGTTGTGTGCCTGGAAGAGTACGTGGATGGACAAAGCCGGGTGATGAGCTTGCCCTGTGGGCATGAGTTCCATGCCGAGTGCATGTAAGTGTTGGAGATTTTTTACACGGAATATTGGATACTAACGGATACAGCACCCCTTGGCTGACTACCAGACGTCGCACATGCCCGATCTGCAAAGGAGATGTGGTCCGGTCGCTGGCTCAAAACAGGGCTGTTGAGACGGCGTCCGAATCTACCGAGTCAACAACCCACAGTGATCACGATTCAGGATCACATAACGCCTCTGCCCCTGTCCCGATCGCTGGTCTGAGTGAGGATGAGATGTCAGACCCTGAGCGACAAACTGGGCCAGCAGATGGACTTCTTAGCGGACAATCTTCCTCGGCTCCACAACCCGGCTGGAGGAACTTTGCTGCGCTGAGCTTTTCGGCCCTGAGCGGCGATACAATCTGGCATCAGGGTCGGACTGACAGCGACCACAGATGATGTTTGGGACTCGTCTATATCCTCTCCCGTTTAGGGTCTCTTTCGTTTCTTTCTTTTGTACTGCATTAGCGAGTTGAGGTTGTGCACGGCTGGCGTTGGGGTATGTATAGGATTGGAGGCAGTATATCAATACCTTGCTGCTTGATTAAACCGGACTTAATCTCATTTTCACATTCGTAGGCGTAGAACTAAGTAGTGTCACGGTGTTGGATCCATATCGATATGCTGACGTCATAGGAACTATACTCCAGACGGCTAGTGCAGATAAGAACCCAACCGTCCGGACAGAGCTCCATCACGTTTCCTTCATTTCGACCATCTCCCAACCATGACCGACAGAATCAAAGAAGCAGTCCTTGCAGAGGCAAAAGCCGCGCAGGACGTCGCCCACGATGTCGCCCGCTCCGGCGCCTACCTCTACCCATTCAAGGTACCACCCACCTCCCTACCCCCATCCACAACCCAACGACAAGCTAATAACGGAGCCAAGGGCCTCATCTACTTTGCAACCCACAAATCCCTCTGGCGCCCGTTCCTCTCGCGCGCCAGCCAAACCATCACCCTCGGCCTCGGCGTCACAACGGGCATGTTCTTCTTCACCTACGTCCCGCAGATGACCCTGATGCTCTTCACGAGCGGGCCCCTGCTGGCCCCCTTCTCGGCCGCCCTGCTCGTCCTCAGCGAAAGCTCCACCATCACCACCTTCCTCTCGCGCTCGTTCGTCCTCGGCGACGCCCTGACGGATACCTTTGACGGCACGCTGGTGTCCTGCGGGTGCGAGACGCTCGTCGCGCAGGGGCGCCACGTCGCCGCCGCCGGCGGAGGGGAAGGAGGCGGTGATGCGATCGCGCGGCTGGGGAAGATGGTGCGCAAGCCGTTGGCGCGGCTGCGGCCGCGGGCGCTGCTGCGGTCGCTGCTGCTGCTGCCGGTGAATTTTGTGCCCGTCGTCGGCACGCTGGTGTATGTGTTTGTGCAGGGCCGGCGGTTTGGGCCCGTGGCGCATGAGCGGTATTTTCAGTTGAAGGGGTGGGGGGAGAAGAAGAGGGAGGAGTGGCTGCGGAGGTTTCAGGGGGCGTATACTGGGTATGTTGCCAGACCCCGTTTCCTACTTGTTGGGTTATGGTGGCGTCGTGCTGACTGCGCAGGCTGGGAATGGCGTCGTTCCTGCTGGAGATGGTGCCGTTTGCTTCGTTGGTGTTTGCGTTTACGAATACGGTTGGGGCGGCGCTGTGGGCGGCGGATTTGGAGAAGGCGGTGCAGTGAAAGACTCAAGTATATGTCTGTACGACGAGGCTTATGTAGCAACAAAAGTATGAAGAATGAACGGCTTCATAACACAATACACTGAAGGTATATATACATATCTACAGCCGATACGGGCATCATGCAGATGACTGGTTCCCGGATACCTCTCCTGGCACGCAGGCCCAACTGCAGCCGAACCTCCGGAAAGGCAAGGGCCGAAGGCTCTCGCCAGACGGCCGGGGCCCCTTCAGCCCGTTCTCGTACGTAGCGCAGTCCCACCACTCGATCCATTCCGTCCGCGCAATCACAAACGCCCGGTGGCACACCGAGCAGTGTCGGCCGCCCCCGCTGCGTACCTCGCGCGCCTGTTGGAGAAGCCGCACCATCAGGGCGGGGAGATCGGCAATGTCGGCATCGGAAATCATATCGAAGAACGGAGACCGGCTAAAAGCAAGGAGAGAGACCTCGCGGAGTGACGGGACCCGTGTGTCGGACCCGTTCGACTCGTTCGTGCGCATGCCGCCCATAAGAGTGGGCTCGCCGACAGGGACGCCCTCCATGTTGAAGCGGCGCACCGGCCCCGTCGCAACGTGGATCGGAGCCCAGGCTTCCTCCGGCGCGGGGCCTTCATACTCGCTCATTTTCAATGCGTCCGATAGTGACTGCGGAGCCGTGTCGAGCGGGAAATGCCATTGCGCGATGTCCGCGTCCTCGATCTGCATCAGGGGGTTTGGGCGAACGGTCAGCTGCTTCAAATCGCCTTTCTTGATCAGCCATAACAGCTCCCAGGGGAGGTACTGCAGGCGATTGACCGACAGGTTGACCTCCTGCAGCATAGTCAACTGCCTGATCGCCGGTGGAATGTTCGTCAGCTTGTTATTCCGCAAGCTCAATACTCTGAGAGACTTCAACTCGAATAGTTCGCCCGAGATCGTGGTCAGCGAGTTTCCAGCTAGAAAGAGTCGCAGGAACGGCTGCAGAGAGCTGTAGACATCCTCCGTCACCGGAGGCTCCCTCACGGCCGGCAGCTTCGTGAGATGCTGCAGCGGTCTCAGGAGGCCTGGCGGGAGGACCCTCAGGTTACCATTGCTGTAACGTAGTCAGACACCATCATCTCAGAACACACAAGCCATAACATGATCGACACCACATACCTCAAATCAACACTATCCTCCCCTCGCTCCAGACACTCATTCACCACCGCACGAGCAAGCTCATATTCCCTAGGCTCCTCCACCTTCCGGAACCCTACCCGTTGAGAGGGTTCCCGCTGGCCCGGCATCTCCGACGAGTTTTCCACATTTCTCCCGCGCGCCGACAGGGCACTCGGCCGCTGCGCCGGCACCAGGAGATCCTCGCCCCAGTTGGACGCTTCGGAAGAAAGCAGCGGCGAATCTGCGCCCGACTCATCACTTCCCATCCACACACCACTATCGACCAGACGCTTGTCTTTGAAATCGGCCCTCTTGCGCTTCGGGTCCTTGACCATCTCGCCCCACCAGGTGCCGCGATAGCGGCGTTTGCGGTTGCCAGACGACACGGGCGCGTTGTAGTTCTCCAGGCCGGAGGCGGGGACGTCATCGCTGGAGAAAAGCGCTGGGTCGCTGGAGGGTTGGCTGGAGCGGTCATCGAAGCGGGAGAGGCGGTAGTTCTTTCGCAGCGACGAGGGAGCTCGGGGAGTTTTGGTTGGGGAGCGATGGCGGACGCGCGGGGGCGGTGGGAGCGGAATTTCGCTGTCCATTGTGGCGGTGGTATGCGGGTTCTCGGGGGATGGATGTTACGCGAACTGACCAGCACGCGCCCGGTTACGGGGTTGAACGTGGGAGATGCTTGACAGACGCGTGGGAGATGCAGACAGGAGAATGAGTTGTGGGGGTAACAGACGGGGGGGTAGGATGATATGTCCTGGGCGATTCTCAGTAGAGGGGATCACATCACCAGGAGTGGACCGGAAGCATGACGTCCGAAAGAATGGAGATCAGCTCAGTCGGAGTACAGAAGCGTTGAAGGAGAGTCTACGGAGTAACGTGATTTTGGTGGAGCGATGTTGATTGCTTGCCCGATTAGGCGAGCACGCGTCCTCCACGCGGCGGTGGCCAATCAGCGGGCCGTCGCAGGGTCTGAAGAAAAGAAGTGGTCGATGCGCCATGATCGACTGACTTGATCTACTAGTCCCTACTTAAGTATATCTACATAAAGAATAGGATAGAAATATGGAAATATTGGGTGTATTCAAAAAGTTCGAAAGCGTGTATCGCGGTTCAATGAACCTCTATACACATCGCTATCGCTGTCGTATACAACGGCTCGCCGTGTCACTCATTCAGAACGTCGTAAAGGGGTATATAAACAGGCGTATGAATCATAACACCTAGCCTCCGCCGTCGTATCATCACCGAACGTCCGGATCATCGAGCGGAGGACAAGAAGTAAATATAGAACATAAGGGGTAAGACAAAATAAATATGGTGCAAGTATAGAAGAGAATCGAATCATCACCAATCCAACTTCGACCAAATCCTGTTCCACTCCCGACTCTTTACAGGTAGTTCAAGAACAGGGCAAAAGAGCCAGCAGCAAGAACCACAGGCAGCTGGACATCACCGATGCGCATGGCCGCACCGGTGGTCGGAGTAGCGGAAGCCGCGGCCGAAGAGGTCGAACTGGCAGCAACAGAAGAGCTGGAGGCGGCGCTGCTCGAGGGAATGGCAGAGCTCGTGGGGGTGACGACAGCGGACGAAGACGGAGTGCCAGTGGCGGACACGGTATTCACGCGGATCACAGTCCGGGTGATGGTGTGAGTATTCGTCGATGTGAGGGTCTGCTCCTCAGCGGCGACAAGCTGGATGGCAGCCAGGCAGAGGGCGGACGCAACAGCAGTGAACTTCATGGTTTTGCGGTTTCGGTAGTTTCGAGAAAGTTTGGTAGGTAGATTGGTTTATACTGCACGACTTCGGCAGTCGAAGGTATCTGCAAGAGGAAGCGAAGAAGGCGCGGAGTACCGGTGTAGCCGTGAAGCTGAGTGTATGCGACGTAGATCGAAAGAGTGGAAGACCAGTACGCGAAAGAGTGAGCGTTATCCGGGCCGGATGGAGATAAAGAGCGTGAGGTGGAGGGAGCGTCAGAGAGTGAACAGAACAGAAAGGGACCCAAATGGGGCGGACCGGGCAAGGGTGGGACTAAATAAATAGTAGTGAGGGAGGGAATGAGGGCAAGAACCCCTACTCCTACCAAATGCCAGAGAGAAACACGATTTCTTTGTGCCTGGTGGCGCCCCCGGACTGCCGGGATCGACTGGTCATTGGGCCGGTGGTAAGGGGCTCCATCCGCATCTCATTTTAATCAAACCCCCGTCACGCCCAGTAACGAGGCCCAGCGCTTCCTGGAGGATCGTTAGTGCGTCTAGGGAGACAGACCAAGAGCAGATGATCTTACTGAATTACTCAATGGAAGGAATTATTATTGAAGAAAGATATTATTATTATTATTATCATTATTATTGAAGAACAGACCAGCACCTGCATGAGTTGTACGGTGGAGTGCCAGCACAACAAACACATCCATGGATGGAGGGACCCGGATCGGCCAATTAATGGGGATCTGACTTTGGTTCCTGAACCGGTTCCCTGGTCCACTTCATCATCCATTATCAATAGGATTATTATCTCATTTCCCATCTTATGATGATCATTATTATTATTATGGGTGTTTTGTGTCTTACTCTAATCCCATCTGAATCATCATTCTCAAGCACAGTATGGAGAAATTTCGGCATGTCCTCACAACGGCGCTTGTTGACACGCTCGTGTCTCTCAAATGTTTCACTTCCAGAGACCCTTGGCCCCCTAGGATCCCCCGAATACCCCGACCAGGATCATCCCAGGATGACAGAATTTTCCCTGCATTTAGACTCCAGCTACGATCAGAATTTTCTCGTTTAGGCGGTCATCCCCAGTCGGGGAGTCATTGCCGAGCACACGTCCAATGATCTCGACCGTTGTCCGAGTTGGATCGAGGAAATGAGCCCAAGGCCACTAGAAAATCAGTCGGCGGACCGTATTGTTCTGGCCATCCGACGAACACGATCGTCTCTGCAACTGCTGCACCCGGTAAGTGCGTTCGGATCGGGCTCGCATCATTACACCGTTCCAGTAGTGGGACATCGTCTCACCGGTCTTAAGCCCGGACAGGCAGTGATATTCCTTCAGAATCGCCACTATAATTTACTAGTACTAGGTACTAATTAGTTAACTACTCAGAGTAGGTTCTCTGAGGTATCGAACGTTCTTCAGGCACAGACAAAACATGTGCGTGATGAATCTATTAGATTCCATGGTCTGACTCTTGCCTCTGGTATTCAACAAAGTTAATCCATGCCATATGTACTCCAACCACAGAGTTTGGTCGCTGTTGTTGTCGAATTCCAGGTCTCATTTGTTTATTTGTATACACAACAATCGGTCCCTCGTCTCTCAAGGGGTCCTCCGTAATACCACGACAACGACCCCTTCATTCATCGTGGAGAAACAGGCATGATCTTGAATCTAAGAACACCACGCCTGCCTTTTTCTGACTGGCGGGATACTCCTCCAGGGCCAGGCAGGTTTTTTTTTTTTTTTTTTTTTTTTTTTTTTAAGAATTTAATGGTTCTCGTCGGCTTTTTCACCCACAAAATTTGACATGGCCACGTGCCGATCATAACTTACCATCCACCAAGCTGATATTCCACTTTATCCTATCCTAAAGACTTTAGTATACGGCAGTATGATTCGCTGCAGCGGGCCATGGTAGAAGAAAGGCGTAGGCCTATTGGGAATCTATCCCCTACGATCGCTTTGAAGGTGGTTGTGTCCGGTTTGCCAGTCTCAGCTGGGTGACATGGTTCTCAGGCTTCGTGGGGAAACACATGTTCGGGGCCGTCATCATTTGAATCTCTCGGTTTGCACAATGAACCAGTAACTGAGAGTACAAATCAACGTGTTAGTATTAGCGCATCTGAGGTGAATCTCGACATGAATAAAGGCTATCCGCTTGGGTTGATTGCAGCAAAATCCCCTCTACAAAGTGGCGCACCAAGCCCACAATATATAGAGCCTTCTGGCCTCGAACCTCTACTGGAGCACCCAATCTCGTGGTGTTTATGGCTTCACGAACCTCCGTACGAGGACGAAACTCTAACCAAGACAAAGAGCTCACCTACTTCATCAAAGCGTTCATACAGACCATCTACGAACATTCGGTATGCGAGCGCAACAAATAACCTTCTATATATGACCCAGTAGATCCAGAAGATGTCATTCTGGACGCAACCACTGTTCAGAAAATCACTCCTACCGTGCGCAGATGGCGTAGCTATGGCTTCGACGACTCTTGTCCTCGTGGCAGTTGCCTAGTTTCTCAGTACAAATAAGACTGTCAGTGCGTCCCTATTCCAGATGAAGAGACACGGGCATCTGCGTTTACGCGACCTGGTTATTCTAGACCTTGCTACCAATTCTTTACTGAGAATTCGGAGGCATTCTTTAATGTCGAAGTAGTGAAAACCCTGCTGTTATATGCGGAGATGGACACGATTCTGCGAGCGTGTGTTCTTCCTGGAGTGCGTCTAAAGCGATGGTGGCATGACTTTCAATGCCAGTGCTTGGCGAGTCTACATGTTCCGTCCCGATATGTTCCTTCACATTCAGTCAGAATACTCTCATCTTGTTCGCAATCCTAAGCACTGTTGGTTCCATGTACTGACCAGCACAGGACCCTGATCTCGGTTGGGACCAAGTATGTATCAAGGCCCTTAGGGCCTATATATGTCTGAACACGATTCACTGCATGCCAAAGATATGGGACAACTCTTCCGGGAGAACCGAGGAGACCGACTACCGAACCAGCAAGTTCTACCACTTTACACTGAGAACACGCACAGGCACGGGTCAAACATCAGATGTCAGCACATATCCTCATCGGCAATTCTTTGGGATATGCGACAACCAATTTGGGGGGCGAGTACTGTGCTCATCGCATTGTAAATAGTCATTGGCTTCGTTGGGCACATCCCGATGCCCAAAATCATAGTCGTCGGGCCAATCATTATGGGAGGGTGCCCATCAGCGAATTTCTCGTTTTGAAGAATGCAAATTTGGAGGGTCACCAGCCAGGTCAGTCTGATGTCGTACTTGTTCAGGACTACCTGTATCGAATGGGTCTTCTGGCGGAGTTGGCGTTGTACGTCATGGAGCTCGCTGGATATGAGCTTTTGGGGAGATTGAGTGAGCCACATGATCCCTTCACCCACCGAACCGTGAGGAACCGGGTCGATACCTTACCTATTGCTGGCGAGTGCTAGTCAAATGTGACATGATGGCCAAGGCTCTTGGAATGAAACTTCCATGGGAAGCACTACTCGGCGACTGTATTGCTGAATTCTGGGCTGATGACAACTGTGGGCGTGGAAACTATGGCAGACTGCCCAAAGTGTTTGTCAAGCCTTGATGTTGAATCGACAGATGCGGTTAACTAGAACTTGTTCCATTATCCGCTCACGCTTTTTGAGGAATGCCGTGCAATAGGATGCTTTATGATCCTTGTACTCCAGCCTATATTTTCTGGTGCGTCCGTTAATCAAGATACTCCACGCAAGAGCGATGGTCGTATGTCCTGACAGTGGCTTTCAATCGGTCAGGTATTCCCATGTTGAAGCATCATACGACGTTCAACTCTTCCTCCCTAAGATCCACTAAACATCGCACACTCAATACACGTACGATCATGAGATCATGATTTCATGTTCGCCTTCATTAAATAATTAATCATTGTGTAACGCCTAGAGACAATTACGTCTCCGTCAAAGATACCCAGGTACCTCGAACCTATCCCAACGCTCCAACTATGTACATCATACAAAATTCCCCCGCTGTCCTCCCAGCATGGCTTCTGCGCCCGTAGGAGTTGATCGTATTGTACAAAATTTCGTCGCATGTATCATGCAGGACAAAATGGCCGCTCATTTATTCGCGGACTGGTCGCAGAGGGCTCTGGCGGGGGAGCATCATGGGAGGTCCGCGGGCACGGAGCCAGGCATCGTTATGGGGGCCTTCGGTACGGATCACACTGCCAATGGACATGAAGAGACTAGATGAGGTGGTTAGCATCAAACCATAGTCCCCTGAGGCGTATGAATGCGATTGGGGATATATAAGTATTCTTGATGGCAAGAATATCAGAGAAACATACCCAAATGTCGCACCAGAACCCAGCATATATTTACCCAGAGTGCGCATGACACCGTTGGGGCCAGCACCATATTGGAAGATGGTGACGGTTCCTGAAAACATGAATATGAAGTCGTGGACAAGACACAGAGTCGTTGCGAACTAACCGATAATGAAACCCATGATACCTCCAACAGCTAAAGAGAACTGATCAGCCATGGCCAAGACCAGACACGCGACAGGAGACTTACTGGAACCCATCAAAGCACCCATCTTCACTGTGAGAAAGTCAGTCATCCCATCCATAGTAGGCATTGAATCGTCATGGCCCAGATGTCCCGAACTGGTTGGTCATGAAGGACTCCATGAAGCAATTCCTGCGGCTTCTAGAAACTCACTCTTATCGAAAGTCGAGGGGCCATGGCCCTGAGGGGGACCTGCGACAACGGGCATCTTGGAAATAGGAAGATGGAGTAGATCGCGCAGGAATACACCTGGAAAACACAAGCAAGAAGACGACACCGTAGTGACCGCTGTTCGACTCGACGGTCTTCTTGCAGAAGCTCCTCCGCTCATCGGTCCATTCCGTCAGTGACACGTGATGAGACCGCCTGCCCAATGGGGACGGTGCCGTACCTTACCATTTCAGGACTAGTACATCGGCGCCCCGTACGTCGTCCTTACCTAAGCACACGTGCCGGCTCTCCCACCCTCTCCCACGTGACCTTCCAACCTGAGGCCTTCCAGGAGCAGACGAGCTGATTCCCTTCCCGCTGGCTGCTCCAGTGGCCACCCATGCGATTCTGTCTTGGAACGACCGACTTTTCTGTGTCGAGTTACTGCTCGCTTGGTGGCTTACACGCCTGTGCAAGGCGGCCCTCCCGTCTCGTGCTTCTTTCTCTCGCCTCCGACGGTATTTCTCACCGGTCGCTCCTCGGGTGAGGCCAAGACCTTATTATAGACGCCTCCTTGCTCTGAAACCCATTTCTATTGTTATTTCATCCAGCCTCCGCCTCCTCGCGGCCGTTTGTTTATGTACCACCGTGGTAAGCTTATCCTATCGACGCAAACCATGGCCCTGGGCCGTCATCGATTGTCTTCGTGATTTCCGCAGGACGTTCGTATTATTTGGCGACTACGGGACGGGGGCTAACGTGACCTATGATTCCAGACTCTCTTCACTGTTGACTTCAGTTCCGAGTCGATCGTCGCGAGACCTAGAAACGAGTGAATCTTCTTTCCGTGCCTCGAATCGTCCGAACCTTTGTTGGTCGACAGGTTACCCTTGACCTGCGCCCACGGGATAGGACCCCCGAAACAGTCATCCACGCGGACTCATCTCCCGGCATCCTTCTCCATGACTGCTGTGGCATCGCCGCCTAGTGTACAATCGGGGCCTCGTTTGGGATGGTACACGTCTGGTAACGGTAACGGTGGCCAAGGAGCTCTCTCTTCCATGAACGCCGACGAGGTTTCACGCATGTTTGTGCCACGCAAGGCCCTTCAGAGATCGAACTCCTCGTCCTCTTTGAACTCCACCTCGTCCACGGCAACCGTGACCACGGCATCGCAGAATTCTAATGCGGCTCAACCTTCGAACGCCGACTCCGCTACTTGGTCCTCGAAGAAGAAACCTTCAAGAAGTATCTGGCCAAGCTCCAAGTCCGAACCGGTGTCTGGTGTGAGCAACGCGCGTCCCCAGGTGATGCCCGGCTTTTCGTCCGGGCCAGCTGCCTCTTCTGCTATGGCCGCGATGCACCAGCCTAACTCGATCGTTCCGTCTCAGCATATGTATCAGTCGCAACAGAATGGCGTTCGAGGAGGAAGCGCGCCATCCGGAGATCCGCCCGCAATTCTGACCCTCATCCCGATCAACAGCACATTCGAAAGAAAACAGATCACCGTACCATACTATCCGGAGATATTACGCATCGGACGACAAACAAACGCCAAAACAGCCCCGTCACCGGTGAATGGATATTTCGATTCCAAGGTCCTGTCTCGGCAGCATGCTGAGATCTGGGCTGACAAGTCTGGCAAGATCTGGATCAGAGATGTGAAGTCATCAAACGGCACTTTCATCAACGGCAAGCGACTGTCTCCGGAGAACCGCGAGTCTGAACCTCATGAGCTCCGAGAAAACGACCAGCTGGACCTGGGTATCGATATCATCAGCGAAGATCAGAAGACAGTCGTCCATCACAAGGTGTGTGCTAAAGTCGAACATGCGGGCGTCTATGGTACGATCCCCAATATTCTTGATCTCACGCTGGGAGATCTTGACCCGGCTTCGGGAGGTGGGCTTTTACCCTCACCTCTCAGTCAGCCATTATCGCATCTGCGCGGGCGGTCGGGTAGCAATGTCAGCAATCGCAGTGCGCAGAGTGCTGCCAGCAGCCAGTTCAATGCAATGCAACAACAGAGGCAGATGAACTACTGGAACTCGCCCATATCCATTGAGCAGGTTGTCAAACGACTGACGGTAGGTTCCATCGTCGATGCTACGTATGTGGCGATGTGCTAACGCGATGACCAGGCTGAAATGAAGCAAGCAAAACAACAGTCACAGGATCTTCGTCAGACGGATGAGTTCCTCGCGACACTCATGAAACCAGGACACGCAGAGAAGGAGAAGGAGAAGGCAAAACATTCTCCCGCTGAGAGTGCCTCTTCTCGTCAGGTCAATGGAAGACCTAAGATGCCGCGCGTTGACTCGTTCTCGCGGTTCTCTGATCCTCCAGCACCACCCCCACAGCAGCCTCTGCCCGAAAAGCCCGATGCATTGCCCCGGAATGGCATGGAGGCCATGTCGCCTCTCAAGCGTTCTGATACAGAAAAGCCAAAGCTAGGAGCCACCGGCTCTCCGGTGTCGCGTGAGTCGAGCCAAATCCTTTCCCTCATTGAGGCTTTATCAACGGCCAAACGTGAGCTTGATAGCCAAGGGGCTCGCGTGAAAGAACTCGAAAGTCTCCTGCTTCAAGAACGCAATGCTCGTGAATCTGCAGAGGAAAGGGCTAGGAATCTTGAAATGAAAAACAAGGAGAACCAGGCGATTGTTCCCACAGAGCCAAAAGATGTGCACGTGGATACTCCTTCAGGGAGCTTGGTTGAAGACCAGAAGCCGCAATCATTGGATGCCGAAAAGCCACAAAACCCCGCTGTAGCCGACTCGACGCAAGTCGACGTGTCGGCTGATGTGCAGACCAGTCAACTCCAGCTTCGCCTCGAGGCGATGGTGGTGGAGATGGAAGAAATGAGGAAGCAGATTGTTCATTTCAAGGAGCGTGCGCTCCAGGCTGAAGATGAGACGGTGCAAACCAGGAAGTCTCTGTCCGAGATGATCGATACGCTGCGGCGAGAGCGCGAAGAAGATTTGAAGATTCGCAAATCCAAGGCTCAGTCGCAGAGTGCTGACGAATCGATGCCGTCGACCAGTGCAGGATCAGAAAACCCCGAGGTCGACTCGGTTCATTCTCAGCTCCCAACAATATCATCGCATGAGAAAGGAGTCGATACAGTAGACACGACATTCGCAACGCATCCGCATCGACGGGATGTCTTGGAACATACTAGTCCATACGCGTCGATGCTCGGGGTTGTCCTACTGGGTGTGGGCTTAATGGCCTACCTGAATGGATGGCAGAAGATGGACAAATGATCTTCGCCCAATATCTTACGTCGCATGAATCTCTCGACTGACCGAACTCGATCCTTTATATCTGTTTCCTTTATACCTTCTCCGTTTCCATTCTATTTTTCTATACTTTGTGTATTCTGCTAAATGCTTCGATTAGGAGTATCTGCTGGGTTTGGTTTCCTGGGGTTCCTATATTCTGTTTTGTTTCCGCTGCCTTGTCAGCAGCCATGATGCATAAAATGCGCGACTTTCCCTCTCATATCTCTTATTTGTCCTCACATACCATTCTTCACATACGCCATGTTGCTTCAGTTACGTATTTCTGGCAGCAGGGGCTTTCCTTTTCCCTTCTTCTTGTCATCCTAAGTTAATGTCGTTCTCATGGGCAGAAGCAAGTCATGTATGGCTCCCCAGCCTTTTGTGTATTAGTCTCATAGCAGCATCACTTCCTTTGGCAGTTTAAGCAAGCGATGAATGACCATTTTCATGCATGCCGTCTTTCAAGTTTCTGGGTCTGGTTTATCAATCCCACTTTCCTACTGACTGAATGATCCCGGTGACGATTTCTTTGGTCGATTTAGACTGCGAGTCAGGCGGGACGAGATTAGATATTTCCTACCGGTGCTGTTTCCCCGATGAAGTCGGTTGCGTCCGTCTATGTTCATATTCTATTCCAGGCTCGTCGGCCAGTCATTGGCTTGCTATTAAAAGCTTTGATGTCACTTTAATCCAAAGACGAGGATGGTAACCGTCAGTTACGTTATCGGGTCCACTAGCACAACGATGGTATTGATTGACCTGACTTGTGATTGTCGTTCTCTCCATACTTGATTCGCACCCGAGGAGGGTGTGGAGATCAGGCTGCATATATAAACGAGCCCAGGATGGAGGATCCGCATATCGACTAGGCTCCGCATTGCATGCAGCGAACCTTCCCCATGCGCATTTATGCGTAATGGTCCTGGACGCTGTCCCAGCCTGCCGTCTTAAGACTGGCATCCACCCTGCTGTGGCATATGTATTGGATAATGACCATGCGCCGTGCGTCGGACGAGACATCGAACTTTAAGCCTGCTTGGTAAAGTCAAATTCCTGAGTGGAAAGTCACAAAACCCCTGATGGTCTAGTTGGATATGACGTCTGACTGTAATGGAACATTTCATCAGAAGGTCGCTGGCTCGATTCCGGCTCGGGGGAGTTACTTTTTTTTTTTAGAATTTTATTCTAACCACGAGCTTGTAGAATGATCAGTCCTGCATGTAATGTTTGTGTACCAGTCTGCTTCTTTTCATGATCAGCTTTGGCTGATAGTGCCGTTTCAGAACTTGGCGTGAACAATATCTTAGTTGACGCCGACACGAATGATTAACCTGGAGTCATTGACAGAGCTGGGGATGAAATTAGCCCATTGGTTGATTTCCCAGCGGCTCGTGGCAGAATATGCAGCCCAATTCGACAATTATATTACGCACCCCTTGGATTCTGTGAGGGAGGACGGTGGAGGCGAAGCCCAAGAAGAGAGGTCTAGATTGATGGCTATTTTGCGTAGGTTCCTCTGCAGGTGAGACCTCTAGATACGAAGCAGACAGAGTCACCAAGAATTGTTCCTTTCAAGCCAGTTGCAGATATGCCGGGGCTGGTGCCCGTCGGCGGATGAATTTGTCGATCTCACTGGTGTATGTCTCCGTCACAACGAGAAGCCAGTACTTCAGTAGTCAGCAGGTCAACCTGACCAAGTGCGGGCTGGTCTACATTTGTCAGGAAAGGCCATTGAGCGCAGATGATGAGGGCTCAGGTGGGCGGGTTTCAATTGCATTTGGGGCCGTTGAACCAAGACACACGACGCAATGAAGGTACTCGCCACTGTCTCAGAGATCCAGTATGTCTTACTTGACATGCTAGTTGCAGAAACGGGGCTACTGGAACCGAGACATAGCTGTACATTTCTCTTATCAATATGTGGCTCTGGAGGATCATTGCGGCTGGTCAAATATTCACCCTGATGTTTCAGATAGGAGGTGTTGTCGCCTGACTGAGAGCTCGACAGGTAACACCGGATTCAGCTTTCCACGTACCTGTAAGCTTTTGGATGTGAAGAAAACAAGTGGGAGAAAGAGGGTGCTCATCCTCGAGCCGGGTCAGCCACCATCTGGTCAGCAAGATGTCACCTACCATCGGAGGTGACTTGGGGGAATGCGAAAACTTGTTGCGATATATGAGTGTTCGTTTGATATTATCACGGGCATATTCCGGGGTACTCATGCAAAAAAAAGCGTAGGAAGCTAAGACGAAAGAAAAAAAGTACGTCTCCCCCGAGCCGGAATCGAGCCAGCGACCTTCTGATGAAATGTTCCATTACAGTCAGACGTCATATCCAACTAGACCATCAGGGGTTATGCGTGGCGGTGGGTCAAAACTTTGACCATCTCAATATAGGCACCCAATCTGCGGCCCTACGTCAGCTTCAAGTTACCGAAAAAGACTGCTTTGGTCCCTAGACGGTGCAATCAATTTTTATCGGAGAATATCCTGTCGACTGGTTATGTCTAGGAGGACCACGGAGGTCTCGGATTAGTATGGAATTCCTTCAAACTGCGGCTAGCGATTTGGATATCGATGTCCCAACCATTAAAGACGCTTCTCCAGTTGGATTCTGGGACGGACAGCTCTAGGTAGGAGGAATTCTTATGACAGTGCGGCGGAGGATATGATGGACTTCAAATAGCCCAACTAGCTGGCTTATTGACTGGGAATGTGTGGGGAGGAGTGCCAAATATACTCTATCTACGCCGCTGGAGGAGAAAGTGGCGGCTTGTGTTCGTTTAAAATCTGGAAAGAAGGTGTTGTTGGCGCAGATATTTCCGCCAGGGTTTGTACGACCGTGGTTCTGGCGAGCAATTGTCCTGTTTTATTCTAGCTTCATTACCTGTTTTCTTTTCTCAAACGAGCTAGTAGAGCTTGGCCGCCTGAACAAGAAGTGCAGTACTAGCCCCCAGACCTCCCTCGGCAGAAATAGATTGACAAGTCAAAAGCAATAAGGCCTACTCTACTAGATCTATCTACAGAAGTCTAGCGACGACAGCGACGTTGAGACCCAGCATACCCATACCGGCGGCAGACCCGACCCCAAGGACGCCCATGAGGCAGCGGGAAACCATGAGGTCAATCCGGTTGACCTGCTGCCCTCCGACTACGCCATCAGAGAAGTCTTTGACAGCTACGCCCCGGCCACGGCTCCGCCTGTCCGTCCCAAATCCCAGGGTCTGGAAGCACCGTCCGAGCCATGCGGCGTCCGTCACTCCACGCCCTATCGTTATCATATGGCCTGCAACATCTACTTTAGCGCCAACGGTGACCTGGTGTACATCAGGGCTAACTCGCGACCGCACCACACGGGGCGGCGGCATTGCCTTCTCGCCTAAGTTCGCTACAACTATTGAGCTTAAGAAGGCTGCGTTAGCCCTGGCTGAACGCACTCATACGGAGCTCACCACGCGGCCCAATAAGTGCAGGGTTGCGTGCGTCGACTATATCTGTGCTAAACGCCTTTGGCAGGCCGAAGCGGTCAGCCCTGTAGAAGCTACTCTTACTCTTCGGAGTATGATCAAGAGAGGTGGGCTGATCAAGAAAAAGAAAAGTAAAAAAGAACTCCCCCGAGCCGGAATCGAGCCAGCGACCTTCTGATGAAATGCTTCAATTACAGTCAGACGTCATATCCAACTAGACCATCAGGGGTTTTGTGAGAATTTTCTTTCGATAATTGACACTATAAAGCAAACCTAATTTCTGCTACACAGATTAGGTATAAACCACCACTCCCTACTTCTCCCCCCTCCCAGAGCTTCGACGTAGTAGTAGTCCTCGCATTCTTACGGTATATTACTGGCAAGTGTAGGTAGGTAGGAAAGGTGTGGAGCGATAGGCCACCGGCTCGATACTTCAATTATTCACTGACATGGCTCATCATAGTGCTCATGGATATCATTTGTGTGTAGTAGTTGGAAGGCTTCAGCCAAGGCATGCCTATAGCCACTGTCAGGGACAAGAAAGAAAGGCTAAAAAGTAGTCGAACCTTCGATGATCACTGTTCGCGATTAGCTTTGGGTCCGCTTGTGTCTGTTAGGATATCCAGATTTAATGCGGATATCCGTAGCGGCTTCGCCCATGCAGCGAGTGGGTGCATAGCGACGTCGTCCGTAATGTGCACGACGGGCAGGTATGAGTCCAGCCGGGAGGGCCATAACCCGAGAAACTCGTATATCATAAAGTCATATCGTCCGCGGCTCATTTGTACGACACAGCAATCTCAACCATATTGACCCATCGCGTTCGCGATTCGGGCAACTCGGCCTCCGTCGCCGCGGCAGCCGTAATCGCGCGCTTGCGTTTCTTCGCTGCAGATTTGGACACCGTCATCTCCGTCTGAGAATCTGCAGTTGCACCGTCTTCTCCGGCAGTCCCCCCCGCTACCCCCTGCTGCTGTTGTTGGGACCTCTCCGCTTCTTCCAACGCCTTCCGCTTCGCGTCCTCGTCCTCCTCGACATCATCCACGACAAGCACGCTCCCGGTCTTCACGCGCACCGCATACTCATCCCCGCGCTGCTCGAACCACCGCCCCACGCCGAGCGCCTTCTCGATCGCGCGCCCTGTCGCCTTAACGAACACCTCCTCCGTGCGCAGCTCGTCCTGCCCGCGCGCGATCTGCGCGAGTTTCTGCTGGTCCCGCTTTTTGGGATTCGACAGTTCCACGGATGCGGCGGCGCGTTTCTCGGCCTGCCGGAGGAGTTTCTGTACGCGCTTCACGGCGCTCATGAAGGGAGAGGAGGTCGAGACATAGACGATTTTCGGGACGGAGGCGCCGGCGTACGGTGAGGCGACCGGGGCGTGCGGGATGGGGCGTTTGTGGACTCGGGCGTCTGGAATGGATGTGTTAGTTAGGTTTGGGGTTAGGGTAGTGGAAGGGTTGAGGGAGGACGGACATTTTGGGAGCTTGATCATGTCTTTGTTCTTCTTTTCGAAGTGGAGGTCTTGTGAGAGGGTGTTCTTGCCCATCTTGGGGATGGCGAGCCGGTTGCTTGGGTTATCGTTTCGATTTGAGGTTCTTTTTCTTTAGTTTGCAGAAATCTGTGTAGCCAGGCTTTGTTGGTAGTTTGGTAAGTTGCGAGTAATTGTCTGGAGATTTGGAGATCGCCGCGATAACCTTTGCGGGGTTTGCCTAGTTTGCATCGGGTCCAGGCCGCAACGTTGGAGCAGGATCTCGCTACATACATTACTTGTTAAAAATGATCGTGCCAGTGATTCTTTTTTTTTGGTATGTATCTGGGCCATGGAAGAAAAGTTACAGTCGAAATGTGGGATGGTTGAGATGTCACTGTCTCTTGCATTGATGTACGGACGGAGTATATAACACTACGCACTTTATCTGTCAGATCTTCGAGCGTGGGCTCCACTTTGCATATGGATGTCCTGGCCCAGATGGAACCAAATTGTCAACATCAAGCGTATTGACTAGACCAGAGTGGACTTCAGAGAGATTCTTGATCCCGATGAGCTTCATCACGCTCTCCATTTCCTCCTTGAGCACTATAGATTCTTGATCAGTCAAGGTCACGCATATACCTAACCATGGAAGTTACTCACATTCCACAAGGTGCTCTACACCTTCAGTGCCATAATGCAACGCATACAAAAAGCTCCTACCAATCCCAACCGCCTTCGCCCCTAAGCACAGGGCCTTGATGATATCACCGCCTCGTCGAAACCCACCGTCGACATAAATCTCCATTCTGTCAAAGACCTCTGGGCAGTTCTTATGTAACTCCAGAAGAAGCAGGATAGACGGAGGCGTATAGTCGAGGTTCCGACCCCCGTGGTTGCTGAGCATAATGCCTTCGACATTGTGCTGCATGGCAATCTTCGCATCCTCGGCATTTGTGATCCCCTTCAGGATGATTGGAAGCCGGGTCACGCTTCGGATCCACGCAATGTCTCGCCAGGTCATGCCTTGGTCAATGTAGCTTCCCATTGCTCTCGTCAGGCCACCGCCCTTCTTGTCGGGCTTTACGCGTTCTCCAGTCACAGGGTTGACAATCTCAACGGCGTCGTATACCCTCAATCGTTCGTCCGACTCCCGCTTTCCTCGCCCGGCTGCATCAACGGTTAAGAAGATGGCTTTCATACCCAGAGACTCAGCCATTCGGAGCGTCTCGCGGGATTTCTCTTTCTGCTTGTTCAGGTACAATTGGAACAAGAATGGGTAGCCTGGGGCCTCTTGGACGATTTCTCCCACGGGGTGACCTGCGTTTGTTGACAACTTTTGGGGTAAGCATTCAATGATTCATGGGCTTAGGATCGAGATTGTAGTTTTGAAATTCTTACAATTTCTAGGATACCAGTCAACTTTGCTGCTCGCGCGAGACCCTTTTCCGCCTCAGGGTTGATTAATTTTGCAAGTCCAGTAGGGCAGATAAACAGCGGTAGCTTGACCGGGATGTTCAAAACGGTACTTGAAGTATCTACCTCGGACACGTCTTTCATCACCCTGGGCCTGAACCAGATCCGTTTGAGCATGGCCTCATTTGCGTCTCGAGTCCAGCAGTCGGTGGCAGCCGTGGAGTAAAAAGTGTACGCTTTCTTTGGACCAAACGCAGCAGCAGCTTGTTCAAAGTCGTAGCTGTATCAGCGTGAGCACATTGGCGTGATGCAGTGCTGTAGGAAGCGTCTTTACCTGTTCAATATCGTGTCTAGTGGCGGTTTCTCAGTTGCGTCGACCATTGGACTGACAGGCTCTGTCCTGGCAGCGGCAGTCCTCTCCCATTCCGATGTGATGGTAGATCTATCAAGGAGGCCGATAAAGCAACTGGGGGACAGGCTTTCTCTTACCACTGAAGCAGCGTGAACTTCAGAATAGGCCTGGGTGGCATCCTTTCCGGCGCACTGGTAAATGACTTCTGAAGTCAGTACTTACGTTCATTCGGCTGGGACTACATACCTGAAGGACCCCCCGGATGATCCTGTGCGAATTGAGTCACATCCCATACTTGGTCGTCTATCACAAGCCAGCAATCCTTGGGGCTGTTGTGTAAGAGGACTTCGCTTGTAGAGACAGAGTTGGTCTTTGCCATGGCTTTCATTGAGAGTATGACTACAAAGAATATGTCATAGCCAGGATTTCTTCAGGCTTATATCCCTTCCAATGGAATCCAGACAGTTGCGAAGACTCCGCGACATCGGATGAATATGCGGGGTGCGGGGTTATGGAGATAGTATATCGTAAGCACGTAATGTTACTACTGCACTGCTAGTATATCTGACTACAGGCTACAGGCATTGAAGATGAGCTGGTATCGTATGCTTTGTATGTTCAACTATGTACATGAATATGACTATAAACATATAGCAATCATTTCCGTCCGTGTATTCGGCATTCCAGTCGTACATATATGCAGGTATATCGTAAACTCATCACAGTCATCACGTGTTTCGGACATGTCATGGTCTTTGGGTGTATCCCACCGGTGAGGCAAAACGTAAGGCGAATAGACCATGGTAGATGGGATCATCTCGTGGAAGCTTCATTGAAAAAGTACTGGTGTTGGTGCTATTCTCCGGGACCGGCCGGGGAATAGCCTGAAAGCGCGTTCACGTGTTCGAATAATCAGATGGCTTTTGTGAGCAGCACAGTCGGCCATATCGCGCTGTTGTTCATTCTTCGGCGTCTTCGGCGCACTGGCGAATCGGCGCTGGGTCATCGCTTTGACGGCCCTGGTAATTTGGGATCGAATGGGAGGAGGGGCACTGGGAATCGATTGTTCAGACTCGGTGCTAGCGCTGACATTGCTGACATCACGGGGAGTATCCTCTTCCACGCTCAGCGCCTTGTAGCGGCGCTCGTGTTGTTCTTGTTCGGCTATGACGCACTGCCGGAAGATGCCATGGTGCCCGATACAACGGCGGAGGTCTGGGGTCTGCGATAGAGACTCCTGTCGTAATTTTCCATGGGAGATGACGGCTAGCCTGCCGGTGTACTGCGAGTTGACGATAGGATTCATTCCCCGTGCGATGTGGGAGGTTTGACGCAAGGCCCTGTGAGGGATTTGAAGGATTTCAGACGATGAGGCCATAGATAAATGGCTAGAGCAGAGCAATGGAGATTGTGTGAGATGTATCGAGATACCAGGAGGCTCTCTTCTTATACACCGTCGACTTTGTGCCTCTCACCAACTTCTCTGGGGCGAATATGCATGACTCTAGACGAGAGCTTCGAACCATGGATTGGCCACCGGCATTCATCTGTCACTTGCGGGACCAACAGAGCTTGTCCGGAACGGACCATACAACCTCTCCTGGCCGGGCTTTGCATGTTCTGAAGGCAACGCTCCCACCACTCACAAGGCGCCGGTCTTGCTCGGGGCTTGCTGTACTGCAGAGTGGCAACGCAGCCCTACCACAGAGTCCTTCCCGATGTAGATATCAGTCCTGAACCGTGCCCGGGGGAACGTGGCTCGCATCTGGCACGGTGATCGACTTGATTGGTGCGAGGCCCTGAAGGCTCTGACTTCGAACATCCACGTTGACGTCCCTGGCATGCGCCACGAGTCTCTGAGCCACAAGCCTTTCCAAACCCAATGCGTCTCTCCCCCTTCTACTCGGTCTTATCCGCCTGAAGAATCCATCGCGGGATTTGGAGAACCCACAACGGTTCAATTCTGGGGCTCACCGCACATCCAGTCCGACTCGATCGTTGACGTCATTATCGAGATAGTATTGCACGATCCGATCCTCTTCTTCTCTCTCCCACCAATTAAGGGGTTTGGTCCCCTCTCTGCGTCTCTACACCATGCCAAGCCGACGGAGACTTCCCTTAGCGAACAATACTTTTCCGCAGAGGTCTAGGTCGCTATCGTGCTCTAGAGACAGCTTCCCTAGAGAAATCTAGCCCTTGATTCTTGGCTAGATCATCTTCAGAGCATACAGCGACCAATTTCCGAATTGGATTATAGACTGAGGTGAAGCAAGTCCAGACCGTCGTCGATCATTGGTAGCCTGTCTTTTCCACACAGACCGAATGACCTACTAGGTGGCCTACTAGGTAGTAAAGAGGGAGGGCTGTACAAGCCATCTCGTCTTGCCATCGACAATCTGCCTGAATGAACAGTCTGTTAACACAGAAGCCTGTGTAATTACCAACACGATTATGAATTGGCCCTGAAAATGGGCCTCACTTTGTGGAAGTAGAAGCCGTGATCGGCAACACGCTGTATAACCGCGGCTAGCACAACCATGCCTACACATGGAGTACAGCCTCCAGGCCATGTACTCTTTAGAGACGTGTTCTGGCCTACTGGCGTGCGAACGATAATGGTTCCGTGGATACACATTCAGGAAAGCCATGCTATGGTCATGGCGGTTACCCAAAAAGGCACTACATCAGAGAGGGCGGTCCCACCCAACGATGCTGGATGATTCATCTCGATTGGACATACTGGGTTCAGGGCTAAGGGCATGACTCGCGAGTGTCCCAGGTAGGTTAGCTAGGAAAGATTGAGTCTAGCCGGTGGGATATAGACGAATGGTTGGTTCTCTACTGAGTAGTGAGCCAGATGGGCATGAATCGGCGTTGTCTCGGGAATATGCAGCTGGTCTCTGGCATACTACGTCGGAGATGGGGGTTACTTTTGGTGGGAACAACGTAAATACCCCGGGCTATTTCTAGCGATAACCCTTACAGTTAGCATTTGGGAGTAATCGATTTATTGTATACCATTTGTGCTGGTATCCATTATGATCAGGGTACTTCAGAGACCCTTCTCTACAATACGGCCACAGCTCAACGTCACTAGGTAGATTGCCTGGCGGGGTTGCAATTCTTGTACTATTATCTTGTCTCCAGTGTCCGATTCAAGTGGGTCTCATGGTTGTCTATGATGGCGTAAATCGTTGGGAGTTATGCGCGCATCCCGGCCGTACTACCATACCGTCCGCTGCTGTTTGCCATATGCTGCCGGGTTACTACATCCATCCCCACAGCGGTCAAGATTCCCTCGGTCCGTGTTCGATATGGTAGTGATGTTCATCGTGCTTAGGTAGGTTAATTAGCCCATTAAATAATATAGCGACTGGATGTTGGAGGGCTCTTGATGCGCACGATACCAATGCAGGGAGAGTATAGCACTGACACGACCCTGGTATCCTCTCCGGATTCTCCAGGGTTAATATAGTCATGGGTACGAACATATATTCTAGGGGTGCCTGTCCTTTACCTGGCGGACTTCTTCTCGACAATTATCACTCTCTTTTCATCTTTGTCCGGTGTCACCAGTATTGTGATGCTGGCCTGCACCGTGTCCAACTTCTCATGGCCGTGGGCTGTGGTGAGTCGGCCTCCATCTGCAAGCTTTACCCTTTGTTTGAAAGCTATGATGGTGAATAAATATATTGACATGGAACAGGTGGGCAAGACCTATGCGTCGGAGATCATCCCCGCGCGATTGCGGGCCAAGGTCTGCGCCGTCGAGCTCCTCGCCAACTGGATTGTAAACTTTTGTCGTAATCTTTACGGCCCCGTTGTTCTTGCGCTCCTCGCCGAGTGGTCCATATTTCCTGTATAGATCTTCGACCGTTGTCGCCGTCGCCGTCTGTGTTCTGATGCCGGAGACGAAGTGACGGAGCTTGGAGGGCATCGAGCGGTTATTTGAGAAGGACGATGGTCAAGCGTCCAGACGTCCCATTGATCAGGCGTAGTAAATACCTACCTAGGTTCCATGTTTGTGGGATGCAACAAGTCTGTACTCTATACTATATTGAAATCCGATATTTCGGCCACCTGCGTTCTCCGCCGATCTTTTAGTATTCCGTACCTGTAGTCTGCGGTGACGGTGCACTACTGGATGTGGTATAGCCCACCTAGTTGGGGAAAGCGCACCGCTGCCGCTGTCATCGTAGTGCGTGATCTATAAAAATGGCTTCACCCCCTGTTTTGATGGCCATCCTCGTCACTCTTTTCCGCAGCCTGTGTTTGCTTTGCGAATTCAACCAACTTGAGGCATTTTCGCCATTGGATCGGCCATGCGGTGTCCAGCACTGTGTCAGCCCTACAGGGGACCCCCCACCAATTGCATGAGCATAAGAAATGTGATTATTTACAACTAGCCGCCGACTTTCCGAATTTGTCATTATAGCGCCCTCTCTTGCATATAAGAGTCCACTAAGGCAGCAGCAGTTTCACAACCCTCCAATGTGCACCCGATTCTTTGCGTCCATGCCGCCGGCTAGGTAATGCACTCAGTTTGATTTCAACCAATCAATGCTTGCTCCTATCATACTTCTGTTTCACGTACTCAAACGCCTTAATGAACCTCTCATGGGCTCAAAATATCCCTGAAACAGGCTCTTAGTCGGATTGCCAACGGTATATACGGCCATGCCCTTCTGACCGTCACAATAGATAATGGCCTGGCGCCTGCCTAGGTTTTTAAATTCCCTTGTCTTCGGTTCTATCGAAGCAATACTTTTCCAACCTGACGGGCAGGAAACCTACGACACGAAATGAAGAATGCTACAGATATCCCGATTCACGGCTGGGTCTCATCGGGCAAAGACAGGGGTAGCATTGATATCTTGTGGTCTTGCTGCGTAACGATTGTCCTTTGTTGCTGGGTATCTGTTTATCCCAATGTCGGGTCGCCGACAGATAAATGGTATCATTCCTTCATTGATAAGTTCAATCTCTTCTGTATCAGTATCCTTGGCCCAGATTTTCTCTTCGGGATTGCTTTTGGTCAGTTTTCCAGCGCGAGGAGAAGTATGAAGGTATAGTATGCCAACTGTCAGAGAGGTGTCACTCAAATTGCTTTTACTGATGAACGTTGTGCAGCTATTCAACGAAGATAAACGATTGGAACATGGCTTTAGATGGACATACACCTATGCCTTTTTCGTTGATATGGGGGGCATACATTTGACAAGTCCGGACTTCCCCCAAGGATTTCCCATCAACGCCCAGCAGTTGCATTATTTGATCATGCATAACCATGTTGATCCACCTGATATGGAAGCAATGGATATTTCCGAGAGAAACTCCGCAGACACACTTTCTCGGTACGCCTCTGTCTCCTACACAAAACATGAAGCTAATTTCCCTAGATTTATAACTATATTTCAGGCCTTTTGGTTTTTTGTCACGGAAATCCAAAGATTTCGCCAAGGTCTGCCCATCACGACCTTGGAACTAACAACTATTTCATTCACACTTGTGATGTTTGCCACATCTGCGACATGGTACTTTAAGCCCTCAATCACACGGCCACAGCGCATATCCACGAAGAATAATAAGACTGTGCACGAAATAAGAGAAAGCATAGAACAGAATGTAAGAATACTCGCGAATTATCCACAGCTTTATCTCGTGGTAGGAACTAACTGAGGCCATTCCCAGACTCACCCGATGCTACCAGCCCGCTGGCACCGAACGCCGCTCGAATCTATTGGCCACGAGCGCTTTGGCATCAATATTCACTGGAGCTATTATACGAGACTCGCAGAGATACTCCACATCCGTCTCTTTTCCAGGCCTGTCACATCTCGACCCTGGGATCGCTTTCCTTCAGATACTTGGCTCTGCCCAGATTTCACCTTTTCGCCAATTGCCATCCTCATTCTACTCGGGTTCAGCGGTCTATTTTTAATCGCGTGGGACTTCTATTTCCCTACATACACCGAGCAGATTTTATGGAGAGTTTGCAGTGTCTATCATGCTCTCTTCTCGATTTATGGCGGTGTATATTTCTTCATCGAGATGGTTATTAGCAGGCATCGATCACGGAACGAGCCTGACCGCCTAAATCGCAGTGAAGCTCTTGCCTTCCACCAGTCTTGCGATGGCGTAGTTTCGACATCCTCACGCTCTTTCTGGGGGCGATATTCTGGATGGAGGAATATATCAGTGGATAAAGACCCAGAGATGAGCGTTAGTCTTAGAGTTCTCGTTCCGGTCAGTTTCTTGTGTGTCCTCTATGTTTTTGCACGAGGATATTTATATGTGGAAGATTTTGTTTCTCTTCGATCGCAACCAGCCGGGGTGTACGTTGACGTGAACAAGTTTATGCCATTTCTAGGATAATTTTGAAGTTGGACTTTTTGATGTCATTACTTTCGTCGCTCACATGTATCAACAATTCATCATTTTTGAGAAACAAGACACCTTGACACATTGATATTTTTCACATGGAGACCCTACCACCATCAAACCCTTCGCTGCTCTTCAATGCAAACACGCGACATATGCCCAGTGTAAGAGTCTAGCAAGACGGTTAAGTACTGAGGAGCAGGGGGAGGACAAAAGTCTTGTCTTTAATCTCGATGGCCATGTGATAAAGCGGCATCTGTGCCGTTCTAGAATACTAATAGCACGAAGGTGTGTGGATGCTGCTTCCATGTACCAAATGACAGATTTGACAGTGGCTATGTTGAATGAGTGGGTTGAGTAAGTAACAATCCGTCACTATTTGCCAAAAAGTTTCATAATACCATCGATCAGCGATCTTTTGCTGCCTCCACCGGTGCTCCGGGTTTCGTAGCTGAAATAGCCAGGTAGCGCCAATGCCTGCGGCCCCGATAACTTTGAACTCCTGCGACAGTGTTGATAAAATAATGCTCCAAGCCAAGAAAAGTGACGATGAGGTAGGGGACGTAGGCGATCAGGTAGAACAACCGCGTCATTGGCTTTATATTGTCCGAGTAGTCCCGGACGACCACGTCTGTGAATCCTGCATCTTCAAGCATCCGCTGGTAAACACCCGGATGTGATATAGTATTTGTCGGCATAGCCGCGATTTCGTTAATTTTGCGCATGGAATGAGCCATTGCTCCTGCGGAACCATCGCTAAGCTCATGGTCATATTCAAACAATGACAGATGACCCCCAGGACGTAACGCATCAAAAAATCCAGCTAGAACCGCTTCAGGGTCTGTGGCATGGACAAATGTCTCCATAGTGTAGATGCCGTCGAATGTTTGAAACCCTAAGGCTTCCAAGTGGTGGTAATCCATTTTGCGCACCGCAACTTGACTTTCGGTGAGACCTGCTCGAGCGATATTCCGCTTCGCTTTATGTAGGTGATGCTCGACGACATCAATTCCCTGGATCTTGTATCCATGATTCGTTGCTAGATGGATCGCAACGTGGCCTACACCACACCCCGCATCGAGAACGTAAGAGCCCGGCGGAAGATCCAGGGATGCCGCTAACTTGTCTTCCATCGTGCGGAGAGCCTTGCTAAGAGGGAATGGCCACCAGGTGTCATTTTCGTAAAAACCGAAATGCCGTGTGCCACCCAAAAGCAGCCGGTAGCCAATTCTGGACTCAAGGGAGCGATAATAGGTCTGCAGTTGGGGGTTGTTGTTGATCAGTGGTTCTCGGTCATCAGAATCTCGTGACATGGCTTGGATAAACAAGGGTAAGAAGCATATATGTCTTCGAGGCTATTAAAAAGAAAAATAGACAAATTGGAAGGGCAATGCGTTGAATAAAAAAGAGGAGAGAAGAGGAGCTGCTGACCTGGGCTGAATGCGCAACCAAACACCAACCACGTGATGCCGCCTCGCCCCCGGCCAGTGGCCCCTTTTTCTCGAGCTGGCGCCTAACAGCGACCGCTGCACTAGAGTAAAAATAGGGCGTTGTGTCCACCTTGTGGCATTAGTCTGGCATTATCACATCTCATCACACGCAGCTGCCGTCGATAGACATCATTGGACAACATAACCGCGTCCGTGCATCTCCCATCAGTCCAATCATCACAGATATTTCGCTAGGTGATACTTTGTAGTCAACGAGAAGAGGCCACGGAAATTATCTTACGATTTTACCAACATCAAGAAGCGGCCATCACGGTTTTCGAACCTGAAGCTCCTCGAAATATAACGCAGGCTACTGCGACAGACTCCCTCACTCTCCAAGGCCTAAAGGTTATAGGGCCGACTCTCTTCCAGATAAGTGGTTGTCGCCTATAAAAGACCTTCGATATTGATGAAGCTTGAATGACATGGCTTCGAACACGGACCGGGCGAGCGAGCGAGCTACTGGCGAGACTAAAAACAGAGAGCAAGCCATCTCGACCAAGTCAACGGCCCAAAGGATGCTATTGAAGACTTCTCTGCAATGCGTCCGAGTGTTTCTATATAGAAGGGGCCAGATTTAGCGACACAGAAGGCCCTCGAATTCTTGATTCGAATACGCTGAAGGTCAAGAAGACCCTAGCTGAGTACTTACGTCCACTTCTGACTGAATTATCTCTTGCCGATGAATTTACTGAGTTTTTCGAGCAGACGATCAAGGATACCAAGGCTGTTAACCAGAAGACCGGCAACATCACAATGTGGGTTGGGCAACAAGATAATCTCGGAACAGGCCTTGGGACGCAACTCGCTGGATGACTTCGAACCGCAGTCCGATTCCCGGCCGCTACGATGGAGCCTTCTTGTTTGGTAAGGCGGCGCACAGATTTAGCACAAACAATTTTTGATGCAGCTGTGGATATGACGGGCTGGCGAGCCCCTGGAGGTAGCCCACCCCCCATGTCAACAGAAGCATAGCTGTCATTCCTTTATTCAGTCTTTCTCCGATGTGTGATTTGAAACGTAAATTCTGGTTGATTATCACACTGGGAATCAAATTTCAACTACATATGTGGGGCAACTGTCACATCATTCACGTGTGAGTCTCCGTAGGAAGGTGGCGCTGCCGCTAGTTCCCCATGAGGAGGATGAACGATGTCTACTCTGCCTCGAAGGCTGCATAAGATGGCACCGTCTGTTCCAACGCTCGTGGGATTACCCTTTACTTGAGTATTACTATATTCGCTTCAGTGATGAGCCCACCCTCAACCGGATGTACTCGTCAAAAAGGTTGACGATGTCCCTTTCTGGTTGTTCGTGTCAGCGTCCGCGACAGTCTGGACGGAACGGCTTGTGACTCGCATTAACCAAGTCAACATCGTCCCGTTAACTCGAACGGTCTGCAATGATGACCCGCTCAATGCTCATTATGTGCAGCGAAGGGTGTTGGAGGCTGGGCCGTTTATCGTGACAACTCTCCTCTTCGCCAGGTGTCACTGTGCAGACTACAGTATACGGTCGTTATAGACCACCTTGCTGTCCTGCTTTCGCTTACGAATCCACATATCCAATTGCGGGCAAGCTCTTATCACTAGAACCACGGAAGTCATTAACCAGCTGTTGGACGCAGGGTTAATGTCAGCCTGAGGCCGTCAACTGATGAGAACCGCGAGAATACCACACGAGCCCTTACCCTCGCAGGCCAAGTAACAGGCGTGAACGGCCGAGTTGGCTCCCCACTTTGCGCGTAAATCCAGCTTCAGAAGTCAGCTTTGCGATGGTATTGGACAAATATATCATTGAGCGTGAAAGATCAGAGTACTTTTGCTTCAATATACAAGGTTGGAAAAACAAAATTGCGTGCTGATTTCGCCTGTGTTTTCAGGGGATAACACACAGGAGAGCTTCTACTTTCGTGTAAATCCTAGTACAGATACGGCCCGTAAAAACGTAAGTCTCACAACAATCGGTATCGTAGGAACGACAGGACCATGGGTTGGTGGCCAGTATATAAGCCGTTAAATCGGTCTTACTAGAAATAGACGCTTTTCCGAACGATTTACGGCCGAAAAACTACCAAGATGATCTCCGCCAACGCCAACAGCCCCGTTTACGGGCCCCTGTCCCGAATTTGCGGGCCGGCCTCAGAACATAAGCAAACTTGCGGGCCCCGGTCCGCCACATTCTCTTAGGGCCAGCGACGGCGTCGACAGCTTGAGCCTCCAGGGCCTCGTCGACCTCTTTTTCGTACATGCCACCCGGATGGAGTGCGAGAAAGACGACGCTTGTCACCACTGCTTTGCGGGCCGTAAAAAATGGCCCTTCACATTGGGTTAAGCGGAGTGGAAAAGCCGGTTAGACCGCCTCTGCCCACAGACAAACTACGCTGTCCACAAACTGCTCTCCCATAACACCCCGCACAACAACACCACTACCCATCCAGCACCCGAGCAAAGTACACCCAGAACCATGGCCTCCAGCCGAACTGTATCTTGATCCGCGCTACCGCCCCCGACGGCAACACCGACGGCGACATCGGCCACTTCGAGCCCTTCCACTTGAACCAGTACGGCAACGAGATGGCCGAGATCAAGGAGCTGAAGCAGCGCCTCGGATGGGCCCGTGCCATGGAAGTCGGCAAGTTCTACTCCCACCGCGACGCCGACAAGGACTGGTACTACTACGTCTAGGGCCAGACCACCGCCGCCGACGATAAGAACCTCTCGCACAACGAGATCGCCTCTCGCTGCATCGGCCGCACCAGCCACGGCGATGTCGCCGTCATCCGCTCGGGCCCGGAGCAGTCGAACAACTATTCGGAGAACTTCTCGCGCGAGGAGCTCCTGCGCACCTCCGAGTTCTACCATCGCAATGATCCCCACGAGCAGTTTAAGAAGCAGGAGCGTGCACGCATCAGCGCCATGTTTGGCGGGATCCCTGGGTTTGCGAATATCCCGCATATTGTGATTTGATGTGGTTTTTTGGAGATGCTGGATTTTGGAAGGTTTATGTTTTGCCTGGGTATTGAGTGAATGAATCGATGTTGGGGCACTTCGTGTTTTGTCCTAGGACCCCGCAACTCTGGGTCAAGGGTACCTAGGATATACTTGTGATATGTTATGTGAAATAAATTGAAGAAGAATGTGGTTCAAAAGTCATACTCCGTACGTTAAGAATACCCATCCACTTGATTCTGCAGACTGGACGCACTTGAACCTTGGGTCTGTACAACTAAACCCCTCCTCTGCTCCAGTCCACCCTATGTCCTCGGATATTGCATGTAAACTCTACATGTCACAATTTGATATCCTCGGAAATGATCATGTCAAAGCGTAAGGCCCAGTTTACCTAACTCAATCATGGAGCAGGCACGGATCACGGCTGTACCTAGGTACGGAGTAGATATCGTGACACATTCGACCACGGACGCCCCCCACTCATAAGTCGCGCTCATCGCGACTCAATAACCATTCTCACCGGCCTAGGTCCATAAACACAGACTTGGAGGGAAATGCCGCGTTTTTCTCTTCTCCCCGCCAAACCCAGTACTCTGACCGAAATACGTGCAGAAGCTCGTACCACGGATACAGGTCGCTTTGACTCTACTCGCCGCTCTCGTAGACGCTCTGACAAATTTAATGATACAGATAGCAGGAGCAGGGGTCTCTGCTGAGCATCTTCATGTCCAAGTGTCACCGGGAGTCCGTGGACATGATGGCGGCTGATGACCGCATCGTCAGGCAAATGTGGGCGGAATTGGAACGACTGAAATTTGAGTCTCTGCACCAATCCGCAGAATGCCCTGGCCGAGCTCAAGGAGCCCTTGTTCTTCACGTATGATGTGCCGAATAAAATTGCTTTTTGCGGGATGATTTGCAAATGTCCTCGGGGGGCAGAGGCTTTCGACCTGAAAGCTCGGACCCTGATTGGGTGTTATTGGGTTCGAATGGTGACGACCGAGGGATTTAATCCACGCCTGTCGGAAATCGGAATTGCATATCATCTGCTGGATTTGGTTGTGCAGACACCGATGGCACGAACTGCCTATTGTACGGGGGGCGATGGGGATGTGCAGTGGGGAGTGAGACAGTCGTCGTGGGCTCGACCAAAAGTCCCTCGAAAAAGGTACCAAGATGAGCTCCATTTAGGTTTGTTTCAGGTAGAGGGGGCAATAGGCTGAACCGGAAGGCAGATTCCCAATGCCCAATGCACCGGGACGCAGGATCCGTCGATGACAGGTCGTTGGAGCGCTGAAAGCACATTTCCCAAGAATGGGAATTAACCGTCCGATGCGTCATCCGCAGTTTCATCATTGCCTGGCCGTGGTGATCGATAGTTAAATGGGCCACCTCTGTCAACGTATTAATAGATCACCCACTAAACATCCAGTCTAGGGAGACGATAGTGGTCCCCCCGTTCAGCCATTGCGTGGCCCGATATGACCCACCGGGATTGACAGCCAGACCATCATCCATGGTCCAATCTCCTTACTCCCGAATAATGGACATCGTACAGGTACATACACATACATTGGCATGTACAGAGTACAGATGGAACCCAATCATCGGACATATAGGGACGATCGATCAGCTTGAATCTCTCCGCGGGGGATCCGGAAGGGCTGCGAGATATCAGCGAGGGAGGTAAAAAAGGAACGAAAAGGATTGACCCCCATGCACCACCGCCACACACTCTCTCTTTCTGTCTTCCTCGAGGAGACCCCCTAGCTCAGTTAGTGCGCGAACTAAGGGCGGAGCGTGTCTTCCGAACGGTCCAAACCCAGCCTACTGGGGCCGGGATCAGTTACGCGGAGTTTGCCCTGGATTGATCCATCGCATCCATCGGGTGGCAACGGCTGTAGTAATAACTACTAGTGAGGGGGAAGGGAGTCTGTATATTGTTGTAGGAGATAAATTATCAATCAATACATGTAGCCATATTCCAAAGAGGAGGGTTCGATCAGCAATCAAAGGGCAGGTAAACAAAGACTCCCGACAGGACGCGATCCATGGAACTGGATACGCGATCGGATCGTGAGGAGACAAAAAGAGTCGAGACTTTTGCTCTACTCCACTCCACTCCATCCCGCCATCCACTTCGCCTTTCCTTTCCCCTTCTTAAATGCCCTCATCCCCTCCGCCTCCTCTCCCGTCTGAGACCTCTCCCTTTCTTATCATCCAACTGCCTTTCCTTATTCCTATCTGTCTCACTCCCAATTCCACCCTCCTCTCGTTCATCTCCCCTCGTTCTGTCTCGTTTGCTCCATCCTGTGTGTGACTCGACGTGTTGACCACCATCTCTCCCCACGCACAATTCCATTCTCCTCCCTGCTTTCTCCTGCTTTCTGTCTCACTACTCCACTTTCGACGAGTATCTTTGTCTTCCGCCTCGGCTACCGGCGATTGTCGATCCTGTTTGCTTTGACAGCAACTCTATCGCCGAGAACTCGACGACTCAACTGCTGCTTTCCGTGCACCCAACCTATCCTTACGCGTCTTTCTTTGAATCGATCTTCGAGAACCTTTCCACGGGATTCTACTCCTCCAATTGCAACCCTTGGGGCAAACCAACAAAGAAAAGATCTCCGAACACGTCCAATTGCCCTCGACGATCCCGACAGACGGAGGGCTCCGACGTTTTTCCCCACTCCAGAAACGTTCGTCCGTCTTATCGAACGGCTGGAGACTTGCAGAAAAAAAAAAGCCTCTCTCCCAAGGGTGGTGTCTGATTTCCATGAAACTATAGCCACCTTCTTTCCTAGCTCGGGAATTCGGACGTGAACCACCACCCAATTTACCTGTTCGTGAGGCGCATCGTTCGTGCTATGGCGTCCTACGTTACACGCAAGTAACGCCAGCCGTCATTGTGCACAACATCTCTGATCGATTTTGACTGCTCTGCATCTCTCATCACGTCGTACACACAATTTTCCAGCAACCCTTCTCATTTTCCCTTTTTAGCTCTTTGGTTGCCAACCACCCTCGTGAAGTCCCTCCTTTATATCCTGTTGTAGAACCGGTTCATCCGCACCTTTCTTCCATCTTTTACCTACTCCATCTGGACCCCATCTTGTCCTTCTTTCTCCCTCCCTCCCCTCTCTTACATTCATATCCTAAACCATGGTTCAATCAGAGCACTTGGACGCCCCTGATGGGTCCTCCCTCATTTGGATTCTCGACCATTGCTTCCGCTATCCCGGGTCATATGAAATCCCCTTACGCACCATGTACTCCTTGAACTGCAACCCAACGAGACAGCCGCCGCCGAGTAACCGTCGTCCCGAGACAGCATTCAGCCACCATTCCTCCAGTTCGTCCAAATCCTCATTGGCCTCGCTCCACGAGCCAGCAACCAATGCGGCGGACTTCCGGGCGATGGTGACTCACCATGCCTCTCGTGTCCGCTCTCAACCATGCTCTCTTCCGCCCAGCTTTGTTACGGACTTTCTTCGTCGATGCTTCACCCCTCAGCTGGAAGACGTCGACTTTCCTCTGGCCCTGACGGGTCTCGACTACCTGAAGGATCTTGAGATCCGGCGCAGGAAGGAGGTCGCTGCAGCCCTGGAACGGCTCCAATTAGAGCGGTCCGATCTAGAAGAGAACTCGGAGCTTTCCAAAACGCACCCGGGAGTCTATGCGTGGATCAAGTACCTCGACGTGCAGATTCGCAAGGCGCTCGCGCTTTATACGCAGATCTACATCGGCATCCGTCGATGGACCTTGATCAACGAGATGCTGATGGAACCATTCAACAAAGCCAACTGCGTTGCCATGCTGAATACCCTGTTTCCCCCGGTGACCGAGTCGACCGAAACGCCCACCCCCCAGCTGACGCCCCAGATTCTCAAATCGCAGCGTGACGGCTTCTTCCGCTACATCTCTGCCATGGGCACCAATGGCAGGGGCATCCTCGATAAGATGATGGCCCAGGGTGGCCCAGAAGGCGAAGCTTATGGCGGGTGGGTGCCGGTTCGAGATGCCTTGGACAAATACCTCCGCATCACCAACGACATCATCGACGAGTGCATGATGGTGAGAAGCCCCGCCAGCTTCGAGCCTAGCGAGGACTCTCAGACTCGCTCTCATAAGGGCCGGAAGGTGGATTCGGGCATCAGCTTCGGCTCCTCGGAGAAACTGCCCGCCCCCTCCATCCACAGCTCCAATAGCTCCGAATCCGTCCTGGATAAGCCGCTGCCGCCTTTCCCTACCAAGAACCTCCCCGCTGTCCCTCTCAAGACGGGGGGTTCTACTCTGGAGCGGCTGGCTCGGGAAATTCGCAAGCTCGGCGATGCGGGCAAGGTCAAGGGTCTCAAGAAGATGCGGTCGACGAGTGCCCTCAATGCTCGATCGCAGAACCTGCCTACCCACAGCCCTGATCATGAGCCTTTCTTCGAAGGTGAAGAGATGAAGCGCAGCCGTTTACTCTGGGAGGCTAAAAGCCGTAAATCGTCTCACTCCAAACAACCCAGCACTGAAGCATTCCAGGGATAAAATCGAGAGACTGTACCCTTATCGTTTCACATTTATATTTGCTATTTTCGATAAAAGTCAGGCAAGACAAAAGTTGTCTACACATGGTTGGAAGCGTTCTGGAGTTGGCCATATGGTTTGATTATTTTTTTCTCAGGTCCTGGGTTGGGGCGTTCAGACGCATTCGTCTCTGTTGCATTGATTTTGTTGGTACATACGGTTGTACGAGTATCTGGATGTGTGAGTTTCCAGCTCAAAGCAACCAAAACAAAAGGGAAGGCTAGGGAAGTGTTATTTGCGCACATGACTGAAACAAATGATGATGATAATGTCTTACGATCCAATTTGCTGTTCATAACAAATACAAAATGAGTTATCACCGTTAAAATGCAGACGGACTAGTTAGATATAGCTTGTTAGGACTGCCGTGGAGCGCAGGCAGTCGATGGCTGTGAGATTCTGTATGCATTGCTATCCAGGAGCCGAACACATTTATCGATGAATCTAGCACTCTCACAGTGATTCCAGATAGATGCTGGCGGAATGGTCTATCTTCTCCTGTCGAGGCCTAAACAATGACGGAAGTTCTGCGCAAGTGGCCGCTGCGTCTACCGTAGCTCCGGCATCAACAATGGCGACGGTGGCCAGAAGCTCCTATTTCAATGTCCACCCCAAGCTGTATGTGCGCTGGTGGTGATTCATTCGTGAGCCCCAATGTCAGCTCCATAACCTCTCGACATCCTTGCTACTTGTGATCTTTATCGAAGCGCGCCCTTTCCATCGTGATGCTTGCGAGCTAGCTACCTTGGATCAAGATAGCTAGCCAGCCGTGGGAAACGCTACCTGCGCCAGATCGTCACCACCTTTGCTACTGTATTCTCGCTTGTTTGCTTCCATTATCATTACCTTTTTATTTCTGGGCCCCAGCGAACAACAGACATGGTGTTCCCACTACGGTCAATCGCGTCGTGGCGAGTGGGTGTAGTCGTTGCTGCAGCACTGGCTTCTCTCGTCCATGCGAGCCCATCAGTCAACGTCGCTTTGCAGGCCTCCTTCGACTCGGCGCCATATCTTATAGAGCTCCTGTAAGCCAATCGATCCCCCTTTTCTACAGGCGCAGGAGTGTCCGGTTCCCAATGGATCGCTAATAGCCGGATCGATGTATAGAGAAACCGTCGCCGAGGAGAACTCCACTGCATACTTCCCGTTGCTTGACCGCGTTGCTGACGGAGCCTTTGACGATGCGGTGACGGATAAGGAAGTTTACGATCGCTTCTTGCAGGTCGTCCGCGAGGGCGGGCATCTCAAGACCCCGGAGACTCTATCGTCTTTCAAGCTGTCGTTGGCAATCCGATCTGCGACCCCACGAATCGCCGCCCACTATCAGTACTACAATGCTTCGGTGCAACACTCGTTAATGGCGGCTCAGGATGCCGCCTGCCCAGTCTGGGTGCACTCGGAAGGAAAACAGTACTGCTCTTCTACGATGGAGCGTGCACAGCAGGATGTCCTCGGAGAACTGTGAGTTGGAACTTACATACGTTGCGCGTCAGGGACAGTCAACTGATCTCTATCCAAATACTTCAGGGATCCGAAGGAACTCCCGTTTGACCGAGTCCTGGGAGACCCGTCCTTGCCGCCAGCTGTCTTGTACGCCGACGTGACGTCGCCAATGTTCAGGGACTTCCACCATACATTGACCTCCCTCGCCAAGGAGGGCCAGGTCTCCTATCGTGTACGGTACCGCCCTCCACAACATCCGATCCCGCGTCCCTTGTTCGTTTCCGGATATGGCGTGGAGCTTGCCTTGAAGCGCACTGATTACATTGTGATCGATGATCGCGATGCTGAGGGAAGGGGCTCCGACTCCGCGGAATCAACCAAGCCTGGCACTGTCGACGAGGAGGCACCCGATGACCTGCGGCCTTTATCCTCGTCTGAGGTATCGCGGCTGGGCGTGAACACTGTCAGCTACGTAATGGACAGTGAGAACCCTCTCGACACTCTCGTCAAGCTGTCGCAGGATTTCCCCAAATATTCCTCCAAGGTCGCTGCGCATAATGCCTCAGCTTCTCTCCTCAAGGATATCCGCTTCAGCAGGTTACAGATGCTGCCTTCTGGCGCCAATGTCATGTGGATCAACGGTGTACAAGTCAATCCCCGACAAATCGACGCCTTCTCTCTCTCCGATCACCTGCGTCGCGAGAGGAGACTCATCGAGAAATTCCGGAATTTGGGTCTTTCCGCCCAGGAGGCTGTTGACCTTCTTTCCCATGAGTATATCGCCGAGGCCATGGCACAGGATGCGGCTCAGCGATACAACTATCGCGATGAAATTGAAGGCGGTAATGTTATCATATGGCTAAACGATTTGGAAAAAGATGCAAAATACGAGGGCTGGCCGAGCGACCTGACCGCTGTGCGTGCTCCCATTTCACTTGACTGGCTTTTCCCATGCTAACATTCATCAGTTTCTTCAACGCACATATCCTGGACAGCTTCCTCCTGTGCGCCGGGATGCCCACAATATAGTGGTTCCAGTCGATCTAACCAATGCCGAAGATATGAATCTGGTAGTCCAGACTATCCAGGTTTTTGTCAAGAAGAAGATCCCAGTCAGGTTTGGTCTAGTCCCCACTGGGTCTTCTCCGGGCTCGATGGCTCAACTCAAGGTTGCGCATTATCTCCAAAGGACTTATGGACTTTCCAGCTTGATTCAGTATCTGGAAGAGGTGTGTCATCCTAAAGTGTATTTTCACTGTAGATATTATTTGCTAATGTGATTAGTCTGCCGCGAAGAACAAGTTCGCCAGCCCTGATAAGGGGTCTTTCCAGGCTGCGATTAAAGACCGGAACGTTCGCGCTGACAAGCAGCCCTTGTCGTTTGAAGAAGTGCTAAAGGATGATGAACTCGGCAGCTTCGTGTCCCGCACACTGGATTATCAAAATCGACTTGGCATCAATGGAGAAACGTCGCCTCTTTTCGTCAATGGAGTTCCCATCAGCAGGGGCGAAAATTGGGTGCAGGAAATGAGCATCAGGGTGAACAAAGACTTGCAATTGATCCAGCAGAGCATTTTTGAAGGCCTTCTCGAAGAAAGCACTTGGATCCCTGGCTTTTTCCTTTCTGGTGCTTTTGATCGGCGCAATCCTTGGGTCATCCCCGAGGACCCTAAAGACATCAAAGTCGTGGATTTGGCTGGTGTTGCTGGTTCTCGACAGCAGAGCTTAGATGCCCTTCCCCGTATACCTTCTGATGGGGAGGATGCACTTGAGAGTGCCTACCTTGTCGTCGTCGGAGACTTCGATGCAGAATCCGGTCTCAAGTTACTGAAAGCCACCCTTGGCAGTCGCAAGGAGCACGGTGAGGCAGAGATGCTCTTTTTACACAACCCCGCCACAGATACACCCACCTCTGGACGGTCCGCGACTCTTTACCGCCTACTGAAGGATGGCAAAGAAACGGATGTTGAGAAGCTCCTGAGTGCTTTCTCTTCAGACAGCGCCACGACCAACGAGGCGGAGGAAATTGTTGCCTTCTGGGAAGCGCAACAGCCCCTGGCTTATGATCTCGGTTTCAAACCCGGTCAGAGCGGGTTCATTGTCAATGGAAGGGTGATTGGACCTATGCAGGACGATAGTGTAGTGATGCCAGAAGACATAGGTGCTCTTCTGGGATACGAACAGGCCAAACGGATAGGCCCCGTTGCAAAGGCAGCCAGAGCCCTCGGATTTGGATCAAAAGTGGCAGAACCTCTGGCTTTTGCCAAGCTGACATCACTGGCTACCCTCTCAACCATCTCTGATGTGCCTGAGGGTATCTTTGAAAGCATGTCGGAAATTCGGCTAAACTTGTATGACAGATGGAGTGACTCCGATTCCGTCATAACTGTCTCCAATTCTGAGGACGCCGCGATCACGATAGTCGCGTCTATCGACCCCACATCTGAAGTCGCCCAAAGATGGCTTCCAATCTTGAATGTCCTCTCGCAGTTGGCAAGCGTGCGACTCCGGCTATTCTTGAATCCGCGGGAGGAAATCAGCGAACTTCCAACTAAGCGGTTCTACCGCTATGTCTTGGACTTGGAGCCATCATTCAATGATGATGGATCTCTGGCAAGACCCGGCGCTTCGTTCTCGGGTGTTCCAGTTGAAGCACTTCTTACATTGGGAATGGACGTACCATCTCCCTGGCTCGTGGCTCCCAAGGAGTCTATCCACGACCTTGACAATATAAAGTTGAGCTCACTGAAGGAAGGATCGAACGTCGATGCTATCTACGCCCTGGAACATATTTTGATCGAGGGCCACTCCCGCGACCTGACCACACAAAGCCCTCCTAGAGGTGTCCAGTTGGTCCTTGGAACAGAAGACCATCCATACTTTGCCGATACCATCATCATGGCCAACCTGGGATACTTCCAGTTCAAAGCTCAGCCTGGACTATGGAAAATCAACCTCAAACCTGGTCGTAGTGAACGCATTTTCAACCTCGACAGTGTGGGCGGCCTCGGATACAGCCCTCAACCAGGCGACGAAAACAACGAAGTGGCTCTTCTCTCCTTCCAGGGCAAGACGCTATTCCCTCGCCTGTCACGTAAGAAGGGCTTTGAGGATGAAGACGTTTTAGAGACTGGCCCTCGTCCCGGATCACCGATGGACTTTGTCTCCAAGGGTCTCAACTTCGCCTCAGGAGTCCTATCAAGCGTTGGGGTTGGCTCAAAGGCCGTCTCCGAAAAGCAAGCCGACATCAACATCTTCTCCGTCGCTAGCGGCCACCTCTATGAGCGCATGCTAAACATCATGATGGTCTCCGTCATGCGGAACACCAAGCATACGGTCAAATTCTGGTTCATCGAGCAGTTCCTTTCCCCGTCCTTCAAGGAGTTCCTCCCCCATCTCGCCAAGGAATACGGCTTCTCCTACGAGATGGTCACCTACAAATGGCCACACTGGCTGCGCGCACAGCGCGAGAAGCAACGCGAGATCTGGGGCTACAAGATCCTGTTCCTGGATGTCCTATTCCCGCTTTCCTTGGACAAGGTCATCTTCGTGGACGCCGACCAGATCGTTCGCACAGACATGTACGACCTCGTCAGTCTCGACCTGGAAGGCGCCCCTTACGGCTTCACCCCGATGTGCGATTCGCGCGAGGAGATGGAGGGCTTCCGCTTCTGGAAACAGGGCTACTGGAAGACCTTCCTGCGCGGTCAGCCCTACCATATCTCCGCCCTCTACGTCGTCGACCTGAGCCGCTTCCGCGCCCTGGCAGCCGGTGATCGTCTCCGCGGCCAGTACCAGATGCTGTCCGCGGACCCCAACAGTCTGAGCAACCTCGACCAGGACCTGCCCAACCATATGCAACACCATATCCCCATCAAGAGCCTGCCGCAGGAGTGGCTGTGGTGCGAGACGTGGTGCTCTGATGAGTCGCTCGGTCAGGCGAGGACCATTGATCTCTGCAATAACCCGCAGACAAAGGAGCCCAAGTTGGATCGCGCCCGGCGACAGGTTCCCGAGTGGACCGCCTATGATGATGAGATTGCAGCGTTGGCGAAGAGGGTCGCGCAAGACAAAGAACAGGAAGAGGATATCCCGGTGCCAGAGGAAGAAGACGACGAAGCACCTTCAACTTGGGACAAGGATGAACTGTGAACTGTGATGTTTTGCCTAGTGTCTCGGGTGTATAGTTTGCATATTGTATCTTGATTACGATTAATGCCGGTATAAATATTAAAGGGGTAGACATTAGCTATTTTACTTTGCAATTACATAGCCTCATGCTGGGGGTCAAAAACATAGCTAACTTTGGACATCGTAAACTCTATCATAACAACCAGTTCATATAACATCAATGCAGCTCCAGCAGTTTCTTCCAAATTCGTGGAGAAGGGTAAATTCATTGACCAGAAATTTATTCGCCGTTGGCAAACAGATCATCTGGTTCCTTCTTGATGTCCCGCTTCGTGCGGGGTGTGTTTGAACCGAATGAATGTAGCACAGATGGAGACCGATGCTTGACCTTCGAAGGTTTAGCATCATTTTCGTCGGAGTCCGAGTCGTCGGAGCTATCGGGACTAGAGTCCTGATCATCATCCTCTGACTCGGAACTGGATGAAGTGGAATCACTGGGACCTTTAAGGGCTTTCTTGGATTTCGGGAGTTGCGTAACTTGAGCACGCTTTGTGTTCTGCTGAGGTTTCGGTGGCTTTTCATCCTCGTCGTCCGAGCCTTCACTATCACGCGAGCTGTCGCTTTCACTATCGCTGGAGGACGATTTTTCGGATTCATCGGAGGAACTGTCCTCACTGTCGGTCTTAATGGTTTTGCCCTCATGTGTTTTGGGAGCCACTTGAGATGAAGATTTCTCGCGTTCCTGTGGAGTTTCATTGATCTCGGGAGCTTCCGAATGCTTCGTCTTGGGCGTCTTAGGAGTTGGTGCTTTGCTTTTGGCAGAAGTACGCTCGCCGTTGCTCTTGTCATCCTGCTCGGTTTCGTCCTCATCCGACTCTTCCACGTACTTGGAGCTCTTATAGTTCCTGTCGGGCGAGGCACTCCTGGATAAAGCTGCCAGCGACCGGCTTCTCCTGCTTGCTAACCTTGTCTCGAGCGCAGGGTCATAAACAGCATCGGCCTGGCCACGTTTACGCTGCGTTACGATCTTGCGTCTGGCCTTGCGCCATTTGTCTGCACATTGTTGCCGGGACCGGCAATGGCCAAGAGCCCTGCTGACATTGCCCCAAGATACCAGTCTCTCGTCCATTTCGTAGTAGTCCTTGCCGACGTCCATACCCTGCTGCTTGAGCTTTGTCCAAGAGTCCTGTACAGCTTCCAGTAACTGGCAAACCTCCTCTTCGGACCACGGTCCTGATTTCATCGTGTTTCGGTGTTCAAGGCGATTCTTCCATCTCTGAACAACATCATCGTCGCTTCGCCCAATAAGCTTCGCAATATAGGCCCATCTAGGACCATACTTCTCGTGTAACTCGATAAGCTCTTGGTCTTGCAGTTTAGTCCACTCGTGCGGTTTCTGCTGTGAGGCTTGAAAATGCCGCCTCATGAAGCGGTAGACAGACCGTCTGTCTCGCTTCGGATGCACCCCGTAGATCTCCTTCCAGAAGTCTTGTTTCGAGATCATATCTTGGCCGGGGAAGGTTTCTCCCTTCTCGCGCGCTGAATGCTGCACCATTGCGTCGAACGTGGAGCCGTGAATGCCATGGGTGTTACAGAAATCGATTTTGAATTTCTCCAACGCTTTTACTTCATCCGACGTAAAGAACCCCGTGTGTTTACCCTTAGACGTGTTAGAATTCGAGTCGGGTCGCTTGCGCTTGCCTTTCTGAACAAGGAACGGGTTGCTGGCCTCTGCGTTGGGGTTCGCGGGTACGGAAGTCTTGCGTTCTGTCCGTTCATTCTTCGGGGAAGATGGCGAGGATTCTTTGGACTTCTGCGGTGGCTTGGTAGAGGATGCGTCTGTTCCTTCTGAGTCTGAACGAGGTGGTGCATCCACTGGAGTCTCCGCGGGCGCGGGGGTATCTTCCTCGGATTTGGATTCCACCGACTTGCGGGACTTTTTGTCCGCCTTGTATACCTTCAGCTTCTTCCGGTTGCTGTTGATGTAAAGGGTCTCCTCTTCTCCTTCTCCTGGTGGTGTCCAGATATCGCGCCTCCGTCCACTGTGCTTATCCCTCTTGCGCTTAGGCATGGTTGGTAGCATTGGTGGTTTGAGAGGGGATTGACTCGATAAAACAGCGAAGAACAGGTGTGGGAGTTTCTACAACCACCGAACGGGTCTATGCGACTATAAAGGAGGTTAATATTGGGCCTATGAATCTCAGGGTCGTTGTGACCTATAAGGAACAAAACCGGGGTGATGGAGACGTACTGAGACCTCGTAGAAAAATCGTCGAGGTGAGGATGATGACTGCAAGAAGACGTCGAGCATACGAAAACGAGGTCGCAAAGAAATGGAAGGAGTATGCGATTCCTAGAAATGAGAGACTGGATGAGAATGGGAGATAAAACTCTACGGCGTTCGAAGAAGTCGGCGTGAAGCAACACGGAAAAGGCGCGACTTTTTTGCGGTCTTTTTCAAGGCGGTCTCTTCATTAGACCCGATTGGGTAAGTCCCCATTACTCCTCCCATATCACCACTCAATCTACATCTGCTTTTCCAGGGGACTTATTTCTCCAGTGCATCTTTGTGGATGGGATTTTGGAGACCTTCATATCCCCTGGTCATTTCTACCTCTAATATGTGTCAATTCATCACAGCAGGTCAGAAAGGCTTAATCCCTTTGATAGTATCAAATTGTGGGCGGTTTACTCATCACAGGCGAGATGGCCGAGCGGTCCAAGGCGGTTAGTACCCTATCAAATCCTCTGTCTCTCAAACAATTCACTAACAACCACTCAGCTGGAGTAAGGTTCCAGTCTCGAAAGGGGCGTGGGTTCAAATCCCACTCTCGTCAACATCTTTTTGATTTTTTTGGCACCTTATCATACTCCCCGCGATATGTCTTCATCAACCAGGCGTCACGTTTCAGAGAACGTCTCACAGCACCTCCCCGACCCATATGAAAACATGGATTAGTGTCCCTGTTGGCGCGATCTCGAGGAGTCATACCCACACATGGCGGCCAGTTGCCAAATTTAACATCAGTTAAGGTCAGAGCCAATCCAATGTTTCTTGGTCCTGTAGCAAAAGGGCACATCACTCAGCACACCTCGCGGCAACGTACATCATGAAATGCAGGCCACCAATCTCCCCAAAGATCATGTTGACCATACTCGACTGCAACACAAGCATAATGTCAACGTGGGTGGTATATAAATTGCCGGGGGAATGCAACAGCATATCTGGCTGACATTCTCAGGTTAGACGACTGCACCTGGAAGTAGCCTGCCATGTAATGGGCTTTTCTTGCAACTTGGACGTTCACTCACGCCGTCATTAGAAGCCGAATCCGAAGGTCCACGCTGAAGCACATTCAACTGGCAAATATGAAGGACCCTGGAGGCAGGAATGACAATATACGATGTAGTACTAGCCCGTCAGCCTCGTCAGAGAAACCCTACAGAGCAATCAATGTTTGGTCATGAGTTCTTTGCGAGTCAACACCTACACCCTGCCCGAATGACTCCTCTTGGGCGAAGAAAGAGCCCCAGGAGAGGCAACTTGTAGAATTGCAATTCTCCATCATCAGTATATTCTCCGTCCAGATGGCCTGCGTCCACCCGAGCGAATGCTCGATTAATAACCCTCTCCGGTGGAGTAAGACAGGTCATGTTTTCGTTGGCTGGAAAACTCATCGGGATGAAAGAACCACCGGGGGGAGGGGGGGATGTTCTGCCGCGGAAATCTTGAAGGAGCCGTCCATATTCCTCCGGGGTTACACATGGCCGGAAAGCAGACAGGAATCTGAACGTGAAGAGGCACTCCAGTGCATGCCGATGGACCTGTGAACAACCCATTGGATATATACTTGTTTGCGTTTGCTGTGACTGCACCTACCAAGTATCCTTGGACTTGTATCGGTTACTGGCCTGTGATATAGTGTATTTATGTGTCACATCAATGGCCCAATTCCGCTACTAGAGAAGTAGAGTCAGATGAAGCCGTGGATCCATTGCATATCGTGATTCGAGCGCAAAATATCAACGTTGCTGACGAATGCGGGCTTCATGAGCCCATACGGCATCTCTGTGATACCATACAATGGCTTCGCATTTCTGGGGTGATCCGAAATACATCCTATGAAGAAAACACACAGAGATCAGGGTGGATGAAAATTTGAGGAACGGTACTTGTATCATGGCAAATTGTAATACTGAAGGAAGATCTACCACTAGCCCCTCTTCCCGGGATTTGTCACAGCGGGTGAGTTGAATTATGTGACATAAGTAAAGCACGATCCACTGGAGTCAGTATGGGTATTTAGCATATGTTCGATATCAAGGGCTAGGCCGGATATAGGGCTCACTTGCTTCACTCACGAGAGCCATGGACCATACTAAAGCAATAGCATTGCTTGCGGACAGTACTGTGGACAGACTAATAGTAATAACACCTATGCTTGCTGATAGCAAGAAGCATTGTCTCTGTTGAACCATGTAGAGTGACTGTTGCATGCCTATAAGTATGCACAAAGGCCACCTAGCGAGACCTATAGGTCTTCATGTATGTTTCACCTGGAATTAGCGATGGTACCTGGCGGTGTGTATGGACATACCCTGATCCAATTGTCTGCTGATCGTGGTTCTTATTGGCCTTCCCAGGCCTACCAGCATATAATCATAGTCTCTTCCATAACTACCTGGCAAATAAAGCACGTATTCATCCTCACTCCGTGGCATTCAGGCTTATATGCTAAAACCTATCATTGGTGGTGCAAGCCAGCACACTGGAGCAATAAAAAGGATAAACAGGCCAGAAATCCAACGTAGGGAGAAAAATAAAAAAGATGTTGACGAGAGTGGGATTTGAACCCACGCCCCTTTCGAGACTGGAACCTTACTCCAGCTGAGTGGTTGTTAGTGATTTGTTTGGTGCGAGATGAGGTACTTAGGGCTACTAACCGCCTTGGACCGCTCGGCCATCTCGCCTTGGTTGATGTTCGGGCCGAATTTTTGAATATATGTTCGGGCCACCAGGAGTAGGACATCTCCGCACCTTGGAGTACTCCGTATGGGCACAGAGTACATGGTGCCTTTAGGCTGCGGACTTTGACCAACAAATGGCGAAGTTATGAGGAAGCAATGTGTTGCGCAAAGAGTTGTATATGTACAAAGTGACCATACCTAGATTAGTGACTCTCATTCCACAACCACATAGTGTTATGTTAGTCTTCGGTTCTCTCGGGCCTGCATAGGCGCTATCCAGCACAAGCTTGCACATGGTGAATTTGAGTCTCAGGGCGGAATCTATAGAGAATGGATTATACAGTGGTTTGATGCAACAGTACCATAGTAACAGGTACTCATACTATTTGCTTGACAGTAAGCTGTGCATCCATGCTGGCACACATGCTCGGTATGGTGCTATTGATGGGACCATGTGTAGGATATTGTTAGTATATCCAGTCGGCTTTATTGGAAAGACGTGCCACTTGACGCTGCCACCAGTGGGTGCCGTCTGGGTAGGAGACAGTCTAAGAATTCATAGTGGAAATAAAATTAAAAAATAAAAAAGATGTTGACGAGAGTGGGATTTGAACCCACGCCCCTTTCGAGACTGGAACCTTACTCCAGCGCTGAAGAGCTTGTTAGTGTTTTGTTGGGTGGCGGCATAGTTTAGGAGGTTACTAACCCTTAGACCGCTCGGCCATCTCGCCATTGGTTGAAAAGACATGGCCGGAAAGTGCTACCTATTTTAAGTTCTAAGTCTTGCCGGGTAACCCTGATAATATATATACACCCGCGCGTTGCAAGTACAGGTGCGACCAATTATAATCTTCTCGACAACCCAGCCAGCCGGACCGACAACCATATACTCACTACCACGATGTACTAGGAGCGTACCTATACCGACACCGACAGCCAGAGAGTCAACAACAGCAGATATTTGAAACAAAAACCTGGGTGAAGTTTGTGGCGTGGCATAGAAGACCAACAGGCGACTGTTAACCGTAGATTCTCGGGCGTACACAGCCCGCACACCAAAGCGAGTTGCTAACCCCGTAGGTACAGCGACATCAGGGGAAGCAGATTTCACCAACATCTAACTACCCACACAGCATTATTCAACATAGAAACATCACTGCTCCAAGCAAGAGTGAACCCCATATACCATACCAACAGAAGGTAACCGCGGCAAGTACTTTCATAACCCAACACAAAGTTCTGGGAGACATCGGCCACACCGCCAAGGCCGATAAAAGGTCCTGATAAAGGCTGTACATAGGGAGATGAGACCGGGGGACTGGCCACACAGGCACGTATCCTCCACCTCACCGAAAGCTACCGACCAAATAGCCAAATCAACCACCACCCTACTACACAGGGATCCCAGGGTGCCCAGCATGTGAGCCCAGAATAACGAAGAGGAGCCCACGTGATCCACCCACCGAGACATCTTTAAGATCACTATCTCATTACCAGGTAGAAGCAAGATAACGGAAGTCCTACGCCCAACCAAGTAGCTGCAGGGATTGGGCCCGTGGAAGAAAGCGGAAGACGGATAGCTACTATGGAGCGTACCTGGCTCTGTAAGATACACCAGACTGGCAAGAGAGAAGCATACCCCCATACCCAGGTAGGCCTGGCCAGTTGTTATATGTCAGTCTTGTAATGCTCCAGGCGGTCCATCGCCCACCTATCCTGCGTCGCAAGCCACCAATGCGTGCAAGGGCTGGAAGGCAGATAACACAAGGCAACCCTGAATGCACAGGTACCACCAGTCACCGAGAGAAGACCCAAATTACAGAAAGCAAAGAATCAGAAGAACAAAGTTGACACTGGCCAGATATCGCGGTCGATCGAGAGACCAAAAGCCCGAGAAACATCTGGAAATGCTGCCTAAAGCATCTACCACCTAGCTGACCAATATCCTGACATCAAGGAATAATTAGCGTAACTGGAAGAACTATAAATTGCCTGTTCAGGATGCAAGAGGGTTGTAAGAATGCAAAAGCAAGAACACAAGAAAGAGGATGAAAATGAACAACTGAAGTGTTGATGAGCTCTGGCTTATATAGCCAATAAGAAGCACGAAAAGCCATCAATAGGCGAGATGGCCGAGCGGTCTAAGGGTTAGTAACGTCGTATCATCTCATCACCCAATCAAACACTAACAATCTCTTCAGCGCTGGAGTAAGGTTCCAGTCTCGAAAGGGGCGTGGGTTCAAATCCCACTCTCGTCAGCATCTTTTTGTCTTTTTGTTCTCCCTGATTCCTTTTCTATGCCGTGTGCTTTCCATCACAGATCTATTGTGTTAATTGCCATGCTGATCATCCAGTGTTCCCGACGCCTGTGCTCCTTAAGGTGGGCATTAGACCATGTATAAGAGACAACACGGCCATTATCATCATTTCAATCGCTCATGCTCCATATCTATGTCAAATAATAGAAACAATAAAATTCGAATGAAGTAATCACCCGCATGCAATCATTCAATATACTCGTCATCAACCATCCACTTTCATTTCCCGTAGAATTCTGGTGACAAGCTTTTTCTGGTCTGCTGGATTCAGATTGTGCTCGTCAATTGTGCTTAAACATCTGCCAATGGCGACTGTCGCTTTTATCGCAGAGTCACCTCCATTGGCGCAATCCACCCAAACTTTGCCATTGCGGCCGACTGCGATTTCAAATCCACCAACTTTCTCCAGCTTTTTGCCCAGCTCATCCAATACCACCAGGCCATCCACACCTTCTTGGTTCTCTGCAGAGGACGAGCTCGCTCTCATTAGCCTGGCTGCCATGCCCGTTGAGATATCAAAGACCATCCCGCCGGTCAAAGGTCCCAATCCACCGGGTTCAGCTCTCCCCGTGGCAGGGTTGACACAGGTCAGCTCGACTTCAGCGCCGGCCCCAAGGCCTGTGGACAATACTCGGGCATACACCAAGTCTCCCTGTCTCAGCATTGGCCTCGTCTTTTTTGTCGCACCCTCAAAAGCAAGCTGTCCAAGCAATACTTGAGGAGCCTGTGGCGTGATCATGCAATGGAAATAATCCGGGCTCGAGTGGTGAATTTGCGCAATCACCAAGTCGTTCGCAATGGGTACATAGCGGCGGTTCGGAGTGGGCAGAAGAGACACAGCGTTTCTCTTGGGATCTGTGGTGAGGATACCGGGTTGCGTCGCTGCGAGAACATGATCGGACGATTTAGACGTCGAAGATGGAGGTTGGGAGAGGAGGCGAAGGCCGGGGCCTAGTCGCAGTGGTGCTGAGGAATTGGAGGATGGCAAGTATTCGGAGGGTACATGGTCTCCCGGTAGGAGAATTAATGGTGACGACATGGTGAGTTCGGAAAAGATGAGGCCGAAATAATCGGTGGGATATGCGGAAGAGAGAACGTGGAAAAGAGGGAAGAGAAAAGAGGGCCTTATCGCAAGCTATCACCACGTGATATCCACACACCGCCACAGTCTAGTTTGGCTATCGATAAGCACCAGCCACACCGCCCGCCTCTTTGACAAACAGTCCAAAATTTTTTTCTTCGGGTTGCAGGCCGAAAGAGAGTAAAAGGCGAGATCTTCTAACCGTCTTCTTCTCTTCCCCCACCCTCACTTTCCACTTCCCTCTTGATATCTATTTCCTTCTCTTCTTTCATATCTCAATCCATAATTCGCTATGAGTGAGACGAACGGCGCCCCCGAGAGATTCGCCATTGGTATCTCCTTTGGCAACTCCTCCAGTTCCATTGCCCGCATCAACCCTGTACGTGAACTTTCCGCGGCATTGTACGCCTGCATGCAAGTTGGAGGCAATGACTAATGGAGATCCATTTATAGGAGGGCAAGGCAGAGGTTATCGCCAACGAAGAAGGAGGTTCGTTTCTGATTCAATCCTGTCCTACCGGTGTGCGTGTTCTGAACTGTCCCGCTAACTCTCTTCAATAGACCGCCAGATTCCTTCCGTCCTTTCGTACATCGATGGTGAAGAGTACCACGGTACTCAGGCCAAGGCCCAGCTTATTCGCAACTCCAAGAACACCGTCGCATACTTCAGAGACTACCTGGGCAAGGAGTAATACTCACCCACCCGATGCCAACTAGAGCCTTGATTGAATCTGACATGAACGAATCACAGCTTCAAGTCGATAGACCCTACTCCCTGCCACAACTCGGCTCACCCTCAGCAGAGCGACTCTACCGTCGCGTTCTCCATTTGCGACTCTTCTGACGAGACCCCCAACACCGTCACTGTCTCAGAGATTGCGACCCGCCACCTCCGCCGCCTGAAGAACTCTGCGTCCGACTACCTTGGTAGGGAAGTCAACGCCGCCGTTATCACCGTCCCCACCGACTTCAAGGATTCCCAGCGTGAGGCTCTGACTGCTGCTGCCAAGGCTGCTGGTCTGGAAGTTCTGCAACTCATCCATGAGCCTGTGGCCGCTGCCCTGGCCTATGATGCGAGACCCGAGGCGACTGTGACTGATAAGCTCATCGTGGTGGCCGATCTGGGTGGCACTCGCTCCGACGCTGCCGTCATTGCTTGCCGTGGTGGCATGTACACCATTCTTGCTACTGCTCACGACTATGAACTGGGCGGTGCCTCATTGGACCAGATCATCATCGATCACTTCGCCAAGGAATTCATCAAGAAGCACAAGACCGACCCTCGCGAGAACGCTCGTGGTCTCGCCAAGCTGAAGCTCGAGGGTGAGGCTGCCCGTAAGACGCTGAGTCTGGGCACCAATGCCAGCCTGAGCATTGAGAGTCTTGCCGATGGAATCGATTTCAGCTCGACTGTCAACCGCACCCGCTTCGAGCTCCTCTCCAACAAGGTCTTCGCTCAGTTCACTGGCCTGATCGAGCAGGTTGTTAAGAAGGCTGGCTTCGATGTTCTGGACATCGACGAGGTTCGTCTAATATTTATTGCTCCCCGTCGTGAAATTCATTCTAACTAAATGCAAAGGTTATCTTCGCTGGTGGCGCCTCTCACACCCCCAAGATCGCCCAGCTTGCCCGCAACATCTTCCCGGAGACGACTAAGATCCTTGCTCCTTCTACTTTCACCGGCTCCATCAACCCCTCCGAGCTGGCCCCTCGTGGTGCTGCCATCCAGGCTTCCCTGATCCAGGAGTTCGACAAGGAGGACATCGAGCAGTCCATTCACCCCATGGTCACCGCCACTCCCCACCTCCAGAAGGCCATTGGCGTCGAGTTTGCCTCGGGCGAGTCTGTCGAGTTCAAGCCTCTCCTGAACGCCGATACTGCCCTCCCCGCCCGCCGTCTGGCTCAGTACAACGCTCCCAAGGAGGGCGGCGACGTTATCATCCGCGTCTGCGAGGGCGTCCGTGAGATCAAGGTCACCAAGCCGGAGCCTAAGCCCAAGGAGGAGAAGCCCAAGACTGAAGACGACGAGGAGGACTCCGACTTCGACTCTGATGAGGAGGAGGAGGAGACCCGTGAAATTGTGTGGAAGACCGAGAAGCCCGTCGCCGAGCTTGCCGTCAAGGGCGTCAAGGCCGGCAGCAAGGTCGAGTTGATGGTTCACGTCAACGCTGACTTGGGTCTGCAGATCACCGCCCGTGAAGTTGGTGGCCAGAGCGCCGTCCGCGGTGCTGTCCAGGCCGCTTGAACGGCTGTCTGATCTTCGCACCTTAATATTCACTTTATTTCATTGTCATCTCTCAGGATTCGCGCTGTCATGTTTAACGCTTCTGCATTTTCCCTTTTCTACTGAAATATTTGAATATCAGACTTTTGAATGATGTGCCGGTTTGAAGGCCACGCACTTCGATTTCTGACTTCGGATTGCTCAGGCCAAATATCTGTTGATCAGTCCACTCCCAGCAAGAGATGCCTGTTGTTTCTCTGCATTTGGCTTGCAATGACTGCTTGATGATGAATGTACCCATGATGTTTCCCAAAAGTATATAGAGAGAATACTGGTCTCAATAGACTCATAGAGCTGTTTGCAACATTATTATACAATTAACTAACTGATAGTAAAAGACTATAGATCTCGTAAAACCGTTATCCAAAAGCAAGTATTAAGGTAAACCATGAACATAACCCAAGAATATTATGGGGCACAGGGTGCCCCAGGTAAGAAACTATAGAAACCCGACAACCTGGGGGTATATCTCGAGTCAGATTAGAAATATTCAAGACATTTCTGCAAAGACTCCCGCGAGATAACAGAGCTGAAGTAGATCACTGAACCACACAATTCCAGAAAAAATGAGCGAACCTTGAAGGAGTATCCTCGTTGTGTATCATACTTCTGACGCTTCCGGGTCCTGCGCGATCCTGTTAAACCCCGAACCCCAGTGCGCCACAAGAAATACTATTTTGCCTCATCCTGCCCGCCATGATTAGGAGCTGGTCCTCCGCAACAGCATGCACACATGCATACAGACTACTGCCGCTTATGGGTTCGCTTCCTTGTTGCCGCTTCTCACACTGGCGGATCGCTGGGAAGGGAAGAAACCACGGCGGCGGTGTTCACGGCCACTGTAACCTTCCTTTCTGCCGCCAACAGCACCGCCCATGCAGTACAACACGCAGGAGATGATCAGTAAGGCGACCGAAGTCCACATGAAGGCGAAAGATTTCACACCAAGGCGAGCGGACTGGCCATTGGCGTTGAACTTGTTGCGGCCTTGGACGAAAACAGCCCTGCAAGTCGTTCATTAATGGATGTGACTTTCTGGGGGCGAGTTGGGGAAGCTTACGTCATGAGACAGGTAGCGATGATCTGGAAAACCAGAGCGATCCATGCCATGAGGGAGGAAATGTAGCTTCCAATACGAGTGCACATCGCCAGGAAACCGGTGAATAACGAGACAACGGCGAAGAACAAGGCGATGATGAGGAAGGGCCAGGAGAATCGCGAAGTCAGGAAGTAATGGCTCGTCCTGGGAATGGTTAGCATTAGTCTCTTCGACCGCCCCAAGGGCTTCCTCAAGCAGAGAGCGCATACCCGATGAATGCTGGAGGGATGTTGGTGGTAGTACCGAAGTTGCGATGACTGGGAGGGTCAAATGGGAAGTCAGGATAGGATGTGCCACACTCGCTCTTCCCATTATCGTTGACTGCGCAGATATTCCAGAAGGTCCATCGCGACAACGCAGGGGCCCCAGGAATATTGCTGGTGTCCACTTGGAGCAGATAGATCTCATTCAGAGGGATCGAGTTTCTTGCTCCTCCCAGGAGAGTGAGGAACATCAATAGGAGGGCTGAGGCCGTGAAGAACAGGCCCAGGAAGCCTAGCGTCACTCCTGTACCATCGTGCATTAGCTATTGTGTCTAGTACAATGGTATCGGTCTGGATGGGAGTCTTACTGCCAATAGCCATGGTGGCGCTCTGTGCCTTGAAGTTCCGATTGAGGTTGGTGCAAGGTTAAAGTAGAGATTCAGGCGCAATCGCAAATGTCGCGATACAGAGTAAGCATTCAACAACGATCAGGATAGGAGAAAGTAGGCGATAGAGAAGAAGTAAGCCAGTAGATTATTAGTGGGAGGGCGTCAAGACTTCAGGGTATTAAAGCGGATCCGGAGATCCCGGCGACCCTGAGCCGAGCCATAGAGTCGCGAGAGTAGTGATATAATAATGAGGGCGCATCATCAAGTCTTCCCATGGAATCGGACGGAGGAGATGGTTCGTCAGACCAGGAGGTTGCGCAAAAGGCAGCCGAAGTATCTCGACGTCATCGTTGCAGAACCACAGGAGACGCTAAACCCAATTGGGGTGACCACGCCGCTGGGTTCATGACGTTGCGATTTCTTCCCCCCTACTTACTGCTGTTGACTCTCTGCACTCGCTGACGTTGCACCCACCGTCGACTTCATCCAGCCTGACCCATTTTGACCTCTTCGGTTGACGCAGGTCCTTGGCTGAAAAACTCAAATCGTGAAAATTTCTCTCCATCTCAGGAGGACCCATCGGCCTCTGGCTGCCGTTTCGGTTCTCTTCGGTTCCTAGAGGAACTACACACCTCTTACTGGCCCTCGAAAGATTTAGGCGGAAGGAAACCTGATACCAGGTGAGGGGATCCATCTAGAGATGGCCACTTGGGCATACCCACCCCTACCTGCGGAGCACTTGGACCGGGAAGCTGACAGCGCATTGGTACGACATCTGGCTTTTTGGGCCTATTTCCTTCCTTGAGTTTTGCCTTACATGAAGTGTGTGGGAACGCTGATTGTCCATCCCAATTGTAGGCCAGAGAACTCGAATGGCTATTGCGCTCTCTGCAAGACTCCCTCACGTCCCTTAGGGAGGGCCTCCGCGAGTGCGCTGTACTTCTTGCGCCAAAGGAGCCTGGTTCAACCTTAGTCCTATCCTCGCTTAGATCGGAGCACGTAAAAGGTTTTGTGACTCGCGTAGGCACCAAGATTGTGAAAGGTGTATGTGTTCCTATTGGTGTAATGTGTCGACGTCTACCTGGTCCAACAAGGAATCCCAACTGACTTCTCCGCTGCGATAGGATATTCAATTGCGACTCAACTCCCTTGCTTCCCCTCGTGGATCAGGCAACACCCGACTATGCCTCTCAAGCTCTCCTACCGCCCCGGAACTCGTGCTTCACCAACTCGTGTCCGTGAGAAACTTGGTTAACCAAAGTCTTGATATCGTCGATGTGAGCGCATGGACCGGCGATCCCCTCAACGCCAATTTCATCTTCAGTCAATTGCACCTCCTACATGAAACTATATCCGAGGCACGGCAATTACTGAAAGGAGAAAATGATAATACTCGAGGCAAATGGTGGGACACCAGCGCGGAGGAGGAGGTACGTTGTGTTGTGGTTGGATATGTTGAAGATGATTCACTTTGGACGCGGTTGCTAATTTGCGCAGATGTTTGATCCTCCGTTACCACCATACCTGTCTTTCCAACTATTGATCGCCGACTCTGCTCTTGTGCTGTACCTGAGAACTTTAGAGTCTGCTACGCCCACACATACTCCAACAGCCTTCGCAACTGATATCTCTCTGACGGGGTTCAACTTGCGAGACCGATTATTCGGGACGCGGCATCGTGCGCACGATGAGGCTGGCGACGTGTTTACTTGGAAGGGCGAAGAAGTGAAGGTAAAGGAGAAGGTCCGCGTTGAAAGCCAGGATCCCAGCCTAATGGCCGTGATGGCTAAGTTGACAGCACTGCAACATGAAGTGATGAAGTGGATGTCCGCCTTGAATGTGCTTATGGGGAATGACGATACGGATAGTGAAAACTGACTTACTCCCTATATCCACGTACATATCCATTAATATATACTGCAAGTTTTAGAACTTCAGTTCACCTCATGATGCCTGCTCATAGATCTCAAGTTACATAATCAATATAAAAACTCTAGCCACCAATAGGAGGCGCGGAATTTCCGACCTGGACCTTTTTCTTGGCGCTGGTTTTCTTGTTGGAGCTCTCAGGTGGCGCTGCATTTTCTTCACCACTCCCACGCCGTCAATTGTCGTTTGAGCGCCATAGAAGGGGTTGAGGATGCTGTCAATTTCGCCAGCATCAAGAGTAAGCAGGCCTTGCTCTCATGATCTTATGCGCGCTTTCGTCTACCAGTCGTCCGCGACCAGTCCGCAACAGCTCCGACGCGGAGCTGCGACGCTCGGAGCCCTACGATGCGAAACGAGGATTTTAACGAAGAATTCGCGCCCTTTATCGCCTTTGAGACTTGGTAGAAACACAGCGCCGCTATGCAGAACAGGTCGTTGGAAGCTAGGGAGGAGATATGCATCAAGCGCTTCATCTGAAACTGCGGATAAGCACGCGGATCGGAAAGATGCCATATACGGTGTCATCGACAAGATCAACGAAAACGAAGTCGAACTTGCCGAACTTATGGACGAGTTGAACTTGCTGGACGATTATCACGGTGCGATTAACTTTGATGGACCGGACTATGACGATGCGGTCAGTCAGACGATTGGACAGCGAGACCACCAAATGTTGGAAGCCCGCGTACGGATGGCGAGACAGCAGTTCGGAGACGTTCTCCCTGATGGATACTTGAATGCGACCGAGACTGAACTGTATACTCAACTCTATGGGGAGCCCATCATCCGTCACGAGGAGCCTGAAGGTGCATTGAACATCGAGGAAACAGAGTCCGATACACTGCTTCGCGAAGATGGTAAGGGGGGATGGGAAGAAGTGCAATATGAACGTTTTGAATCCGATGCTGAGGTGCCCTTGGTTTATGATATGGAAGTCGGCCCGCTGGAGGATGAATCTGCTGCCATGCAGCGGACCCGGGAAGTGGCTGAACAATTGGGTGGAGAGGTCATGCTCGAGCAGTTTGAGGATGAAGCAAACCCAGATTCGACGCCACGTCTGCATCCTCTAACTGTGGAGGGCAAGTTTTCGACTGATCCTAGCACGGTTTTCCTTCCCAAAGATACTGTGACGGGACCTATATCCGTCATTCTTTCCGACTACTCGAACAAACACATTGCGGACGTCGCGCATCGTGTCTTCGGTGGCACACGAGTCCCATACTCCACTACCACTCCTCCTCCGCGCGCCCAGATGCCGCAACTACCGATACCGCTGGAAGCTTCCCAGCGCCATATGAGTGAGATGGAGGCAAACGCATACATTGCTACGCTGTACCCCGGAATGTACGCGTCGGTTTTGAGTGTATTGACAGAAGTCAGGAAGCGTCTAGGATCAGACTGGATTCGTCAGTTGTTAACGCAAGAGGGTGGTCCGCATGTGCTTGATGCTAGTGCTGGAGGTGCAGGTGTTTTAGCCTGGAGAGACGTCCTGCGTGCCGAATGGGAGTTGATGGTCCCGGACCATCCCCAGTCGAGCCCATATCCTGTAGGCAGGTCGACGGTGGTGACAGGATCAGAAACTCTACGGCTGCGTGCTAGTTTGATGCTGGAGAACACCTCATTTTTGCCACGACTACCTGACTACGTTCATATTCGGGAGAAGCCTACTCTGGATGACCAGCGCGCTCCTCCCAAACGCAAGCAGTACGATGTTATCATCGCTCCACATTCGTTGTTGGGCATTGAAGAAGAGTACATGCGGAAAGAGCATGTTGAGAATCTCTGGAATCTTCTCAACCCTAACGGAGGTGTGCTCATCCTCCTTGAGAAGGGTCATCAGAAGGGCTTTGAGGCTATTGCTGGGGCCCGTGACATGCTCCTCAAGCGCCATATCTCGAGTCCTGGCTCAGTCCAATATGAAGACTTTTTGCAGTCCCCCGGGGGTGGAAAATACGTGAACAAAGAGGCTGGAATGATAATTGCTCCCTGCACGAACCATGAAAAATGCCCCATGTTCAATGTGGCTGGCCATTCCAAGGGTCGCAAGGACTACTGTCATTTCGAGCAACGATACATTCGCCCACCCTTCCTCCAGCGTATCCTAGGCATCAAGGACCGGAACCATGAAGATGTGAAATTCAGTTATGTTGCTGTCCAACGCGGTGTCGACCGACGCGAAAAGGACGGCATCGTCCAAGGGGCTGCAGCGACCGACGCGGCCTTCGTGGGATATGAACACCTACATGACTCTCCTGCAGAGCAGTCTGAGGCTACGGAAGAGCCCACGTCTACTACAGCTGAAGGAAGCGAAAGGCCATCCGCGGAGGGAGCTGAACAATTTCACGCACTGACGCTCCCTCGCATTGTGTACCCACCTATGAAACGTCGTGGCCATGTCATCTTCGACCTCTGCACTTCCGCTGGAAAGATCGAACGCTGGACTGTTCCTCGGTCTTACAGTCGCCGGGCATTTAAGGATGCACGCAAGGCGCAGTGGGGTGATCTGTGGGCGCTTGGTGCGAAGACTCGTATTCCGCGCTCCCTGAGGCTCGGCGATAAGCATGGCGAGGGAAAGAAAGAGCGTCTCGCGCGGAGAGCTGTTGAACGAGCCGAGATGAACGAAACAGAGGAGATGCAGCTCGAGGAGGCTGGCTCCGCTTGGCCTGATCTGCCCGTCCCCAAACGGAAGAAAGGTCAGAATATCCCAAGCTGGAAGAAGCATGCGGATAAAAAGAAGCTACGACAGGCTACAAAGAAGCATGCAGCTGCACAATTAGCACACGATGACTCTTTGGCCTAGTTTGGAGATTGTCTTTACCCTGCAACAAACGGATATGGTTATGGTGGAAACGTAAGGCGGCGTCAAACTGCGATATACAATGGTTTTTGGCTCAGTGGACAGTGGGTTTTCGAAGTTCCTTCATGTTCTGTATATTATATCATATGTACAATAGACACTACCCTCCTGTATGTAATTGATCTCCTCACTCAGAGTCAATACTTCATCTCTAAGTATAAGTCTACTCGATCATTCAGCCATAATGTCATTGTAGACTTTGGCATGTGTGTGGCTGTGCTCTGAGGTGACCAGTAGTCTCACATTCCCACTACACCATGTTGGCATGAGGGCTCGCCTTTCATGTCTCTGCCAGTACTCCGCTAGATCTCGTCGCGGAAGTTGGGCGTATTTGCGAGTGGGCCATAAGCCACTAGGTTTAGGGGCTGGGATTCTCCGCACATATCGATATCCCGGCGGAACGAAAATGATATCCTCCGTCGGTTGAGGGGACTCGTGTGAGACACCGTGGGAGTCAGGGAAGGCTGATGGGCTGCATTCCCCGCTCCTATCCTACTAAAACCATCCGCAGGAGTCCGGTTCACTGCGCAGCCATGCTCTTTCTCAGCTGACGTTCTCTCTGCTTACTTTGCAGCTCCAGTCGTTCAACTGCATACTGCAGACGTTCTCTCTTCTGGACCAGCCGTCTCAACTCCGCGGCTTTGCCTGTGGCACTTCCTCGTTGTCGATCACCCGATGCGCTGCTCTGACTGCGACTTGTCGTCGCACGATTCTCGTTGGAGTAGAGTCGCCCCTCTTGGAGCTCGCATTTCGCCCGCAGACCTTGTTCGCGGCGGGAAAGCTTTTCGACGTGGTTTGACGCTAGAGATAGAAGGTGTGCGATGCTTGGTGTGATCTCGTCCAATAGAGATTGTTGTGCTTCGCGCAAAGTTGGCTCTGGTAGAAGTTCAAAATGCTGTAAAATAACGTCAGTACAGTACACTGGGTCTGCTTGCGAATCATTATGATCAGGACACGTACTCTGGTTGTTTGTAGCACCTTGCACATTCGGGGAAAGTCATTGATGCCGGAATCAAGGGTGGAGATGGAGGAATCGAGGAGCTGAAGGGAGGACTGAAGGGAATTAACGGAGGATGATAGAGAATCGGCCATGATGGTAGAATTGCGTATAGACTGGTGGAAGAGAGTGAGATGCAGAAAGCAGAAACGGCCGCGATTGTTTACATTTCGGAGGGGTTGCGGACAGATGCCAAAAGCGGCAAGCGGCCAGGGCTTACGTAAAGGCGGCGGGAATTCGGACTTCGGGAGAAACCTCGTTGCTCCCGCTCCTCCTGGTCGCATCGTTCCGGCTTCATCTTCTCCCTCCTGTCACTCACGCTCAAGACATATTCGTGAACTCATCCACACCGTCACCATGTCTATCCTTCCCAAGAAGTTCCCCACCCCCGTCGGTAAGTGAAGGTTCCCGGTTCTGAGTCGCTGTTGGGCCTGAAGTACTGACAAAGTTGCCTCCTACAGCCAAGCCTATGGGCCCCTTCTTCGCTGCCGGTATGCACCATTCACCATGTTTGCTTGGACTCATCGGAACCACATGAAATACGGAATTTGGAGAGATTGTGGACATGCGCTTTTGCGCTCTGGAAATACTCGATACTGATGGAACTGCGCTTCTAGGCCTGGTCATCCTCTACGGCATCAACTCCTTCGGCAACCTGCTCATGTCGAGTAAGTTCCCTCAACGACTATGAGACAGTCTCATCACTACATCGGAGTGCCTTCCGGTCGCTTATGCCGGAAGCTCGGATACGGAGAGATCATGGCTGACTTTCGATGTAGCCGACGAGTTCAAGAACGACCCCCGCAACCCCAACCTCAAGAACAAGCACTAAATTGGCCCGGACCAAACGATTGCTTGATAGTGCGGATATGACGGGAGGAATGTGATTGTCGTGGGTGGCTTGTCACCCTGTTACTGTTTCGCTGTTTCGATTTGCGGGCAGTTGCTCTGTACAGGCATATAGACTACGCCGTCATAGTTTGACGAATTGACAAGTTGTACCACTATTTCGATCCTGGCTCTACGCGGCCACGATTAACCCGGCCTTCCTACGTCGCAATCTGGTTCAACTGCTACACGTTGCCTTCATTGCCTGGCGGTCCAACGACCAGCTGGTTCGTTCACCATCACCAATGCTGAGACTTCCCTGTGTGGCCTATCAAGCTCGATTAGTTTTGTATCGATGGTTTCCTGATCAACCTTATGCCGCTTGCCCGCTGTCTCCATCCACTATGCTATAATCATGTCCGGAACTGTCGGAGAGCGCCTACCAGAAGCTCTCTGGGAGAAAAGTAACCAGTCATCTCAGTATAAGACGCTCAAGTCGCCTTATGATGGCATCTTAATACTTCCTCGGCGAGTGACTGGAACCTGATGGTCTCATACTCTGGTGCACTACGTAGAGTTGCGTTATGGGCACCGACCTTGAATTCTTCATCTTACACAGCATCTGTCTGAATAAAGTCAATCAGGAAGAGCTCATCATCCATATCACCAAAAGAACATCTAATTCCATACAAAGTCTCTTCCTAGTGTCCATGCGCAATATAAAATTCTATTGGGGGGTGGACCTAGTCCCAACCCGGCAATCGGCGGAGCACGTGACCCGCATCTCGGGGAAATCGAGCGACTCCGACACCTCCAGACAATTGTTGTAGAACACCAGCATCAAGACCCCCATTCACCATGGCTGCGCCGTTCCGAGCAAAGAGACTGGACCTGGGAGGGTTCATCAACGCCCGCGTTATCCGGGACCACACCAAGCGTAAGGTGTTCGAGCAGTACGAGCCTGAACGGTATGATGTTCTCCGTCGCCTCCTCGTCGCAACCGCGAAAGCGACGAATATCTGTGAGGATAAGATGCTAATCCGTTGATCTTCTCGGTTTAGGCAAGCGCTTCGTTACATCATTCGCAACACCACCCTTCCCCAGCGTGTCCGCGCCCAGGCTCAGCTGCAGTTGACCCAGATGCACGCCTACACCCGGCCTACGCAGATCAAGAACCGCTGCGTTGCTGGTGGAATTGCTCGGAGTGTCATTCGCGACTTCAGAATCGCTAGAGTGAGTATATGTCCTGGAGTGCGGTGGTGTTCTCCTGGGACAGTTGGTTAATTTGATGTCTCATGCAGTACCAATTCCGTCAGCAAGCGCTGGCTGGCGAGCTTCCCGGCGTGAAGAAGGCCAGTTGGTAAATGTCGAGATGGCTGGTTATACGATCACTTTACTTTCACTTTGACCGCTTGGGTTGGGTCGTGCGAAGGCGTTTGTTCTCCATAACTATTCTTTTTTGAGGACTGTACAATAGATTTCTAGCTTTGGTCAGGAAAATGATGTTCGACGAGTTTCTACCATGTGTGTGACTACTGTCAGTGTGGGTTTGAGTAAATTTGGGGTAGACCTTGGTGAAGATTGTTCTGACGGGGAATTGAGGACGTAAGTAGCCATCACTGGAGCGCTTCTGGTTGTTTAACTCTCTCCTTCCAGACACATATCTCTCACCCGCCTTTCAGCACTCCTTTGACCCATCTAAAGTCGTGGATGAGTGACCGTCTCTGTTACACTGGGTCTGTTTGGCCTCGCTGCACTTATCCTTGTCTCTACCACTGTTACAAGCTTCGACCCTCCTGCGTTTGTACGTCTGGAACGTTGACTCTCTTCTGTCCGAACGATAACCATTCCGCACCAGCATCATCCTTTTGACTTTCATTACATCGCCTCTTTCAGAATATAACAAGCCATTCGAATTAGCCTCCCACGAAACGATGTTCGTCTTTCGCAAGGAGGACATCCCCGCAGACCCAGTCTTCCCTGCAGAGCTGGAGAAACTCGGGCAAGTTCCTTGAGAGTTCAGCTGATCTTCAAGTCCCAGTTGCTAATATGCCTATAGTTACTTCGTTAATGACAAGGACCAGATCAGGAAGATCGTCGACCCAGCTCAGCCGTTTCAGTTCAAGATCAACCGGAACGACAGATGGAACGAGGTCCAAAGAGAGGCAATGAATGGTAAGTTCTCAATCTATCCAAACCTCTAAGTGGCTCATACCGACACCTGACATGCTCAGCCTGTATCCGCGATATCGTCTACTCGCGCCTCCGTGACCTGGGCCTTGGAACCTTGCGACTCCCATTGATGTCCGGAGCTGCTCGGCCCAATGTTCCAATCATGGTTTCCAAGAATCTGTCCTCCGCATCGAGGATTGTTGCCGTCTTTGGCGAGCCTGTGCAAGACCTGGGTATCTGGGCTTATCGAAGCATCGGTGGTGACGACGGTATCAACGTGGGTTCTGCAGTGTCTCTGGCTAAGGCTGTTCTTGGGAGTACGGAACCTTCTACTACGATGACAAAATAGAGCGCTGACACCAAGCCAGATGATAATGGAGATACCGCGCTCGTCCTGGCAAACACAGGACAGCTAGTCTGGTACTGTGGTGGTCGCAAGGCAATGACCCTGCAGTCCTGGCTCGCGCTGCCCCGGCCCACAGCCGCAGATCCGCCTATGATGATGTCAAGCAGGAACAAAATCCCCGGACACCACGACTGGCAGGCACACGTGGAGTCTGTCTTCGACGAAGTCCTGTCGGCTCGTGGGCGGCTCGTAAGCAAGGACGCGAAGATCGATATCATCGGACTGGCCGATGGCGGGCTGGGCGTGGTCCGATACTTGGCGAGGAACTGTATGGACGACGATCTATTATACCCTCTTTTTTTTTTTTTTTTTTTTTTTTTTTTGTCTTGGACGGAACTAACTTTCCACGGTGTAGGGGACTCCTGGCGTCCGTACGTCTCGGCGATCTGTCTTTCTAATCCCATGCATGACGTGTACCTCGACCTGCCGGATAGAGAGGAGAATGGCATGCGTGATCCCTCGTCGTATTCGTCGTTTGTTTCCTCGCGTTGCCGCGCCTACGTCCTGTCCGATCAACCTTTGGGTGTTCCGGTGCCGGGGTTCCGTGAGCATGGGTGTAACTGCTATTCTTCTGGCGAGTCGCTGCATATTGAGTGCATTATGCCGCGGGCGTGGGGGCATATGCTTGAGTGGCTGGCCATGGCCCATGATGACCAGGGTTATGGCGAGGCGGAACTAGAGATCAGAGAGGTCGATGAAGGTGAGACTTTCTAAAAGTTGTACGCCTGAGCATGGTGCCTCCTTTGACGGGTCTTCTGCGTTGCTGCACCGCTAGGAAAATGTTCACCCAGCAGAATAGACTGCCTACGTTTGAACAGAATTACATTGAGATAGTCTCCCTGCACAACCTACAGACTTCTCGCATATTCATTGGGCCTATCGGCGGGTCAAGCAAATGCAAGTATATGTACTAAGGTAGGCTCCGCTCACCCACAGGAGGATATGCAATGCTTCTATCAATTCTATAAGATCTGCACTAGGGCCCAACACATGCCAAAGCCACTATTGTACATTCAATACGTCTACCAGCCAGAGGCAAAACTATCATAAGCGCAAAATGTCCCCATTCCGATCAATCCCCCCGCGGAAGTGATCCTCCACCACCATCCCCCCCAAGATCGTCTCCTCCACGATACCCCGAACATGCTTCGGCTCGATACGGCCGTACCAGATGCCCTTACCCGCCAGCGGGTGCAGGATGGAGGTGCCACTCGTCTTCATACCGGGAGGAATATACACAATCACGTTCCCAGCATACTTATGGCCTCCGACGTGGCTGATCAGCCCGATATGCGCATGCTCAGGACCGTCGATAGTTTTCGCATCCTTCCCCGTGGAAGGAAATCCGCTGTCACGAAGCACCTTTTGAAATTCGTCCCGCAGCACTGGTGCCATGACGCCGCAGCGCATGTCACGCCCACCGTGGCCGCAGATCAGGACGACAGGCGACGTCTGGATATCGACTGCGTCTGGGAACGCGGACGAGAGCTCCGGCTTGCGGGTGAGCTCGGCCTTGCGTGGTTCAGGAAGCGACTCGGCCATTGCGCTCAGCTTCTCCGGGAGTAGGAAAGCGCGCACGAACGCCGAGAGGTCCGTGGTCTCTGTGCTCGTGGAGCCGAGGATGTCGGTCGGGATAGAGGGGAAGTATTTGAAGCTCGGGAAGAGGAAGGCCGACGCCGTGGCGGTAGATGAGGCCGGGAACGAGGAATTGCTGACAAGAACGTTGTTAAATGGCTGTTCGGATATTCCGTGTCAGAGGTGCTCTTATTGAGCCGAGTTCCTGCGAATCATGGGCCAACTTACGTCTGCGTAGGGCCCTCCACGGCCCATGAGGCGCTTCAGGCCTCGGACCAGCTCACCCCAGCTCTGGCCCTCCCCGTCGTTCTCAATGCGACTCGTCCAGTCGTTTTGGCCGGTGCAGACGAGGATCTGCTGCGCGTAGGCGGCCATTGTCCCATTCAGCGGCTGGTCATAGTCGATCGGAAGACCCTCGGGCATCGGCGGGGTCGCGGGACAGGCGCATGTCGATTCGGGACACGACTTGGTCACCGGGAATGGGGGAGGGATCTTGAGGGGAATGCGGGCTGGTTGTGATCGATAGCTGGTGGTAGAGAGGAGGCGAGACGCGGCTGATGTGCGGTGCCGGCAGAGAGGCGACCAGGAGGTCGCGGCTCGCAATCTCATGAGGTAGGGATTGTTGGATTGCTAGAAGAGGAGTAGGATGTCTGTCAAGGCAGGTTTATCACCAGTTGAAGGTATTCTAGCTGTGCGCCGAGAGTTGTTTGCAGGGAAAGTTCTCCGCGCTGGCAAAACCCCGAGCTCCGAGGCGGAGATAAGCGGATTCGATAAGGCGCGTGCTGGTTGGTTGATGCACAAGTATATCCGATCACTATAGAAATTGGTCTATACAAAGGAAGTCCTACAACTGCATCGTGTTTTAAGGATGGAGAAGGAAATGGAAAATGTGTGTATGAAGTTTCTATGTGACAAAATCATTATCATTACTGTACTTCAAATATTCAGACACAGAAGGGCAGAACACTGGTGGCAAGCGGAAACATGACTGTTCATCCTGGATATAATTAAAAGGGTTAAAACAGGCTGCAATTGAGATCTGCAACAATGCGAAGGCCGTGAGTCGTCACATGTAAGAACTGTGCACCCATACTCTACCACTACTTGGTTGTAAAACTAGCCAACGCACGGGGAGAGTCTGTCAGAGGCCACAGGGCATAATAAAAGGCAACGGCTCCTGCCACGAGGAGCGTGTAGTATGCGACACTCCAACCGATGGACAATTGAGTGTATGCATACATCGGAGTTCGCTCCGAATCTTCTTTTCCTTTGGCCAACGGAGGGCCTATGGGAACACTGCCCTCGACTCGTCCCCAGAGACGGGGGAGTCCGCACCAATTACAGAAGGTATGGGCCAGGATGGCGGCGGGGAGTGAGCCTGTCCGAAGATAGATAAATGTGGCGTACCAACCGAAGATGGTGGTGTAGCTGAACTGGAAGAGGGACCGGAACAAGGCCGCGAGGACCGAGGTGTCCGGGTGTGTCAGACGAAACTCGTAAAAGTGGTGGACATGAGCAATTCCAAAGTAGAGCGGAGCCACAAATACAATGCGGCCTGGGGAGATCTTGGCGAGAAGATGGAGAGGTACAATGGCTGAACGGAACATGATCTCCTCCGTGATAGGACCCTGCATCAGGATGAGTATGAAGATCAAAGAGGGAAGAGGATCTACTGACGGCGACATAGTTTCTCCAACCAATCCAGCCACGAAGCGTCTCTGACACTCTGCTTCCGCGGATCCAGTCCTTCCACTCGCCTTCGGCAATGCCTCGTTCGAACAGTGGGCCGGTAAACAGAACGGCCGTCAGGAGGAAACTACGCATGATCTCCGACATGCCGATGGGCCACCAGCCCATCAGTTTGAGGGCGTCGGAAAAGGAGGCATTATCCTTGGCGGTGATCAGCCAAAAAACGGCAATCATACTGATGACGCAAGACAGGGTCACCGCCCTGATTCTGGCTCGAATGACCGAGGGCGCATCCCGACTCAGGGTGGGGGATGGTCGAGTGGTGGAAGAGACATAGAACGGGACCACATAGATTAGAGTTAGGCAGACCTGGGAGGAGTCAGCTCAGAGCGATCGATAATCGGAATGAATTGCAGGTATATTAGGATGCATCTTTTC